ATCAACGGAAAAGTATTTGCCAGCCAACACGACAGTACACACCTACATATCTATCACTAGATTAAATTGAATCAAAGAATTTCAATTTTCAATTTGCAGAAATTCGATAGCAAATAAAAGTGAAACATGTAAAGTATATAAACTTGTTTTTCTTTTTTTGTCGCGCCTGAAACTTTGTATGAAGTCATTCCTCTCCGTCGAATGCATATGTACATAACAGCACCTGTCCATAAATAAAAGGCAGTAAACAACGGGGAAATGAAATAAAAACGAAAAATGAGAAACTAAAACTAAAACAAAAACAGAAAATTTCAATTTTCATTGTGCAGCGTTTTTCCATGTTCAATTCTATTTTATTTGCCTATAAATTCTGAATGAAAATTGCTGGTTACTGTGCTGGACAGCCAAACAGGCCAACAGACAGACAGATAGATAGATAGAAAGATAGAATGGCCAGGCGTTAAGGGGTGGCTGGAAAAGTCCGCGTTTATCCCACAGATACACACCGCTCATAAGAAAGTGAAAAAGCGTATTCGACGACCATTAGATGCACTTTAGTCAAGTGGAAAGATCTGATAAGAGGAAAAGCTTAGCTAAACTCGTTGTACGTTTTATAAAAATGGAATTGCTTATGGAAATTGTATATTTTATGGAAAGACATGAGCTGAAAGTATCTTTTATAGTTTGGAACTAATACAAGTTCGGTTTATTTATTGGTTTTTCTGACTGCCTAATTTGATTAATTAAAATCTATATTTAAAATTATTTATATTCCTTGAAATAGGGAATAATGCCTTAACTTATTTGTAAAATCAAAATCAAATCCAGAAATATAATTAATTCTGGACCATGAAGGGGGATAATCATATAAACAACCACAAGGCAAGATCAGTTCGGAAAAGATAAAGACAGTTCAATCCCGATCTAGATCATATACTTAATGATTTCGCAAGCGTCCCCTTTCTAGCTGCAAAAACAAAATGCGCTCGCATTCCACTAGAACGCGGCAGCTAGATACTAGGGAAAGAGTGTAGCAAAAATAAATAAACAGCGACTACAATTTTGAAAGCAAAAACGACGAAAATAATTGCACAAAATGAAACACAGAGAAAAAGAGGTGGAAAAAAAGGCAAAAATTAAAACGAGCACAACATGGCGAACTGCGAACTGCGAAGCTGCTGCCGACGTGTGCGTTATTTAAATGATTTTGCCAGTTTGCCTCGCTGTGGCTGTCTCAATTTAAATGTTTTTTATAGCCTGCATTCGGCAACTGCCACTCCTAACATTTTTAAAGGGGTTCCAAATGAAGGGGCGAGCAGGAGGGTTTTCTGAGAGACAGACTGAGACGCACACACACACATACACACACACGAAAACCCGTTCGCAAAAGTGAGACGGAAAAAGCAAAACCAAACGAAATGAAACGAAGCGAAAAAGTTAACAAAATCAACAAACACAATTAAGGCAAAGGCAGAAATCGTTTAATTTATTCTTCATGCGTATGAAAACGAAAATACAATTTGAGCTTTGCTTTGCCTTCTTTTTCGCTCTCTTTTGCATATTGCTCATACGACGCGTTGACTCAGTCAGATTGTTGGAGTTTATACGAAAAATAAAATATATAAAATCCTGTACTGTATATAAATTAAACACATTTTATAAATATTTTATTCTTAAAACAGATGAAATTTAACTTAATTTAATAACATCTTCTATTTCTTTCTGTGTCTCTCTCTCTCTCTTTTAAGAATGAAAATGGAATTGGTCACCGGGGGAAACCAGAACCATTTATCTTATTCAATACTCGGAAAATTCCGGGCTTTCCCCTCGCTCTATGACTTAATTGTTTTCTCTTCTTTACGACCATTGTCTTGGTATCTCTGGGCTATTGTTGCTATCGCCATTTACTTGGCCGCAGTTGCAGCGCGTGCGTGCTGTGAGCAAAAGCTCGCTTTTGAGGGCACTGTTACAAGGCTGCCCGGCCTAGTCGGTTTGTCTCTGGCTGTCTGCGATCTACCGCCCCCGTTTCCCCCGCCCCTTTTAAGCCCAAAATTGGCCAGACAACGTCTCAGATTCACAAGCGCGTTGGCAGTTGCATTCTTTGGGTTTTTTTTTTTTTCAGCCACCGCAACTCACTGCTTAACTGCTAAACTTGGCTTGGTCTAGGTGTTTATTGGAGCACGACGAATGCGTGTTGAATCCAAGTTGTTGGGACTATCTGTGTGTGTGTGTGCTTGTGCAACGACTTCTGAGAACAAGTTTGTGCTCAGCGACATCCAGCTGGGAGTTGAACTTTGGGTCCAATACGCTCCAAATCAGCCAAATGCCAGAAGCTGGCAGTAAAATCATGTTATTCGTCAATTCTTCGAAATTTAGCTTGTATCTCACAATGAGAGAAATTCAATTAATTAGACTTGAACAAAGGAAAATGGAATGACAGAAATAAATATAATACCTAACAGAAAATTATGAAATCCTAAACTTTTGTTGTTCAAAGAAAATTTATTAGTATCCATTATTACTTCTTATGTTCTCACTTTAAATTCTTTTTCATATTTGTTTCTTAAAAAAAAAGAGTTTCTAACGAATCTTCACTGTTAAGGCAGAAACCTTTAAATCGTTGCCATAGGCCAGCCGCCAAAGTTTAATTAGCTTATCAGTGAAAATCGGCTACTAAGGCGTGCCTCCCAATCACCCCACTCCCAGCTGGTTTTTTCGCCTGATAGCAGGCCTCTCCCCCTTACCGCCCTACCAAACTCTGCCTTTGCATTGATAAACAATCAGAAAAGCCGAGTCGAGTTAATGTAAATAAGTAAGCCTAATTCCCGATACTTAGTACCCATGACTACAGAGTCTAATTGACTTGGCCCAAAACAAATGATTGATGGCCTTCTCAACCAGCAAGCAGCAAGCAGCAAGCGGTAAGCGGCAAAAACAACAAAATGATTATAATTGGTGCCAATAAAACTGTAGACGACACATGTCGCATGGAAATATATACAAGGGAATTTCGAGGAGAAACATAAATAACTAAGAGAATCCACATACTCTCAGTCAGATGGACAACTCTTTTGGGGCTAGGCCAAAGGTCGGACAAGGTCATGGTCGGTGATTACCGCACGATTTGGTGTGAATATTTTTGGGAATTTGTTCCTTTGATCTGTTTTGGAATAGTTACTGCAAACCCCCTAGAGTTTAGGTTTTTCCCCCAAACAGAGTTTACAAGCTAGTTTCAACGTTGCTGTTTTTAGTTTTTCGCATTTCCACAATTTCTTAAACTTTATGCGGCTTTCACACGCAGCTCTTTGCTTTTGTTTTGCTCTTGATGTTTGGACATAAAACTTATTATAATTTATTAATTACCAGCAACGTTTTTGGCTTTGATAAAAGAAACACAATTTCGGTAATGGCCAGCGGACATGCAATAAGCTGAGCGAAAGAAGAAAAGAAGAAATAGATGGAGGGGAATAATTCATAAAAAAAAAGATATAATTTCCTTTTACTGCGTTTTGCTTTGACATTATTCATGACTTTCTCTCCCCTTCTCGCTAGCCTTTCAAATGGGTCAAGTGAATGACTATATTTCTGTGAAAATTGTGGGAGTCGCATGGAATTAAAATGGGAAAGCTTTCTTGCTATTTAATTTATGAAAAGATTTTGAATTCACAAAACAGTTAAGAGGTTTATCCCACAGACTTTGTAACTCCACTTCTGGGAAAATGAAGATTAAGAATATATATGAAAAACGTTTTAAAGTTAACTACATGCAGTTTGTAGTTTGAAAGATTTACAACCCCACCAACTGCTGTGCAAATTTACTTTAAACACTAAGAATTCCTTTGAACGTAATTGGTTTGCCTTGCTACTATCAGTTGTCTAGTTTGTCTGCGGTAGAGATTAGAGCCGTTTGAATTACTGCCATTTGTTACAGTTAACATTTACGACCGCATTCTGACGCTTATTGCAATTAATGATACGATGTTTACGGATATTTTACCCCTTTGCGGGGGTCCGGCTGTGAGTAAGTGGTCATGCTCGACTTTTGGTTGAAAAACATCACGTAGGGACAGTAGATGAAGGGGAACATCCGCATATTGCTATCAATAAGCCAAGTCATTGGAGGGAAACTAATTAAAAGAATTCCGTGTACGAGCAACTGTCGCGGGCAGAACAATTGACGGACGAGCTACAAATGCCTTTTGTCTTATAATCAACTCTCTGGGACTCACTCACTCGCTCTCACTTTACGGCTCCCTCAAAAACAAGTGAAAAACATTCCTCGGAAAGCAATCAATCAATCAAACCGCTCGTCGTCCATCAATCTCAAGCTAAAGTCAAAACAAAAACAAAACCCGGTATACCCTTGCCCTGAATACCCTTAGCTATGGCCAACGGAATTGTTACCAAAGAAAGTACGGAATACAGTCAATAGATTAATATCTCATCCGGCAAATGGTGAGAATGAGTCTTCTATGTGAATTTGCAGATTGATATATGACATAATAAATAAAGAACCTGGCTTTCCCTGCGTATATCCTAACTAAGGTGTCAATTGTAATTTTTCTTAATATTCCATTCTAAAGTTAGATAAACGAGCGATTCGGAAAAGTATGCTATTTGTAAGTATTTTATATTAGAAATTTATTAAATAGATATGAACCTACTTAAAAAATTGTTGTTAGTTCCTGAATGAGTTATACAAATAAATTTTAGTTATTTAGAAACAGGAAATAACTTATTTATCAGATGATTTAAGCGTGAATAAGACTGTTATTTTTAGAAAGCAAAAAGTAAACCAATGAGTAAAAAGTTTGTTTGCTGACAAAGTTAAAGATTAAGAAAATGTATAATTTACTCAAAAGGTCACGATAAAAAAGTTATTGCTTAAAGTAAATTGAAAATAGCTTTTCGTTGCAGCAACGTGGCAATCATTAAGTTTCTAACTCAGCTCAAATATTGCGAAACCCTTGATAATTTAATAAGTTGTCTCAGATACTTACGTTGATGTAAATTGTTGAGTGTGGCGAGAAATCCAATCTTGGCAAAAGTGTTTGGATGTGGAGTAGATGCAGACAGATAGATAGTTGTTGTGTTGTGGGTTTGGGGGGAGGCTGTTGTTACAGTTGTTGTAGTTGTAAGTAGTAGACATATAGACAAGACGACGACAACGACGATGAGGACGTGGTCCGCGATGCCACGGCGGTGGCAACAGCAGGAACAGTTGCAGATACAATCGCAGTAGCGGATACAATTGCAGTTGCAGACGCCTGCGGAACGAGGGGATTGGGCTGACTGGCGAAGAGCTCCTTTAGAATTCAGCAAACTCCTTGGCACACTTCTCGGTGCTGGAGATCCGCAGCGCCTCCTCCTCATAGTCGTCGAAATTGCTCGTGTCCCCGGGACCCTTACACCGAGGAATGAACGGCGCCTCGATTTTCTTTTGGAAGATCGCAATCCAGTCGGTGGAAGCGAACCACTTCTGGTTCTTAATATCATTGACGCCCGCCTTTAGATTGCCGTAGCGCTTGGTCAGGTCCACCTGCAGCAGATTGCGCAGTAGGTCCTTAAGATCAGAGCCAAAGTGCGATGGGAATCGCACCTTGCCGGAGACGATCTTCTCGTAGATCTGGATCGGTTGATCCGCAAAGAACGGCGGATAACCGGCTGCCATTTCGTATACGAGTACACCCAACGCCCACCAGTCGACGGCCTTGTTGTAGCCCTTGGACAGAATGATCTCCGGGGCCAGGTACTCGGGCGTACCGCATAGCGTCCAGGTGCGTCCCTTGACCCGCTTGGCAAAGCCGAAGTCCGTCACCTTGAGGTAGCCCTGGGAATCGATCAGCAGGTTTTCCGGCTTCAAGTCGCGATAGATGAGGTCCAGGTAGTGCAGGTACTCGAAGGCCAGCACGATCTGCGCCGCGTAGAAGCGCGAGTGCGGCTCCGAGAAGCGGCCCACCTTGCGCAGATGCGAGAACATCTCACCACCGGGAACATACTCCAGTACCATGTACAGGTTGGAGTTGTCCTTGAAGTGGTAGCGCAGCGAGACGAGGAAGGGGAACTGGATGGCCTGCAGGATGCGCTTCTCGTTCAGAGTGTGCTCCACCTGCTTCAGCTTGACCACCTTCTGCTTGTCGAGGATCTTCATGGCGTAGTAGTCTTTCGTGGGCTTGTGCTGGACTATCATGACACGGCCAAAGGACCCGGTGCCCAGGGTCTTGATCCGTTCGAAGTCATCGAGGGCGGCGGTATTGGTCGGATTGCGGCGCCACTTATCCTCGAACTCCTCCTTGGCCTGTTCGAGGAACTCCTTAACCGTCTCGGCGGCATCGACCTTCTTGTTTGACGTGGTGGCGTTGTTGCCCATCTTGGAGATAGTGCCTGTTAGTGATGACAACCGAAAAGTTGCACTGGCCGAAACTTGGGCCTGATCGTCGCTGGAGCCGCTTGCTCCGCCTCCTCCTCCTCCGCTAGCTCCTCCTGATTCCGCCCCCGAACCGGGAGTGGTTGTGGCGGCGGGGGGCGTGCTCTTATGGGCGGCGGCTGCTGACGAGGGGCCGCTGCTGCTGCTGCTAGCCTGGTCCGCTGTGGGTCCCGCTGCCGCTCCCGCTCCTCCCGCTGCCGCTCCGCCCTCCTCCTCGCAACTGGACTGCGCCTGTAGCTTGCCCTCGCCGGATGTGGAACTATGATGGGACTTTTTCTTTTTCAAGAACTGCAAAATGGACTTAGCTATTTTGCCGAGTTACGGGTCAACGGTGCGGATGAAATATTTGCTCCTTCTGGGCCTAAGAGAGCTTCTCACTGGAGCTCTCTGTCTTTCGCTAATAATCTTTACTGTAGTTTTAGGGTTTGGTTTTAAAGGCGTTTGGTTTAGACGCGTTTAAATTCTGGATTTAGCACGTTTTGGTTTCAATTATTTTTTTGTGGTCTTAAACTAGTTTTACACTTTAGGCTTAGACTAACATTTGGTTTAACACTTTAGGTTGCTTATGCTCGCGATTTATTATACTTTGAAAAGCTGCAAAGAGAAACGGAAGAGAAAACGGCACAGATTAGCGGGAAATTCGGTATGTGGTTAAAAATAAGAGTCCAGTTTTCCAAGTTCTTTTTAAAATATTTTAGCTGCTTTCCTCTTTTTCATTTTGTTTTTGTTCTAGCAGCGCTTAGCTGGCACTTTTTTATTTAAACTCAAAAGCAGCTTATAATCACTGAATAAATAAACTTAACAAAATCACACATAAACTCGAAATTCAGAAAATAATAAAAAGAATAAGATGAGAGGAGAGCTAAAGAGAACAAAAGAGCGAGGGGCGACTTTCGATCGTGTCAAGTGTCAAACAGCTGATGATATAGTGCCAGCTCACTCGCTCTCACGCACTGCAACGCAGCGCTGCTTCCTCTTCTTCAGATTTCCCCTCTCATTTTTGGCTATTTAAATTATTAAATACTTTTTTTTTTTCACTGTCTTTTGCTTTGGCTTCTGTTTTTTCTTTTTCTTTGCTTTTACTTCTTTACATACACTTGTGTGCGTGTGCGTGTATGTGCGCAAGTTTATTTGCATGTGTATGCGCTTCTGGTTTAATTTTTGTGATCTCTTTTTAGCGCTCTCTTCGCAGGCACTTTTCCACATTTCGCACACTTTAAATTAGTTAAATTGGCCTTTATTGCTCGGTGTGCTAAATTTTCGCTATTCGATTTGGGCATAAAAAATCCCGTGGTTTAAACAAACACAATCGCACACGCATACACACATAGTGCTCACTCGCGCACACACAAGCTCACAGGAATACACTTCACACACACCCGCACACAGATTGGATAATCGATTTTTTTTTACATTCATTTCCTTTTTTTTTGAGTTTGTTTGACTTTGCTTTTTGATTTTCGCACCACGAAAATTACCTTTTTGCAATTAACGACTACGATGCCAGCGATTTGTAAACACTTTCAGAAATATTGCCTCGACTTTCCGATCGATTTGATGCACTGTAGCTGTGGATTTGATGGCTTAGATTAAAAATACCCGCATAGCCGCCGAACCGAGTTTTTCCGTCCAACACGTTCGAAGTTTTTTTATCGACTGACGCGACTCGCGAATGCGCCCCCACACGCAGGTGTGAGCGAGCCAGCGATAGGCGCAAAGAGCAAAGCGACGCAACCATGAGTAATCCCTACTGCGCGGAAGCTGTTGCGTTCTACAATCTAGGTAAACCAAAAAAGCTAGCTAAATAAAATAAAATTTTGAATTTTCGGAGATAACTGATGATAAAAGTAATTCAATAAATTCCTATGATCTTTTTCTAAATTATCATAAATATGAAGGGATCTGAACCTAAGAGCACCAATACCAACATCTAAAAAAAAAGATTTATATTATAACCTTTTTTCAAAACTATTTTTGAATTGTTAACCTTTGGATATCTTGACAGTTCCTTTTTACAGCATTTTTGTTTAGTTTTTACTTCAGATCATTTAAATATGTTTTTTAAATTGTTATGTTTAAATACATCTAGGTTGCAATTAGTAACTTTTCGTTTTTGAATATTTTAAAGGTTCAATATGAGTTTGTATTTTTATGATTTGTTTTGCATGTCATTCACATATGCAATGAAACAAATTACGTTATAGCTAAAGTTAAACATAGCCTAGAATCACGAAATGCAAAGTCAAATGATCTGAAATCAAAATTACATTAAGCTAATAATTAAACAACACATATACCCCATTTTTTAAGTTTAACAATAATTTTATTAATAACATTAGTACAAATTTTAAGGCGATAGGGGATTATATTCACTATAATCAAAAAAAAATTACTCTATGGAGTTACCCTAAAATTAAATGAAGCGAAGTAAATTTAGAGCCAGGGCTGAATAAATGAACTGCAAACTCGCATCTAAACGATTAATATCGTTTAACGCCAGTATGACCAGATCCGGTTTGTAATATTGGTTTTCCTGATCTTCCACAGAACGGTTTTCCAACGCCGACGCACGTGTTTTGAAAACGTTTTAATTGTTTCTGCGATTGCCCTCAGTGAAGCAACAAGCGGAGAGGTTGCATTAATAAACACGTTTTTTCTATTAAACATTAAAAAAACAATAACCAACAATGGTAAGTGAATTCAAAACAACCATATTTATATGGATTTGATGAAATTCCTGACTTTTTCAGACTGATGAAGTGAATCCAAAGGCATTCCCGCTAGCCGATGCCCAACTCACAGCCAAGATAATGAACCTGCTGCAGCAGGCATTGAACTACAATCAACTCAGGAAGGGAGCCAACGAGGCCACCAAGACCCTGAATCGTGGATTGGCTGATATTGTGGTTCTGGCTGGCGACACGGAACCCATTGAGATCTTATTGCATTTGCCTCTCCTCTGTGAGGACAAGAACGTGCCCTATGTCTTTGTGCGTTCCAAGCAGGCCTTGGGTCGCGCCTGTGGAGTTTCCAGGCCAATTGTCGCTTGTTCGGTGACCACCAACGACGGCAGCCAGCTCAAGTCTCAGATCACCTCCATCCAGCAGGAGATCGAGCGACTCCTAGTCTAGTTATATTTTAGACTTAAGTGAAAATTCGTACAAAGTGGTAATTTCAATAAACGTGTATTTTTTAATGCAATTTAATGCTTTTATTTTACTTGGCACATGGCTGGATTGGTGGGCCCGTTTTCCCGCCACCGGATACTAAGGTCGAAAATACCAAAATATACTAGGGCATAATGTCAGCTGGTTCGCCCGACAGTGCTGTGCATTTTTTGGCAATCGAGCTAATTTATGTATGAGGCTTTTTAAAGAAATAATAAACATTACTAAAATAATATTTTATTATTACTTGTAGTACTAAGATCCCTTATTCTTAACTGTTAAATTCCACTACTATATTCATTAGTCTCATTTACAAACATAAAATGTACAATTTTTACTTTTTCATAGATAATAGAATTTAGCGTGAAACCAACTAGCAGCGCAGCACAGCTCGCCCCGTGGTGTCCCGTGTGAATGTCACTTGACCGCCGATTCCACTGTCCACCACCATCACTGTAACCATCCTACCGATCCGATCAGCCGTGTGAATTTATCAACTGCGTGGACCTAATGACAACGATGCACCGCCGTCTTACTGAACTGAGAGAAACTCTGGAATCTGGATGCAAGTGACAAGCGGCAAGCGGAATCAAAGCTCTTGGGATAGAGACAGAGCCTGCCAACGAAACGAATACCAAATCCTGACCAGCAACACGAAGCAATGAAGCTGCTGGGTAAATACGTGGACAAGGGCATGCAGGGGTGAGTGAAGCCTAATAAAATTTCAATTATTTAATTTCTTATCCTCATTAAACATCATCTAGAAATGTGACCCTGATGCCGGAGGAGTCGGAGGACATGTGGCATGCCTTCAATTTAATATCAGAAGGAGACAGCGTGCGCAGTACCACTATTCGCAAGGTACAGAATGAAACGGCCACGGGCTCCTCCACCAGCAGTCGGGTCCGCACAACTCTAACCATTACCGTGGAGAGCATAGATTTCGATACACAGGCATGCGTGCTCAGGTTAAAAGGACGAAATATCGAAGAAAACCAGTACGTCAAGATGGGTGCCTATCACACCCTCGACTTAGAGCTTAATCGCAAGTTCGAGCTACGCAAACCCGAGTGGGACATCATTGCTTTGGAGCGCATTGAAATGGCTTGCGACCCGACACAGTCGGCGGATGTGGCTGCTGTGGTGATGCAGGAAGGACTGGCTCATGTCTGCTTGATCACCGCCAGCATGACGCTGGTGCGCAGCAAGATCGAGGTCTCTATTCCGCGCAAGCGCAAGGGTAGCGTCCAGCAACACGAAAAGGGTCTGGCCAAGTTTTACGAGCAGGTCATGCAGAGCATCCTGCGGCATGTTAACTTCGATGTGGTAAAATGTGTGCTGATTGCTTCGCCGGGATTCGTGCGAGACCAGTTTTACGACTACATGTTCCAGCAAGCGGTTAAGATGGACTATAAGCTGCTGCTGGACAACAAGAGCAAGTTCATGCTGGTCCATGCTTCTTCGGGATTCAAGCACTCCTTAAAGGGTAAGATATTTAGCTATATAACTACTAATATAGTGAAATATAATTTGTATTTGCAGAGGTTCTTCAAGATCCCGCCGTGCTGTCAAAGATGTCCGACACTAAGGCAGCTGGCGAGGTCAAAGCCTTGGAGCAATTTTACATGATGCTGCAATGCGAACCCGCCAAGGCCTTCTATGGCAAGAAGCACGTCCTCCAAGCCGCCGAGTCCCAGGCAATCGAAACGCTGCTCATCTCAGACAACCTCTTTAGGTGAGTTTTGCTTGAATGAGCCGAGATAGATATACGTATACGTTTGCTGAACAAACATTAAGCCCAATCAAGCGAGAGATCAAGAGCGCGATCGCAAGTATAAGTAGAAACCTTCAACTTTGTGAAATTAAGAGAGAATGCGATGACAATTGGTGTGCTTATGCCGCCGCCATACGGAGCATATGTCACCAGTCTGCTTTGGGTGCCGGAAAGAATACATATATTGAGGCAATTAAGAAAATCTCAAATAGAGATTGTGGCAATCAATTTCACTATTCTATTGAGTGTAGCTTAATTGATTTGCTATACTTGCAACTTTGGTTTTCAATTCAATTCATTTTAGGTTCTTGCATGTAGAGATAGCTCTCAGTAAGCTACAACCTAAACTCGTTCTCTACACTTCGTTAAACCACTTTTGACTTCCATCAGCGTTAGATGATCGGGGATTCTTCCTCTGCGAATTTAGATCTGCTTCGATCGCACGCGTTTAGCCATTTAAAGAAAGCACGTCCGAGCATTAATTTGTTGGCCCCATGACGACGTGCTCATGATCAAGGTTGCCCCAATGTCTCCCCACCATTTTTGGCTGTCGGGCCTGTTCTGTTCTATTCACTACTCTTCTCCGCAGTTTTGTTTACATTTTAATGGGCCGTTGAAATTCCATTTGAAAATATATTCGTATGTTAACTGCGTGGCCGGCAATTAAATTAGAATAAAGTGTTATAGGTTTTAACTTTACTTAACATTTAGTGTTCTTAATGTTCTAGGCAAAAGGTGTTTTATTTTTAGCACATTTAATCAGTCCGCTTAGGTTGCTTCCCCCATATAAGTTCTTCCTCCTAGTTCCAATCTTAAAAATTGTTTAAATCGCAGTTCGCCGCTATCGTCGTCGTCGTCGTGGTGGTTGTTCCTCTTGACTCGCCATTATCTCGACTTTTCTGATTGCTGTAGATAGTTTAGAGATTGTGCAAAGAGAAACAAGATGTTAAAAAATTCTTTGTTTAAGTTTTCCATTTGACTTACCGTTTTCGCTGCTGTTCGTTCCACTGATTCTTCCGCTGTTTCTGCTGGTATATGGGATCATCTTCTATATCTACTCTGGTCCTCATCGTCAACCGCTTGAAACAATCGTCCAGAGTTTCCCTCAGGGGCAGAAGACGATGTGGTGAGGGCGGGGAGCTTGGCAACTTTCTGTAGTCCAGTTTCTTGAGGGACTCGCACAGGGTCGAATCTGGCCACTGGTGAATGGGGTGGCCCAGTTCGGAGATGGTGTAGTCGGGCTGTCTGGTAAGCATCTCGGATCCTCTTAAATCGGTTCGATTTAATTCGACGCTGATAAGTGGCCGGCACTTAAATAGGAACTGGAGTGGAAAAATATGTGCGTTAAGTACTTCAGTCAAGTGGAGTTGAAATTTGGGTAGATAATCCCACGATTCGAGTTGTTTTGGTGTTGTTTTTTTTTTATTTCAATTTTATATATGTAATATGGACTTAAATTAAATTGTCACAGAAATCATCCAAGCATTGTAGATTTTAAACTAAGAAATATGTGAAGAGCTTAGCAACTTCCCTAAATGCCATAATAAAATATTTAAAATTAAAGTCACGTATATGAATTTATACAGAAATCATATTATCAAAATGTATGACTATATATTTAAGTTATATATTTATATAAATGAAATCATATTATTCAAAATGTATGACTATTATGAGCTGGAATTTCGTTCACTGCTAAAAAGCCTTATCAGTAAATGATTATAGAAAATATGTAGAGCCATATTTATGAATGTTTTAGATAAGTTAAGATAACTTTTGTGGGAGAAATTGTTTAAACCGTTTTCGAGCTTACTACCTCTATTTTTTTATCAACTCCTCTGACTTTAATTCGTCCCTCACCCATTTAATCCATAACCGTTGATATTCATGGTCGATTTCCGAGCTAGATTTGCGTGCTCTGTTTTGGGTCTTTGTTTTTATAGAGCTGTTTTCGCCAGACGAGTTTCGATTAGCAAATAACAAAGACTGATCTAAACTTTGATGTAAATAAGCTGTGTACTATATACACTTTTATACCCATTTGGAATTTAATCCCTCAACGTTCTCGAGAGCCATTTCTTGTGCTAATTATTAGAACTCGCAGTGGGCGAAAGATTGCGATGAAGAGAGGCAAAAAAAGCAGCCGCCACAATAAACAACAATATAAAGAATTTTAATTTATTTAATCGCTCCGTTTATGGATCACTTGGCGGGCAACTTTTGAAGCGGACACACTCTCCCTCTTTGGATTTTCTAGGGGTCTCCCCCTCAGTTCTAGATAGATTCCACAGAGCATGTAACATGATCCACTTTTAGCTAACTTATCAAGTTCTTCTGCTGCTCGAATGCACTTAGCATTTTCCCCCCTTTTAACCGATTCTCCTTTCCCATCGTATAGATTTCGTTTTTTTCTTTCTTATATATTATTCATATGTCCAACCAGTTTTTCTAGTCCCTCTTTGTTTTGCTTTGCAACATGTCTTGTGCATCAAAAACGTGCCCCCTTTAAGCGGTTATTGTTGGCTTTTTCGTTGCAGCTGGCCACGCTTGTAAATATTGTCAATTGTTTATATATCTTATATATATGTATATGTATATATTTGCATTGTGAAATATTGTGAAAGCCATTGAAACAGAGAAAGAAAGAGAGAGAGAGAAGGAAAAGTTTAAGGTTGTTTCCATTGAGCAAGAAATGAAAGGGCTTGCCTAAATGAACGATATTGATACCCTAAATGGGCTAAATGCTCAATGAATACGGTGCCATATGAATCACTTTTATTGGATCTTGGCCTTAAGGGTTTTTCACATTGGTTTGTATTCGGGTTGGGTTTTGTTTGGTCAACTGATGGGGTAAGCAATGAGTTGGCTTATATTTGAAATGATCAGGCCAATAACTGCTTAAAAATCAAGGCGTTGCCTGTAAAGGTTTTCGTGAAACGAACTCATAAAATGGGGAGAGAGAAGTCAAGGCGGTTTTTTAACAAAAGGGGAATCCATTTTAAATTTAAATTTAAAGGATTTAAAAGATTTCTGTCTTCATCCGTGTATTTGGAGCATATCGACATTTCTGGCGTGTAGGTGAAGTCAAGTTCAGTTAATGCCGCCTTCCCTCGCACACTTAATTACACATTTTTACGCGCACTTAGTGATATCTTGGATTGTCCGTAGCCCCACTTTCCCCGCCACAATCTTTCTCTCCTTCCAGCGCTCTCTCTTTCTGGCTGTCAATTCATGGCTGTGTTCGGCCTCGTGCACGCTAATTCCATTATAACAATTGATTTCATTGTGCAATCATTGTCACGCAGCGGCAGCAACAATTGCAGCTACATCAGCGGCTAAAATTACAGGTACATCAGCAACGGCAACAGCAAGAGCAGCATCTACAACAATGGTTCACACAGTTCAACGCAGTTTGCGGTTAACGGATGAGTAAAAAAAAAGTATCTGAACACAGGTAGCGGATAAAATTGTATCTGTTGCTGATGTATCTGCATTGCCTTGTGCTGAGTCAGGGGATACAAAGTTAAACTAGACTGTCAGCGAGACTTGATTTCATCTGCATTTGGCAGCATTTTTTTTTAGATAACAAACACTCTTCAGCTTTCACTTTGTCGGAAAAAAAACGCACCTTTGTATCTTTTTTATGCGTTTTTTGTGCACTTTTCTTTTTCTTCTTTGCTGTTTGCAATTTTAATGGGGATGTTTTTTTTTTTTTTTTTTTAGCGGGGTCTTAGCACCAATTTTTCTTTTCGCGTGGCAATCTTCTCCGGTTCGTTTCGGCTCTGCACGTGCTGTGGATCGTATTTCGCATACCATCCACAGGGGGTTTCAGATCGCTCTATAGGATCGCACTCTCTCTACGCAAACAAAAAGCGGTTTGTTGTCGTCAATAAAAAAATGATAATTGAAATTACATTTTTTGTCTGGTTTTCATTTGAATTTCTTCTGCTTCTGATTCTTACTTTCTTACCTGCAAAAATGTTCGTCATTCGAAATTAACATTTATCTGGGGTTTTTGAACTGCACTAAGTTTTTTATGGTCGGTCGTACTTTCATTGCTTGACTACTAGTGACTTCATGCTCTCTGGGAATCTCAAATGCAAATCGGTCTTGGGGGTCTAAGTATAATGTGTGATGGCCCCCTTCTGTTGGGGTGAGTGACGAGGTGAACCCACTATTTCCAGTTAAACTTGACACCTTATTCAAGGCAGATTATGCCCATCACGTGCCATGATCCAGCACTTTGCTATGCGCCATTTATACGGCTCCGGTTGTTGTGGAATGCGAAAGTGCAATAGATACGGGCACCTACATCCGTATATGGGTGATAAATGAGCGCAACAATTGATTGAATTAATTCGGTTTGAAAGGTTTTCTGTAAGCGGTTTTATCAGCTAAAAGTTTCTCTTTCTTACAGATGCCAAGATGTTAATCTTAGAAAGGAATATGTAAATCTGGTTGAATCAGTTCGGGATGCTGGAGGCGAGGTTAAAATCTTTTCCAGCATGCACATCTCAGGAGAACGTGAGTATCAAAGAACAGACATACATATAATTTATGAGAGAAACTGCTGATATAAAAATCTAATTCACTAAAATTAACATCGACATATGTTGCAAAGAATTTATTTAAGACCTAAGATTTTCTTTTTTAAGATTTTTTATTGACAAGATAACCCTATCTACTGAGTAACTGCGAAGTTCTGTCATAAACTTTACTCAGTTAATTAAGTTCACCCACAAGCCAATAGCTCATTTCAAATCATTTCTAAAAATTGTACATGAAAAGAACAAAACACTTGCATCATAGGAAGAACAAAAATAGGCAAAACTATAAAAAGGGAAATGAAAATCATTTAATTACTTTTTAACCTTGTGTCGCTTTGGAAGAACTTAAAAACTTCTCCATCTCGGATACAGAAAAAGATCTCACCATGACTCATAGAAAGAGAATGAAGTTCCCTTCTAGGACAAGAATAGATCATCTCCAGCAGAAGCATCTTTGCATCACACTTGTTCCAACTTGGACCATTTCTATGCTCAATTTAAGTATAATATTTATGTGCAGCCTGCCTTCCTCTGTCTAATGACCTCGTTAAAGATTCTATTTTTAAGACCAAGCGATGCATTGCTCTGGCCGTAAATATGGTGTATATATGTGTGTGTATTTCTTGGAGGGGTCTCCCACATTACAAAGTCCACTAACAGATGAGCAAAAAACATCATCATTGAATAGCTGCCAAGTAGTTTTTGCTAGCTCATTCGTAAGGAAACTTTCAATTTCATTTTCTGTGTATGTAATTTAGAATTGATTAAAATTGCATCTCACATATTGCAAATATTTTTGGGGTGTAAAGTGCTTAAAAGCTTTAAATAGCTATTTACAGGTGACTCACGAAATAAGATTCCCTCTTTGAGTTTCTTTTTTAAATTGTCTGAGCTTTGAGACTTGGCAAGATTTTCGTTTTCGACTCGAAAATGGGTCGTTTGGGGTTCCAAAATAGATTTCCCCATACTCTGTAAGTTTCGCAACAATTGAGTTGTAGCAATCCTTATCGTATTTCTGCGCTATTCGCTGTACTTCACTGTCTTATCTACTCGCAATTATTTCATTAACAATTGTACCCCGCTGAGCATTTTAATCAGCTTTAAATTACATAAACATGTAAACATTGAGGCAACTTTTTTAAAGTAAACCAAATTTAAGAGATAAAGGGGCCTGCCAGCGCTGTACTTGAGTATACAAATTGTTTCCCCCTGAAACAGAACCTGCATTAATCCCGAGGTAATTGGGCAAACCCATGAATTTTTAATGTTTGCTCTCTGGCCGAGATGAATGTGAAGTTCATTGTGTGAGTCATGGCCTAGAACAACCGGTGAGCCTTGGAATTGGACAGCAGGAACGCCCACAACCTGGCTTAAAAAGTGAAAAAGTTGCAGTGGCTGCTGCATATTCTTAGTCTTTGTAGCTTACTTGAAATTCTGGTTTTCTTATTTACAGATAACACATATCAATTTTTTCTTTCCTTTTATAGTATAATGTTTTATTATTTTCAAAACAAAGTCCATTTAATAAGCCTTAATTCTTATCTACAGAACTTGCTCAACTGACTGGAATAGCGGCTCTCCTACGATTCCCGATGCCCGAGCTGGAGGATAGCGATGATGATGATGACGAGGATGGAGCGGCGGGCGGGGCAGATAGCGACTAGGTTCATAAATAGGATATAAACATGAAAGAAGCTTGATGGAATCTTGGCATTTGTTAATGGAAATAACTGACTTAGGAACTCAGCTAGCGATCGATATACAAGTAGACTAATAGGAACCACGACAGACTTGGACGTCAGGGCATATACAATATATATAGTGCTAATTCGATACGATATACACACAAATAATTCTTTAAGTTTACCCGTGGCTGGGCCTAGGAAATCATAGTCAGAATCCCACCATTTTCTGGACTGAAAAAAGCCACTTAAAAAATAATGTTCTATACTTTGTGTTCAATGAAATGGCCACAATATTATTAGCTTTTATTGATTTATTGCTTGGTACGAAATTTAGTTACTGTTAACAGTCGCGTTTATAGTTAATATCAATTATTTGATACAAATTGTATACGTTGTTCTATGCACTTAAATTCATTGTTCATTAATTTGTAAAAGGCAAAACAGAGTTTACAAAAATATACAATAATAAACAATCAATTTTGTTATTTATACATTTTCTTTTTTTTATCAAAAGGATTATATACAACTTTAGAAGTTATCCCTCCTAATGTTGTTTAACTTTATAAGAACTGTAATTATTATTTAAAACATTTAAATTTAATTGTTGCCCATGCTGTAAAATATATAATCCTTCCGAACAAATTGTAAAATAAATCAATTTCTAGAACTGATCTAACCGATGTTTTCATACGCATGGCTTTCTTATCCAGTGTTTCGATAGTTGACCTCAAAATAAAATAGTTTTCAATTGGAATTCTTTTACATTTTCATTGTTTATTATTTAAACCTAAATCAAGACACAGAACCCCCCGAGCCTATGACCAGCTCACTTGCCCAGCTTGGAAGCCTTGGCAGCAGCGGCCGCCGCCTCCTTGCGGGCTTCCCGCTTGGCCGTCTTACGGGCTTCCTTCTCGCCAGCCTCAAAGGTTTTTCGCTTTTTGCGCAGCAGCCATTCTTCCTTCTCCTTGGTCTGCTTCTCGCGGATGAGTTTACGGAACAGGTTGCGATGGCGGGGTTTCACCATACGCGCCTGCAGACGGTGCTCATCAACTTCGGCCTTGTGCACTTGACGCTTGTTGACCTTGTGCACCTTGCCTGATTGCACGGACATCTTGTCCTTCTCCTGCTTTAGGCGTTTGGTCTTCTCGTCAACTTCTTCCTCCTCCTCCTCATCTTCATCGTCTTCATCGTCAATTTCAGGATCCTCTTCGTCTTCGTTAACGCCATCGGGACCGCCATATTTCTTGTATTCGGCGGTTTCCTGTTGGTAAGCCAGCTGTAGCTGCGCGTCGAGCAGCTCCTGGTCCACAGTCTCTTCTTCCTCCTTCTCAGGTTCATCCTCAGAATCGTCATCGCTTTGTGCTGATAAAAGGAGTAATTCATTAAAGTTCCACAATACCTTAGACACAAAGATCCCTATTCTTACCGTGTGTTTCGATCAGGGAGGGGTCTAGCAGGGCCTTCTCTTCTGGTGGGATGTAGGTGTCCCTCTTGGAGTCTACGAATGGCGATAAGTGTGGTGGCAGCTTCTCGCCCAGGAAGTACTTGTTGGTGGGCAACAACTGGCGCTGGTTGACACAGTCAAAGAGCCACTGCGGCTGGATGTAGTCCCGCGAGATGTATTGTGTGGCAATGCTGGGCCTATCGACGATCTGGTGAGTGATAGTCTCATCACTTTCATCGTAGGCAGAGCCAGCGAAGACGGACGAGTCCCAGGACACTTTGCCGCCAAAGGAACGGATGAGTATGACCAAGGGCTCACGTGGAACTTCACGGTTGATGAAGAACTTCAAACCCTTAAAGAGGGTGCGCAGACGGGCCACTTCCTGGGCCTCCTGCTTCATTTTAATGATGCGCTTTGAGTCACCGTCTTGCTCCAACAGCTCCATGTCGATGTCCAGTTCTTCCTCGTCCTCCTGTACCTTGTCCGTACGCAGCAACTCAAAGTTAAGCGCTGCAATACGATCAGATACGAAGCTGGCCTCGTCCTTCAGTGATTCTTCGCTGTCCTGAAGCACGCTGGTCGGGAACTGTGGTGGATACGCAAGATTCAGGCTATGGAACAGCCTGAAGTTGGTGAAGCCAAGCATAATGGTGTAAAACTCCACGAAGATGGACATCACCTTGAAGTCAACCTCCTGTCGGGATTGGGGCTTGAAGGGATAGTAGTGTGGCACAATCCAGGTAACCTTCTGGCCCTTGATCTCGGCCTGGAAGTAGTATCCCTTGATTGAGATGAAAACCTTGCGGAGGGACTTCGAGGCGATAACATAGTGCAAGAATTCGATGGTCAGGCGACGGCACAGGTTCGACTGCTCCCTGGGAATCAAATGCAGCGATGGAAAAGTACTGAACAGGAAGAGCAGAGTCAAACAATCGTCTAAATCCTTTAGTGCGTCAATGAAGGTGGGATAGCGCTCCTTGACAATGTGATCGAGTTTGATTTCCGGAAACAGGGCCAATCGACGTTTCAGATTACGGAAATCCTTGATGGCGCGATCACGATTGCTTTTCTTAGCAAAGATCTGCGGAATAGTAAAAATGGTTAATTTTACCTAAATGAGATACATATGAGCTAACTTACCTTGTAGTCACGCAGAGTCCACACAATCGACTCGTGGAGCAGGAAACGGATGTCCTTGGTGTGATAAAGGACTTTGATTTCCGAAGATCCCTTCTGGGCCCTACGCCTGTGTTTTGGTTCCCTGGGATAAACACCTTTCAGGATGCACAGTCTGCGAAAATCATTCAGGGAGAGCTGGAGTTTTCTGATAGCAGCTCGCCGGCTAATATACTGCGTAGCCTCGCCGGATTCGTACTATAAAGGTTTAAAAACGTTAATATCCATATGGTTTTCAAAATTTCTAAAGACACATAACCTTAAACACGGTCAAAAACACCTTAGAACCAATGATAACTTACCTTTTTGGGTCGCCTCATATTGTCGGTTTATGAAAATGGACTTTTTGTCAAGTTAAATCTGTTTTATACAGATTTATTTAATAAAAAACACGCAGTTGACCAAAACACACGTTTTTTGTGTTGTTGGTCGCGTGGAAAGGAAGTGTGACCGGTTACCGGTTTTGACATAACATAACAATCTGAAAATGTCTAAATATGACAGAAGGTTGAATACTTCGCTAAAACATATAGTGAACTGGATAAGAATCGATAATTGTCGAAAATTTGCAGATTAAGATCGAAATATCGATAGTTGGGGGGACATTTTTAAATGTAAATTTTAAATTAATAAGAAATAATTTTAAAAGTTTTTTCAAGGTATATAAAATATAAAGTTAAATGTTAATGTTTATATAAAGAAAATATTAAAAACACTCGACCAGTGCCATTGGATAACTCATTTTATTGAATCTGTTTTTATTGTTTTTTATAGGTATTGTATTGAGAAAATAACATACAGTCTAAGTTTGTTGTATTATATAATATTTGTTATATATTAGTTAGTTTTGAACATTAACTTCGTTTTTTGTTTTCGCAACGTGCTTACTGCAGTCGCATTTCGTTTTGTTTTCTTGGTTGATAACAAAAGTTTATTAAACGGCCCTTTCTCGTTTGCTGCGGCTCTGCTACAACTCTGCTCGTTTCTTTGAACATTCTTCGTGTCCTTGTGTCGTGTTCGAGTGTCTGCTTGAGTAATTCTTCTGAGCTTTCAAAGCCTTGTTAACGGTTCGATGTAAATGTATCTGTATCTGCATCAGCGTTTGCATATGCATCTGCATCTGAGTGTGGTTGGTTTTGTTGTATATTTCACCTAAATAACTAGTTAACATTTCGGTTTATTTGCTATAGCTTCGTTTTGATTTACATAAGTTGAAGGTTTTTCACCCCACCGATCCTTGTCATCCGATTTACGATCCTTAAAATGCTTTATATAACTTCATATACTTTTGTATATATATATATCTTGAGTGCCAGCCATATATGTGTTCTTGCATGTATCGTTAGAAATTGACTATATATTTGATTTGCTTTTACTCCTTGCTCTCCATTTTGATGATCTCTGTTAACTAATGATTCTGCTGGGAAGTTTGGTTCGGTTTTGGTGTTTTCTTTTTGGGGGGTATTCTAATGATGACTGCTTGTGTTCTGGGTGTGTTATTTGTATAAAATCTAAATGTCGTTAACTAGACGTACTTGTATAAAGTAAATAACTCGCTGTATTGCACCACCATAAATATTCATCGGATCGAGCTCTCTGGTTCGTCACAAAGATAAAGTGAGTTCAGCATGGGATTGGGATCTTGGGGAGTGGTGAGTGGGGCTTTCCTACTCCTACGATGACTAAGAAATAGGGTTATATTTAGACTGGATTAAGTGAATGTATCTGAACCGATAATAGCTCTTCTTTTCTGCTTTCCTTTTTATGGTTTACCGTATTATTCATATATAAATCATTTGTACAATCTTATGTGCTAGAAGCGTATCAGTTGTTAAAATTAATGTCTGTTATTATAATACTCTCATTGTTCGCTATTAAAATTACACACCCATCTGCACTACAATTACATGCCAGTATCGAAAAAATACACATTCGTAAGGTAAAATTCAAAAGTACAACGATCGAAACTCAACAACGGAAAATGTACATACATATTTTGGTGGGTAATGATAACTGTATTATTACACACGACGGTTATATGTTCACGAGCTATATATCATCTGCTTGAGATCCGATCTTGGATCGGCTGATCGCTGGCATTACAAATAATAAACGCATTCGGTTTATACACTTATAAATTTGAAAACGCTATAAAATCTTTAAATTAGTCTACCAATATGTTAACTATTACTTTTTACTGGATTCATATATATATATATCATATCATGCTTCAAATTTGCAATCTCTTTTAATCGTTAATCGGTAATCGTTTGGTTTTCTCTCAAATCGAACGAAAAATCGAAATGAAATCGAAGCCGCTGGCAACTGACTGACAATTTATTGTTTTTGCTGAGTTTCTCTGTCTAAACAACGGACGCAACTTGAAACGTTCTCTAAATATTGTATAATCGAATATAAGTATTGCATACATTGCATTTCACGTGTTCTAATTGTATTCGTAATCGTATTAAGTATTTAAAAAAAAAAAGTAATCCACTTGGAGCGTGCGATATGCACCGACACGCTATATATATGCTATATGGTATACGGTATATGGTACATATACTGGTTTATAAAAGTTAATAAATATCCGTGTTTTTCATATACGGTTTAGGTCTAGTTCGTAGATTATTTAAAGCTGAAATTAATGATTATGTGCTCGTTTGTTTTTATACTCGTAGACGTTATGTGGTATATCGGTATATTCTTGATCAAAGACGATTGTTATAGGTGATTGACTTGAGAGCGTGATTAGTTTTTTGGGCCAGATCAGATCTCTAGAAATGCTTCCGAATGGTCTGTGCTTGTGTTTGCTAATTTCATTTGAAAACATCGAACATCGAATAATATCTACTATCATGCCAATTACATTTAAAACACAAAATAATCAATTGGGTATACTTACGTTTGATTTTTCAGCAAACTCAAAATTTGTTTTGAGGACACAAAATTAGCAAACACAAAATTTGTTTTCCTTTTTTGTTTTTTTTTTTTTTGTTAGTTTACTTTTTTTCACTTTAATTTCAAACAATGATTTTTATTTTTATAGTTAAATATTTCATAAAGTATATATAGCATTACTATATCTTTCGATTCGATTTGGTTTGTTCTGTTTCGTTTTATCGTTATTATTATTTCCATTCTTACGCTTCATTTTTATGTTTTATGAACGCTTTTGCTAATGTTTCAACAATTTTTTTGTGTTTTTGTTTCACTTTTACTTTTTACGCAATTATTCAACTTGTTAAAAATCTATAACCATAACAATTTCATATATATATATATATCTGTATATATATATTTCTTGTATATATTTCCTCTTATTTACGTTGCTTTAAAGCGAGACATCTACGCCACTCGACAATTTTGTTTGTGATTTGTGTGTGGGTTTTTTTTGGTTAATGATTTTTGGATGTATGGGGAAATGTTGGATTTGGGAATCAGGAAGTTTTTTTTTATTGAATTTTCCTTAATTTTTTGATTAGCTTTCCATTTGCTATTAATAAGAGTGGGGGAGTGAGAAGATAAGCTTCTTAGTTATTTAACACTTTCTCAATTCTGTTGGTTATTCTCTTGGAAAATTGAGTTTTCTTTGTACCTTTTTAGAGAGAAAAGTGGGCGCGATATGTTGGAATGCATATGTATGAATGATAGCTTAGATGTGAGTGGGTGTGAGTGAGGGAAATCTTCAGTACAAGTAATTGCTGGGTGTGCTTTTCCATTTTCTTGTTAGGTTCTAATAAGATGTAGTTAAGTGTGAGTGTTTCGTTCTCAAGTATTTTATTTGTTTTTTTTATATAATAAATATGACTTGGTTTTAAAGTTAATTTGGAAGATATTTTTTTAGGTTTTGTTTTTCTTTCTATTCGATTTAGTTTTTGGTATCCTTTGTTGTCTTTAGTTTAAACATAGAGCATGTATAAAAGTTTAAGTTAATTTGTTGTTTGTTCTTGGAAGTTGTCTCTGTTAAAGCCTGGCGACCAAGGCAATCTACTCGTGAGAAGTGAGCTTGCTAGTTTCCGATATATACGATACAGGATGCGTATATATCCATATAGAAGGACTAAAGTGGACACTTTTGGAATTAAGAGCTACCATGAGAGGCGCTTGGAGTGGCTGAGATGGAAAGTAGGGGTTAAGAAGAAGAAGTTGTGAGATTTAATTACTAAGGAAATAGGTAAGACGTTCCAATAGTTAGTTAAATATTTAGAAAAATAGGTAAAGTCAGATTAGAATAGGTAAACTGATTGGAGTTTTCTCTTTGGTTAAACTAAATTGATAACTATAAAAACAACATCTTATCAAGATCCAATATAGAGAACCCTAAAGAATGTTCTCAGCCAACTCTCTGCTGGACTGGTACAAGGACTACACTTGGGCAATATGAAGGGATGTGGTGTCTTCTATGTGGAGAGGGTATGACCTGATGTTAGCCTCGTTCGAGTTTTATACAATGTCTCCACCTCGTTCCCTGACAATCCTTTCTCTCTCTCTCTCTCTCTGTCTCTCTTTGTCTTCCGGTTCGCATCGTTTCGGTACTGTTCTGCTGTTGTGTGACCTCTGACCTGTCCATATCCTACATGCATATATCATATTATCATTAGTTATTTATATATATTTATATCTGTGTGCAATCGAATGCACTGCACCCATGGGGTGTAAGAGCAGCCACTTAGTTACGTTAATTCTGCATTTCCATCTGCACATCGCATTGTTCAGTAGATACAGCGTATATATATATATATAGTTCTGCGAATGTGAATGCATATATAATTATTTCCGATGCGTTACTGCTGCTTCTACTGAGCCGACTTGGCTTCAATGTACAGTTTTCGGTCTTGATTTTCGCATTTTCGTGAGTGAGATTCGCCTGTTGTACATATATAGGAGTATGCATATAGTGCGATGTCACTGCTGAATCCTCTTCGTTCACTGGTAATAAAAATTATTGCTTTCTGTTCTGAGAGTGTTTATGTGTGTGTGTGTATTTGTAACTGTATCTGTGTGCTGTCCTGTCGCTTCCTTAACTTGACTGCGAGCCATATGCAAACGTCTGGATATCCGTTAGATACATTGCCTACTTAAGTATAGTTTTGCATATATATATAGTAAGTTATCTTCTGGTATATATAAAATATATATATATATATATGTATGTTTATATTTAGGTGTATATATGTATGCGTTTTATGTTAAATTATTTGGGTTTTCTTTTCCATTTGCATTTTCATCGGTTTTGCGGCCACTTGGTTGTTTTTTTTTACGAGTTTAGGTTTTTAGTTTTAGTTTTAGAAAAATGTTACGTACCTTCTAAATAAAGAGAGCAAGTTGATTTTGTTTCATATTTTTGTTAAATATCGTCTTATATGTCGTTTATATATAAATACGTTAATATGCTCATATATATGTATTTTGGGGGACTTCATTAAGCAAAAAGTATATGAAATTATTAATATATATTTTTTGTTTTTTTTTTGGGTTTTTGTAGGCTTAGTTTTTGTTTTGGATTTTCTTTTTCGAAGTAGTCTATAATAAATATGGCTTCAATGTAAAGTTAAAGTTAAATTTAAATTTCAACTCAGCTCCTCCTAAACACGCCAACATGAATCAGAATTAGAATTAGGACTAGAAACGGGATCAGAACTAGAATCATAATCATAACTAGAATTAGAATTAGCATCGGACTGGAATCGATAATCATAATATCATAATGCTCTGGTCTGGATGTATGGCAAATGCTTGTCTGCTTTTTCCTTTCTTAGCAAAATGTTTATTTTTTTAGTATGCCCTACACATTCGCATCGATTTAAGTTTGTTTTTGAATTCGAGTATAGCTTACTTTGAGAGTTTTTCGATTTATTCGATTTGTTCGCTTTGCTTGTTCAATAAGTACGCAAATTATCACTTAATCAATACAGGTCAATATATAGTATGCCATGTAAGTGTGCTTGTGAGTGGATATATAAGTATTATGTATATAAGTCGTAAACTAGATAGAGTTTAGATAGGCTCTGGATAAAGCTTTTAGGAGAATTCTTAGTAGAGCACGCAAATGAAAGGCTTCTGCTCGATCGATCGATCGATCGAACCGAAAGAGCTCAACACAAAACTTGGAGGCTGCTTTCCTTTATCGTATCGTATCGTATCGTATCGTATCGTACCGTATATTAGGATATAGGGTGCCTTGTGCCGAGATAATCATATATATTTGTTGATACATACTTTTGCTGGTTTTCTTATGCTTGTAGTTAAAACCCAAACGTTAGGTAGATATTTAGTAAGTGGTTGGGAAGCCATTGTCGTGTTTCCTTCTCGCTAGTTTTGGTATTAGATCATAGATAGATACGATAGTTGGGAGCAAAGATTTATAGAGTTAAGGATAGGAGGGGGGCGGCTTGCGTTTAAAAAGCTGCGCTAAAACACTTTAAAGTAAATGTCATTCGAAAAAGAAACGCTGGCACTAACTAACTCGCATTTTGTTAACGTTAAGTTTTCGATTTCGTTATTTTCATTATAGCTTTCGCGCGTGTATGTGTGTCTGTTGTTTTTTTCTTTTTTTTTTTTTGAGTTTTTGGTTTGGTTTGATTGTGTGTGTCTGTGAGTGTGAGTGTATGTGTGAGGTCTGTTTAACAATTCGATTATTTAGCTTTAGTCCATTGTTAATTAATTTGTTAATCATTCATAAATTTGCTTGTATATAATTTAGCTAATTGGGTGTGAGACTGACGAGACTGATGGGGTCCTTGTCTCGTCCTCGGCGGCATTTGGACATCCTTGGGCAGGTATCCTTGGTAGCTCGATATATCGATGGAGTGATAGCCGGGTAACTCGGTAACTGTTGCCCACTTTGTCTTTGCCCTTGCCCCCTCTTTAAAAGGGGCAAGTGATCAGGTCGTATTCGAACATCAGCGATACGGCGACAAAGACAAAATACAACAGAAACATGGTGAAGCCCAACCCCTTGTTCATGCGCCAGCGGAAGCAGGCGATCGACATCACCACGAACACCAGCATCATAAACAGGATGGTTATGGAGCAGACCATGCCCACCGAGTTCACCTCGACGGGCGCTCCATAGATGATTCCGTACAGCAGCCATGGAATCGGCAGGCTGTCAGGGATATTTAACGTTTCCGGTTAGTTAGGTTCCGACAGGAATGGCTCTTGCCAGTAGGCAATGCTATCATTTACTTACCCTACGGTAACATCGAATATATTGCTGCCCACGGAACTGGACACGGCCATGTCGCCGAATCCCTTGCGTGCCACAATCACCGAGGTAATCAAGTCCGGAATGGATGTGCCCGCCGCCAGGAAGGTCAGACCCATGACCTATTCGAAAAAGGAAGAGCACGGTAAAAGGGTTAATCAGCAGCGTTGTACTAGGACTCAAAATTCAGCAAGAATACATTTTATATTTATAAATTTCTTCAAATTGTATTAAAATTTTTATATTTTTGTTGAGAATAAATGGATAAAATAATCAAAATAAAAAAATATCTGTTTTTAAGTGCTAAGTAAGGTACCTCGGGCGGAATGCGCGCCGTGTCGCCGGCCACGTTGGCCCACCACACCATCAGGTAGGAGAAGGCCGCTATCCACACGATGGAGCCAATGAAGGTGACCGGAAAGAAGCGCTTGCCGCGGGGCGTCCGAGTGTCGGGCAGTGTTAGCCACATAGGCACCAGTAGCGGGGCCACCAGGACGTAGGTGAGCCGCTTTCGCGCCGTGTCCGGCCAGGCCATACTCAGGGGTTCCGGCTCATCCTCGATTTCAGGCGCCTTTATTTTTTGGTCAAGGCAAAGGAAGAGATTGGCGATTAGGGACTTGGACCGAACTCAATTGAAGTCTGTTAGTATTAGTATAGTATATGGGTATATATATATATATTTATATTTATAATATTGAATATGTAATACGGAATTTGTTGTATAAAATATATAGTAAAAATGTGGGTGTGGGTGTGGGTGATTGGAGCGGAACTCGCTCGCCAGTGATTGAAGGTGGGTTGATTGATATCGTTGTTTGGGTTCTGAGTTGGAATGCGTTTCGAGCTATGTTTACAGATGGACATGAATCGATTACGGGATAGCTTTTTGTCATAGTACAAATTTAGCTTCGCTTTCGGGTTTTGCAATTATTAGTTACGAACGATGTTGTATTAACTTTTGGTTTAGTTTTTGGTCTGGTTTGGGTTTTCATTTCTCTGGCAGGAACTCGCAGACAGGCGTTTAGAGCTTGCTTGGCGGGATCTTAGGTGGATTCGGTGTCGATTCGTTCAAGGTAAACTTAGTGTGTTACGAGTTCAAAGGGGTGCACTTACTTTCTAGCAGGACTACAATTACGTTACGATACTGATTTGTGATCAGAAAGATTAGATGGTTAGACTTAAAACGTGCAGAGTTCTATCAGCATCGCAAGTACAGTGGTGCTACATTGGTGCATTGGTACAGTGGGCATGCTCAAGTTCGACTTGCAAGTGCAACATTACACACAGACACAGTGACACAGTCTACAAGGTACAAGATCAATGGTGAACAAAAGTAGAAAGTAAAACTGGTTAAAAAGAAGTCTCTAAATCTAGGTTTCTATTACTAAGGTTAATTCTACTCAAAGTATTACTTGAGTGTGCTACACTGAACAAAAAATTTTGTAATGTGTTATATTTTTTTGATCTAGTGGGCGATTCTCAGAAGCAAATACTTTGCAAATGCAACAACTAAGTGGAAATTTCTATGCGGTCTACACTCCACGCTCCTGGCCAGTAACTCAACTTTCCCATCTATTTTAAATGTATTTTTGTATTTTTCTTATCGATCGAGAGGCCAAAGATATGGGTTACTCAATGACTGGCTTGTGGTTTCTGGACTTGGCGTTCTGGGCAATACTAATTAATCATCACTCGGCATGAGGTGATTTCATTTACGATATTTGATAGCTGCATTTTTAATTCAACCAGCTGAAAGGTTTTTTCTATAAAATTTATGGAAAACCACAAAACTATCAAAAGTGAGCAAACCATTCCAAAAGGAATCTTTTACAAATATTTTAAAAATATATTTAAGGGTAAGTATAAATATAATAAAGGGTAGGGTTTCAGGGTTCCCTCCCAACGGGATCACCGCCTAGGAGCTTTTGTGTACGACACGCGTGCATTTTTCTGATTGATTTTCTTTTGTTACTTTATAAGATTTAAAAAAAGGAAACATTTTCGTCATTTACGATATATTTGTTGCAATAAAATTATAAAGATTGTATGCAATATATAGAAGAGCGTAGATAGATAGATATAGAGAGAGAAAGATAGATAAAGAGAGATCAATAAAAATTGTTCATGAAACTAACTTTGATGCTAAATTTGCGTGTCTGAATTTTGACCCTCTGCTCAATCCAGCTAGGACGTCGACCACTCAACGATGGCTTTAGGTTGATTGTTCAAGATACATTATATAAATTTATATGACAAGTATTTTGGGAGAAGAGTACACATTTATAAGTATATATATTGTGATTTTTGAACATAAACTTTTTTTGGATCTCAGGGACAAGTCCTCAGAATCAGATCATCATTTATGGAAATAATACTTTGTTTAAAACATAGGCTGTTAGAAAAGGTAGAAGACTTTTGGGGGGTATACAGATAGATAGATAGATAGATAGTTTTTTTTTGGAAAGAAGACTGTTCACAATGTTAAGAAGAAGTGTGGGTAGTCGGGGTTTACATAACAAACACATACGGAGCGGGGAAAGTAGTGGAAACACAAACACAATTTTGCTGGTTGTGGGTAACATTGTATTCTTTTTTTTATTTTTTAAGGATTTTTTTTTAAATATTCTTCAAGACAAGAAGCCCAACTCGGAAAATTCGGTTTCTAGCGGCCCTCGAGGCCAGCCATGTTGTGTCTAATTGTGAGTCGAATTCAAATGAGGTCGCAGTAATTGAGGCGAGTCAGCACCTCAGAATTTTGTTTGTTTGCTTTGTGATCTTTGCATAAATGAAAACAAAAAAATGTAATTAATAACCAACTAGGAAGCGGGATTCCCAACGGCAAGCCGAAGTTTTTACACTCTTGCAGGCGGAGATTTAGTTCTTATATAAATAATAAGGAAAAAAAGAGCCGCAAACGATGAAGCAGCTCTTTCAGATTCTGATACTGCTACCGCTTTATCGTTTACAACCCAATATAAAGCTGAAGTTTTACGGTGAATCGGTTGGATGTGCAGAATTCTTGTCTGTTAGGTTACTGGGTAATGGAAAATTTGCCAAGAATTAGCACAGTTTCACAGCTTTCAGAAACAACAAACCTTAAACGGATGACGGAACTTTCTGACCCTCTGCAAGAGTTAGGGTATTTTGTGCCCGCAATGAGCATCCGGAATGCAATGCTACTAAGGCTGCTGCTTTAGCTGATGGGGGGGCCAAAGCCAAGTGCTTGCGCCTATGCATAAGAATGTTCGCTTTAACAAAATGCCAATGATTACGATACGCGAGGTACGATATACGAGCACACACGCTGTGTGGGTGGGTGTGGTGATCGGTGTTTTCAATAATATTTTTTGGGCGCAGCTACTTTGCATTGGAATGACTGCATCGCGCATTAGTGAATTATGAATGGAAATTATAAAAATGCAAGGCACTGACATTGGTTCTCCTGTGGATGCTTTTTGTTGTGGATGTTTCAACGCTATGTACGAGTAACGAAATCAGTTAAAGACACAAAGCAAATGAGTTCCAAATGGGTCATACGGTATACGAGTATGCAAAAATTTCACTATTCCGAATTAGCTCTTCTTAATCTGGGGCAAGACAAAACACACACAGATAGATAGAGTTATAGATAGATAGATAGTTCGATAGAGATGGATGGAGGGTGGAAAGATGGGGACATGAAGATACTCCGAAAGTAAGGGAGATAAACATACACAAACAGAACGAAAGAAAGTTCAAAGGTAGACGGGAGGAAAGTTGAGGCGTGTATGGTGTTTGTGTGTGTGAGATAGAGAGTGTTGTGTGTAGTGGGGATGGGTGGGCGGTGGGTGGGTTGAACAGTTTTATGGAAAAGATATAAGACACAAATCGTTGATTAGTTTAAGATAAAGTATTAAATGAAAATCCATAATAAGTCACACATAAACGTTGCATAAACACACAGATCTTTTTTTTTTTGTTTTTTGTTTTTTTTATAATCGCATTTCTTTGGGCTGACCTACACATTTAGCCATTTTATATTTTGAAACCGTCAATAACAGTGGGAAACGTACAGAGGAACACATCAAAAAGAATGAGGGAAGAATATACATCAAAACATATATTTAGGTGGGCAGTAAAAAAAAACACACCATGTTTTAGTTTAGAATCAGTTCAAACGTTGCGTCAATCAGTTAACCAATCAGTTGCTCAATCAATCAATCGATTAGCAATTTTAAGGAAACATGCCAACAGCTAGAATTGGAAAACGGTGTGTATATTTTGGTAGGTCGCTTGAACTGGTCGCTAAAACCCGGTCTAGAAATATGGGTAATACATCGAAATGGGGAAAATCAGATTTACGAAACACGATATTAGGCTGACATACGATCTAGGATTACGAAATTTTAGTGGCTTTTAATATTGAAATTGTTTTACGTGACGCGTTTTCAAATTCGTGTAAAAATATTTTTACGATATTCCTTTACGGCATTGAAATTTTGTATTTGCAAAGAGTTATGAGGTATTGAAATACGATATTCGGATTAAACTGTTGCGGATTATACAATTTTAGCGCGATATAAAAATTAAGAAATTTACGATATACGGTATTCCGATTTACGATATTCAGATTACCGTTAAAGCCAGACTTATCCGAATTTGTTGCTTGTATGAAGAATGCAGCGCATTGTGTGTGACACAATCAATCAATCAGTTTGTAACGAAAGCACAAGGAAACCGAAAACTCAAATCAAATCAATATGGATATTCGAAAAGAAAAGTCATGCCTAAGGAAAATCATGAGCAATATATCATTAGCACATCGTACGGATTACAAACGAGGGCGCGGGCGCATAGAGAAGTGGTTGAGGAGGACTTACCGAGTCGAGAGTGGTGTCGATATTCCCATTGGGACGATCGGCGAGCGTAGTCTCCTTGAGATTGATCTTGACGTGATTGGCCGCCGAAGTGGTGGCACCGCCACGCTGCGGCTTGGTGGCATCCAGCAAAACCTTCAGCGAGGCGATGGCGTGCAGCTGCGTCGCCTTCTCGTCCACTTTGCCTGGAACATCATCTTTGTCATTGTAATTGTGTGTGGTTTTTTTTTTGCGAGTGTTTCGATAAATAATGCAGTGTTTTTGTTTATTGTTTGTTGGTACACAAAACACGAGTGTGGTGGTGGTATTTGGTGTTGGTGTGTGGCGAGTAGCGGTGTTGTCGTTGTATCATTTGTTATTGTATGTGCGGTTACGGTATTCGGTATTCGGTATTCGATTTCGATTTTCGGTTTATTTTATTATGTTGGCACACAACGAATTGATTTTTTTTGAACGCAAAATCCAAGTGTTTTTTTTATTTGATTTTTTTTTTTGGTTTGGTATATTTTTTATTTTTGCGAAAAATCAAAAGAAAAAAAGAAGAAAAAGAAAAGAATAAAATTGCATCGATTAAAATGAGAAATAAACGAATTAACCCAGTTACGAGTTTCATTTTCAGATTTAGTTTCTTTCTTAGAGCTTTTAATTTACAATTAAATTTACTCATTTAGGGGATTGGATTGGATCGTTCATATACGCAAATATATGTCTATATGTATATTGAAAATATTTTATACAAAATGTTGATGTCAGTTGCGAGACAGCATTTGGAGGTTGCTTTGAGTAAGTTAATAAGTTAATAGCTAGGAGCTAGGGGATACAGTCTAGTCTATAGAGTATAGAGTACAGGGTATGACAGAGTAGAGCGGAAGAGAACAGGGTTTAGAGCAGAGCAGAGCGGACAGCAGAGTATGGGGGTAGGGGTTCGTAAGCTGACTAGGACTACAACTAGGACTATTAGTAACTAGGACTAATCTAGAGAACACTACTAATATTTACCGTGTCAGAGTCTCATGGGGTTTGGTCTAACTTTTGTCTCTGAATCGATCCCGATTCGATCTATTGAGTGTGAACTTGTGTTTTGCACTAGGAGCTGATTAAATATTTGAGATTTCGATCTGGTTTTTGGTTTTTTGATGATGCTTGGGGGATCGGACGGGGTTTTTCTGATGGGTATTAATTCGATTCGATTCGGTTTCTTTTTGTTGTTGTCAATGCGGCGTGAAGTTCTCTTTTGAATTTACATTTTTTTTTTCTCAAGGGATCATCTTTCTAAATGGCTATATATTTATCGAAGACCCCTTTCTAGCTTTGTTTTAGGTATATACATATACATATGTGTGTATATATGTACACGATACGATTCCGATAGACTTATATCTAAGCTTAGCTTACGTTTCTATAGATCGCATATGTGTGTGTCGCGGTGGTTTGATTATGATAGAGGAGGATTTCTTAATAATATCGATTTGTCTAACTTTGGTTTTAATACAGACCTAGAGAAGAACATGCTCATACAGAGAACTGAGCAAAAGCACGACTAGCTATTTCGGGATGGGACTTGTGATCTTGGCTGTTCTTGGCTTAGCTATAAGAGTGGCAGAGCGGGTAATTATCTAATCAGATCTATCGAGATCATTGCCATCGTTGGTAGGAAAATGATTTCCGTCCGTCTCTGCCGGATTTCCACTGAACACAGGCCCAAAAACACAATTCCCATACAACGAGCAGCATAACGAGTTGAAAGAAAAACACACAGGCTAACAATATATGACGAACATTCCAGTGACAAAAAGCGATCCGACCTATGCAAAAACAACCTGAAACAAGCTCGACTAGTCGCACATGCAGTCGCAGCTTGTTAATAGTTTGAATAGTTTACTATCTACTCGGATGTGTGTGTGTGGATGGGTGTATATATAGTACATATATATAGGTAGTATGAGTCTGAGTGTAAGTCTGAGCCCCTAAGTCTAAGTCGAAGCCGATTTCAAACAGCATTGCTGCGAGCCAATTGTACTAGTTGCTAACTAATTACAATTTCAATTACAATTACAATTACGATAATGATTACATTTAACACATACAACATTAAGAACGCATAGTTAATATGTACAATATAAATTGTTTTGTTTTTGTCACGCGTCAAACTCAACTCAATCTAGCATTCAATGGCATAGGTACTTGAACTATGGAATATATTATATTAAGATCTGCAGTATATCTATATCTTTTCAGTTAGTACGTGTGCCATTGAACTGCAGGCACAAACTCTAGGAATTTATGATAAGTTCTCTATGCTAGATATATAACGCATATGTATATATATATATAGATATATTGGTATAAATGTAACTCCAAACTGACATTGAACAACATAAAATATTTTCGTTATTTTGTTTTCTTTTTTTTTTTTTTTGTTTTTCTGCTTTTCTTTTTGTTTAATTGTTTCTTTTTTTTTTGTTTTCTTGTTTGCAACAAAATGAAAAACAAAGCCGAAAGTAAATCAGTAAATAGCGTATTTGTGAAGCTTTAGCAACTGAAGGCGAAAGAATAAACCCTTGTGATCTGACCTAATACGCCTCCAATCAAGATCCGCTTTAGGTTAAACTAAACTGAATCATCTAATTAGCTTAAATGGGGAATTTTCAAGTTAAGAGCTCTGCTGTCAGCTAACAAACTGCATTGTGTTTAAATTAATTTATTCTAGATAGTTAATTAATCATTTTAGTTATTTCCATTGCAATTTGTAGATATCTTCCCAAAGCTATACTTTTATATTAACATCATTATAATTCTGTTTTTCTAAATTATAGAAAATTAAACCTTTAATTGCTTAGATTTTTTCTTTGCTTTGCAGCGAACTTCTGTAATATTTCACTTATCTCTAATAGAACAGCTCAATGGTTGAGGTAGGCCCACTTGGAGCTACACGAATTCTAACACTTCGCACCTGCGAACCTTGACGAACACGCCCCTGAGCTGCCTCATTTCGATTCGTTTTATTTTCTGTGGGCCATTGCCGTGGCAACGACACTGACGCCTTTCCTACATATTCATGGGTACCTAGCCTATACTCAATCCGTAACAAAATCAATGCTTTAAAATGAGGCTCAATCTGATTGGTAACTTTGCAGAACTACAGAATCTATAAATTCGGTGTGGCAGCAATGGTATCGCGATGACCTTTGCCTCTTCCTGTCCCACCCAACAAGCAAAAGGGTTAGTGCTGTCAATAGCCCCTCTCCTGACTCTTTTTCCTTCTTTTCTTTCTTTTTTTTTTTTGTTTGTTTGTGGTTCTAGCTCTAGTCGACGTTTTGTCTGGGCCTGGCGTGCTAATTAGGTAAGTGGCTCCAAGGTCGCCATTAAAAAAGTGAACCAAAGCCAACGGAAAGCTAAAACCAAATTGAAAGAAAAACAAAACAAACCGAACCGAACTGAAAAGGCAACAACGCAACGCAAATGAGAAATGGAAGTAGAAGTGGAAATCGGAGCATAGACATAGATATAGTAGATACAGATATAGATACAGATACAGTAATTGGTAAGAGCAGCAGAAGTGGAAGGATGAGCGAAAAAGTAACTTCTGGCTGGCAAGTCAAACATCCAATTAGAAGGAAAACAGAATTTACACAGAATTTGTTTCAAGAAACCCAAAAAAGTAAGAACGAAACTAAATATAACAATTTTTACTTTAGGACAGATATAGATAACAGGTACAGAGGTACAGGTACAGGTAGTATATATAGTATAGTATATAGAGTAGAGTTGGATGTTATTGCATTTGTATTTATCATATTTTGGATGTAAGCGTGGCGGACTGGGAAAACTCCTGCACTAACCGACAAATTGTAAGGGAAAATTAAATAATTTAAGTGAATCATTATAAGGAAGCTATTTTACGTTTTCTTGAATCATTTTTTGTATATTTGGAATTAAAAGCTTAGATGAAAAATTTAACAGGAAATATAAGTTACTCATAAGCATATTTATGACTTATAGAAAAATATATTTTGATGTTATTCCTAATTAGTAATTCTTTTTGATTTAGAAAGAAAGAAAACATAGTTCTTGATTCTTACAATTTGTTTATCAGTGCAGAAAGAGGTTATGGAACTGGAATGGGGATTTCGGGGGATTAATGGTTAAGCAGGTTAACGGGTAGGACTTCGTTATGGGGACTTTTAGTAGCATTTTTTCATTTTGCATTTTTTTTTTTTGGCATTTGGCTTGACTTGTGCAAAACACACTGTGGCAACTCAACGAACTTACCATCGTGTAGTGGATCTATCGTGTGTATCATTAGCTGTAACAGGCCGTGGCGGAACTTGGCACCGGTCTGAGTACTACCCGAGGTGCCGCCCCCGCCGCTGCTATTACCTGTGGCGCCCGCATTGCTCGATCCGGGCGGACCCGAGCGTGTTTCGCTCGCCGCTCGTGATGTTACGGAGCCGCCCGGTTGGGTGGCCATTGATGTTTCCGAGGAGTTGGCCGCATTACCCTGCAGTGAAGGAACGGAGAGAACGGTAGGTGGCGTGGGTTTGCGGTTACGGTATCGGTATCGGTATCGGAATCGGGTTTATCGGGTAACGGTCAGTTACGGTTTCGGATTACGGGTTTTCGATTGGGGTTTTTTTTTTTTGGTTTGATTCGGTTGAGTTTTTCGAGTTGTGGTATTTTTCAGAGAGCGGTGTAATGTTAAATTATTTTGTTTTTTTGTTATGGTAAGCATATTTCGAGAAAAAGGTGAAAAGAAGAAGAAGAAAAGTTTATTATTGCAATTTGTATAAATTTACAGTTGAGTGTAGCTTTTGGTTTTTCTTTTCTTTTGTCGCATGTTTTCTGTAGCTGTTGTTGTACTTGTTACTGTGGCTGTTGTTGTTGTTGTTGTTGCTGTTGGTGGTGGTGGTGGTGGTGTTTGTTTTTGGTTGTTGTATTTGTAGTTGTTGTTGTTTGTGTGGCTTAAAAACTAATCGAATCGGTAAGTGCAAGTTAGTTGGGAGCCAATATCTGAACAGAACTCAGGAAACATCAAACCGATAACATAACCGATAAATATATCAAAACTCATGGTATGTTAAAATGAAAATAATAATCAAAAATAATATATAACAAATTCTTTACCACAACATCCAACAAAATACGTTACGATATACGGACCACACTTGCGATCAAACTGTGCAGCTGATCTATGGAAAATATTGTACAGTCTTGAGGGTTACACTTTTTCAGAGAGAGAGACAGAGAGATCGATAGTCTTGAATTTAGAATCGATTGGCTTTCTGACATACTGTCAAAAGTGGATGTTGGAACGTACAAAAAGTATAGAGTTTCGGAAGGTTTTTGTGCAACAAAATAAACATCTCGATCGGTGCGGTTAACACTTTCATTATTTACAGAAGGAAAGTAGGTGCTAAGGATCGATCTTGGAAGTATCTGGAAGATGCCTCAAAAGCACTTTGGGCTCTCTTACGAAGGTGAAAACACATGAGTCGTATATATATATACATATTACAAAATCAAAATGATAAATTCGAAGATGAGGAAACAAAATACGTATAGATGAACACTTTTCGTTTTTGGTCGTTGGAAATTTTTTTCTGTTTGTCTGTTGCAACAGTATGGTTGGTTTTTTTTTAATACATACAAGCTTTATATGACTTTTTTTTGGTTTTTCTTTTTTTTCAGTTGCTTTGTTAAAAACAAAATGTACACATATAGTTGTATATTTTTTTTTTTTATATCTGTATTGATATTTGTCAAAGCGCAGTGGGAAGTTTTGTTGTATTTCATTTTGCCTTCACTATAATCAAAAAGAAACAGATAAAACACAAAAACATTTGGAAAAACTTTGTCGGAGAACTGAAACCGAAAAATACTTTCAATCGATTCTATCAATTAGCGATGGAAGCGCAGGCAGATGATGGATCGGTTTCGGATTTGGATTCAGAATCGGTGGGTTTATAACTAATGCAACGCAAGCACTAATCGTATAGCTACGAATATACTAAAAACGTGTACTGTATGAGGCGGGAGGTGACTAATGGGGACTCTAATGAATGAATGTTAACGATACGATATGATAATTGCCCTGGATATACTATACTATATATATTTGTGGTGTTAAATAAGTCCGATCGGAGAACGAGTCTTTCGTAACTCCCATTCATAAGTCGGACAGCAACTGGAACTCGCAAACTGGAAACTGGAGAGTGGTAGTGAAGCAGGTGTAGGGCAAATAAAGTTCAGATCTCTCACTCTGTTGGCGATTTAACAAGTGGCTCGTGCCCAGGTGAACTACCCCACTGTGGCTGATTATAATGCTAATTAATGCCCAGTCATGATGTTGATCGAAGCAACCAGCCAACTAGCTAATGGTCTGGGTTTTCTGATCCAATCACACTCATTCGCGATTCGAACTAATCACACTCAACCACTGACGCAAAGCCCGAAGACACCTGTGAAATCTGAGGTTTTGCACTAACCCAAGAGAAAGAACTCTCTCCCAGGGATTATTCACCTTGAACCTGTTCCAAGACTGCGGGTTGTCAGGTCGTTCTGATTGATTTCGACAATGCAATTAGCCGCAATTAATGGCAGACTATCTATATTAGCTGCAGTCAGGTATATGAAATCATGCCAAAAGTATTTTATAATATCGAAAATTCATCACCGTTCGGAGACAAAGACGCGGGGCAATTTACCTTACCAAAGCGCTTAAATCACATAATGAATTATTTAAGTCCAGCATGAATCATACTACGTAATTTAAAAAAAAAAAAAGAAAAAAACAACTCAAGATCAAGACTCAAGCTCGAAATTTCGCATGTCGACCTGAGTGGCTTACCAAATGATCTAAGAGATGCAAATCCGTAAGACAAATAAACGCTCAAATTGTCACTCAACCTGTTTTTCGAAATGTAATGTAATTGAATATCGAAAGCGAGAAATCAAAATCGGAAGCATTGGCTACCCGCCAGGTTGACCTCTAAAGCCAGTTCCAAGAAATGGCGCAAATATTCCTGGGATCCACTCGTGACGTAGTGACAATTTGTTTACGCTCCATAAATGGATTAGTAAACAAGCGAATGATAATACGTTATCCGAGTGATAACCGGATCGGAGCCCCCATCGATGCACTCAGCTGGAGAGCCGAGAGCTTAAGTCAGAGCTTGGCTTCGGAACTTGGCAGTTCGATTGCGGTCGGTGCTGTAATCCGAGGGTTTATATATAACTTGGCGAAGGCGCGCGTCGTCATTTAGTAACGAAGCCTTAACCAAACCGCATCGGACCGCGTAAATTACCCGAGGCACAATGTTTCAAAAAAGGATTATCGAGTTGATCACGGTTCTCGTGTATTGGATGATTATTACACCAACGGTCTACAAATACTGCACACAAAATGGAGTAGTAAGGGTTAGTTTCGACACCCTGGTGGGTACAGTGGGTGATCACTGCACCCTAGCCCTTATCTTGATGATTGGATACGTCGTCTTCTATCGCGTCATCATATTCATCTACATGAAGCTGAAGGTCTGCGATATTCAGATGTGGAGCGAACTGCAGAGGGCCAAGGATGATCCGGAGGCACATTTGGACAAGAAGTCTTACTATCAACCCGTTTCCACCGAGAATCTCGATGTCGTGGACTCTGGCAAGAAGAAGAGTAAAGCGCCACCTACTCCGAGAATGATAAGAACCATCAGCGATCCGCTGCTCATCGAAAGCGATTTGGCTCGCATTCATATTAAACATGAGACACGACCACTGGAAATTGCCACCCTACCCAGATTGCAGCAGGCACAGGTCCATTCCACACCAGTTCCCAGCCTGAGAAGTGCACCACCCGTGCCCACAAATACAGAAATATGCCACTCTGCCGAATAAACACAACCAAGAAGTGATTATGTCTCCCAAGATTCTGATGCCCAGAACCCAACAGGTGTAGACAGCCAGAGTGATAAGTGCCTTAAAGTTGGCTCATTATAATGACCAACAGCTTATGGGCTTAGTTTCTGTGAAATTCTGAGCTCAACTTCAAAAGGACTAAGTCCGCACCAAGTATTAGCTACTGCCCAAAGATCGATAATCGAAAAAATACACGAAATTAGTCAATCAACACATTCCAGTGTACTCGTTCGAGCGAGCTAAATGAATTATTTAGTTAGTGAATATTATATATTTATTTTTAGTCGTAAGGTAGCTATTGTTATCAATGCGTATTAAGCATGAGTTTATTAAAAACGAAATAAATCCACCCATATTTTGTAAAACTTTTAATCATTGATTATTTGGGACATCCCGAAATGTGTGGAATTTGAAAATTGTGAGAAAAGTAAAGGGTTAAACTAAACCCTTAAATCCTTTTTGGATGCTTTGAATTTTTATCGTTCTCAAGTTATCGCCGTTTAGTTATGAATTATACATGACGCAAAGACTCTGACACACAAACAAGATATTACAAGAAGTAGAGGAACAAATTGTTATTATAAAGGAAAAAGTTTCTAGGAAAAAGATAAAGTCGGCATCATTGAAAAAGAAGCCCAGATTAGAGCAGAGTGGGGGTGACTTTGGACTTGAACAGTCATCAAGCAATCCATGGCTTATCAGAAGGCATTCATAGAACTCACATTATATTGTTTTGGGAAATAATTAGCTGTTAGAGAAGGCCGAGGTTAAGAGTTCTTGAAACTGTAGACTTATTACATTCATTAACTTGAGTATAAGAATGATAAGGTGTGCCCATGAGATGTTTTATATAGAGCAAGAAGCATGGACTAAAGTTAAATCAAAAGCGTTCTACGCATGCGTCCAGATCTCGTTTTTCTTCCACACTTATTCCGTTTCACTCACACTCGCCCAGCATGCGGCGGGTTGGAGTCCCGGCTTAAGATCAAGACCAACAACAAAATCAAGTTCAAGCAGTGTGTGCAAGGTTTCTTTTTGGGATTCACTAGCATGCAGAGTTCTTATCGGATCGTGTCAGGAGTGTATGTGTTATATATATATGTGTGTGTGTGTATGAGTGAATGGGCGTGTCCAGTGGGTGTTGGGTGTGGGTGTGGATTTACACAAGTCGAAAGACGCATAGCAAATCAAACGGTTGACTAACAAATGGAATCGAAGCTAAGTACTAAAGAAGAAATTAGAAGTATAACTAGTGAGTAGAATTAAGATTACTTCGATAGCATGAAAGAATAGTATAATAATAAGAGTAATGATTAAAGTTAGTAGAACTGGAAGGTGCAACGCAGTCGGAAATAACCAGTTAGCAAGCTCTTTTCAGTGTCTTCAATACACAGTACTTCGTAAGCTACCTATTAAGAGTATAATATATGCAAAAAGGTTAGGTAGTATTCTAACGAACTTATATATACCCAACGCGTATATTGGATTTCAAAAATAATTATAGTCTTGTACCAAAAAGCAATTACTCATTTCCCAAAACTTGGGAATTATTAAATGAAGATTTTCAGTACGCCCTTTGGGTATGCAAAATATTTCGCAATTAGGTTAGGAATAGCGAGTATCTATTAGTCGGATTCCTTTTTTATTCCAGAAACCGGTAGAATCGAAATATATTTTAAGTACATGATGTCAGTTTTCAATTCTGAAAAGATTCAAGATCTAAAAAGCTCAATTGCAAATATAATTCCCAACCGGTTTAGTCTTACAGTTTCTCTGGGTATTTCTAATTAGACACTCCCCGTTGTATCGATAAACCGGTTTTGGGTGGGAAAGTTCCCGAAAGATGGGTCTAGAAATGCCATATAGATGACTAGACTGATTTCGAAATGTAATGCAAGTAATAGTGGGTCAAGGCGATGAATGAAGATCGCTCTCTTATAGTATTTCCTGGACCTGTTTTTCGAAACGCAGGTGAAATTTTTAGTGGAACTGCGAGATCCACTCTGAGTGACTGTCGACTGATTAATGTCGTGGTGTTCAATGCCAAAGAGCAGCATCGGGGCGCAGATATCTTAGTCACAGACGTTTCTTCGATGATTGCAACAACAATGGCCCTTAGTCATAACGACTTAACACCTGCTAACTGGTTAAAGTCCGGCACGCGCCAAATGCTCGCATGAAACTGAGATTGAGATTGGAAATGGAAAATTGGGAAGTTGGAATCGCGGGATGGTGATGGGATTAAAGGCCGGTTAGTAGGTGGGAAAAACATACACAAAACGAAAATCAAAAACTTTGATTCTTTTCTTTTTTTTACATTTGGCACACAAAATTTTGGCTTTCAATTTCGCTTTCTCTTTTACGATCTTCTTGATTTACGTTTTTTGTAATGGTTTCTTTTCATTTCCGATTACATTTCTTTTTCTTTCTTTGTTTTTTTTTCGTTTTCGTTTTCAATTAAGAACTTTTCGAGATAGAGAGAGAGAGATTTTGTTTGGAATTTTTGGATTGACTTGATTTGATTGATTTGATTTGATCTGAATTTGATTTGTTGCAAAAAAACTTCCCAACTACTTACTGCTGGCATAAGTTGATCTGTACTTCTGACGCGAGTCACCTTGTTTTTGGTAATCATCTTCTTGACGCACGTCTCCACCTGGACGTTCCACTTCATGAAGGCGACATAGCCGATGTAGATGGTGAACAGGATGAGGGCCTCCCACCAGAAGATGCGGTTGTCCCGGAAGAAATAGATCAGCACCAACAGGCTAATGCTGTAGAACGAACAGTCGCGGAACAAAGGCCACCAGGTGAGCGACAGGACCGTCTTCGAGAATAGGGCACACATGCCGATCACGAACAGGATGTTAAAAACGGCAGAGCCAACGATCGTACCAATGCCCACGTCGTCGAACGACACGAAAACGCCAATTACACTGGTGAAGAGCTCGGGGGCACTGCCACCCGCCGCCATAAACGTCGCGCCTGCCACATCGTCCGTGATGCCGAGCTTTTCAATGATTACGTCAAGGGAAGGCACGAAGAATTCATCACAGACAATGGCCAGGGCCACAAACATATATATCACCCCAATGATGTGCAGGATGACAGCGCCGTTCTCAAGCTGTTCTTTCGTGAATAGATCTTTCGGGAATAGTGGCGTTTTCGTGGTGGTCGAGTTATCGTTGTGCGTGTCTGTAAAAAAAAGTTATAGAAATTGTTTAGACTAAGTACGGTATAAGAGAGAAGCGGTTTATAAGAATAATAATTTGTGTTATTAAAATCTGGCCCTAAAAGCATGCTCTGCCTTTTAAACTAAAACTAATATATATATTTTCTGCACGATTGGATCATTAATCTAAACTACACAGGAAGAAAACCAAAAGCCACTCACAAATTGCACTGACGAATTTGTCATTTTATCATCTGCCAGTCTGACCTTTTCGATTGCTACCTGTCTCTGCCTAGTACATATCTATCTATATCTGCGATTCGCTCTATCCATCGCCGATTAGACATCCTCAATTAAGTGGCACGACCTTTTGGAAATCGCTGGCAAAACTCCCTTGTCGCATGCGGCGCCTTTGGTGTGCGATTTTCATGGCAATTATTTTGTGTAAATTATGCACCGCATTTTGCAACAATTAACAAATTGCACTTATTCAACGGCAACTTAAGCGACTGACTACGATGATGATGATGTTGATGTTGATGTTGATGTTGATGGTAAATGTTTGCAATGTAAATGTTTAACAATCATTTGCACTGTGAGCAATCATTTTGGCGCGTGTGCCAAGTAAATAATTAAAGCGACTTTAATCGCTTGTGGTACTGATCACAGCTCCACTGAATCATGTCATTCGCACAGTTCTAATAAGTCAGCTTCGATTTCTTTGTGTGGCAGCCACAGATTACCACATAAATCATCTCGCTACATTTATCTAGAATCTAGCTTTGCTTATTTTTAGTTTTTTGGTTTTCCTCTCAGAAAATGTGTAATGCGGTGATTACAAGGCTATGCTAAGAGGAAAGGGTCTCATTGATAGTAAGGGAAAAACCCAGATCTACGAGAATATTAAATTTAGATCAACATTCGTTCTTTAATATAAACATTTTAACTTCCGTCTTGTAAAGTTAATAATTTTATTTATCAAGACTTTTATGAGTATCATTATTTGTTTAGGAGACTACAGGAGAACCCTATTTCCTACGCCTCTGTAATAGAGTGGAGGATTGACTCACTTTGTTTTTAGTTCGAGACGTTGGACGGACACCAAAGAAATTTGCTCTATAACCGGTTTTTAGACAGGCAGACAGACAAATAGACAGACAGACGGACTCCCTGGCAATTTGCATGCAGTTAACGGACCCCACCGCACCACACCCACTCGACCCACCCACCTATCCGTTGGGGGCGATGGGCGGTCTAACATCGAGCGTGAGCCACAAATGAATGATTCTTATGAATCACTGGGCAAATGCTTAATGAGTGACGACGACGATGTCTCTCGAACCCGATTGAATTCAGACATTTGCAAAAGGGTTTTTGCTTGCCAATAGTTACACCCAGTTAACACTTTCGTTTTGAAAAGTTTGCCCTGCATATCAAACTGGATCATCGGCCCTCGTAACATATAAATGACTTGATTTTCTGATGGTTGGTTACTCAGGCAGTTATGAGCTGGTCAATGGTCTTAAAGCACTGCGAAAGCTAATGAGAGCAATTGAATGCGGTAAAATTGGTACGCCGAATGCAGAAATATGAATATGAATACCTAAAATAGGTACGTGTCATTGAAAATAAAAATGTTAACCCATAGATTGTGTTCGCTGTTAAAGCGAAAGATAAGCTAAAACAATTTCTCATACGTGATACCGATGGAAATCCGATATCTTCATTGGGAGATTTTTGCTGGTTTTTGCAATTGTGATGTATTGTTATCTTATCTGCCTGAAAGACTTGAATTGAATTAATTAAGAGCTTTAGAATGTTTATTTAAATTGTTATCTATTATATTGGAGAGAAAAAGGCAAGAAAATAATTGATTGATTTGTAAGGGTGAAGAATAAAGAATTTATTCATAACAAGAAGAAACGCTTCCTTCTGTTACATACTAGTATACCCTTTTATTCTACGACTACGATTAACTAGGTAATTAAATATTTATTACCACTTAAAACCAGAATAAGAAAAAAGAATATTGTAAAAAACAATGCAATTAATTTTTGTTTATACCCAGTTTTTATCATTTAAAACTGAGTCACGACTACAAACTTACTAATGCCCTGGATTTAAGGTTCTAAGAATAGATTGCCCTTGAAAATGCAATCTCAAATTCCTCATGGGATTTTTATGAGAACAAAGTTGACGTATAAAGAAAGTCATAATTGTTTGAGAAACCTCAGTTCATTCAGTATTTAATGTTTTCTTGGGCAACTTTTTACGAACAACTGATTACGCCATCAAATAATTATATCAAGAAGAAAATAATAAGAAAATAATATTCCATGTATGGTGCCTGCACGAGCCCCTCGAAGCAGAGTTGGTCATCAAATTGTTATTGGTTCAGTTGATGAAGGTAACGAAATAATGACTATTAAATATTATTTATTATTTATTGTATCTGATTATTTATTGCGATTGCTATTGCCATTGCTGTTGTCCATGTGGGCGTCTGCCTCTCAGGCTGCCAGCTCTCCACATTAAATACTTGGCCAGGGGGCGAGGGGAAACCAGTTCCGAATACCGCGATTGAAATGGCACAACAATTTGACTAAGCGATTGCAGTCGTCGTGAGCTCAGAAAAAATCAAGAGAACCCAGATGATAGAGATGGTAACGTGACCAATCTCAAAATAAATATAATTAACATTCAGAAATGAAGCAAATGAGTTGCAGGCAGTAAAAATTCATTTGCTGAAGTCATAATCTCATTAAGTATCTTTTGTTTTTATCACGGCGCCTTCTGGAGAGAGCTTTTGATGATATCACCTTAGAGGGCTGCGCTCGTGATAAGTCAAATCAAATAAATCGAGTTAAGTTGTATATATATGAGAAGTATAAGTAAGTATGAGTATCTAAGCAAATTGCTCTCGAAATAATAAGAGAGATAAAAGCTCTCCAGTTTCTGTAAGAAGGCATAATCTAGAAGCAGTAAGTCATGAAAACCAACTTTGATTGCTATATATCTACATATATCTACATATATATTATTTTATATTCAAAACCTTAAAGTTCTTAGAAACATTACTGAATTGTTCCTTTGTAAAGATTCCAAGAATATTGTCTTTTCAGTTCGAGAGTGGAAAATAAACATTTTTCTTTCTCATAAATCCATTCAAGCTACTTAGACTTAACTAAAATCTTCTCCAAGCTAATCCTATGTATCCCCTTTTTGTGGAAAAACTCTACTACAAGCTCCTCACGCACCCATCTCAATCTCAAAACTCAAAGCCCACTCACACTCCGCCGGCGGGTCTGTGATATGCGTCATGCTACGCGACCGAGACGCGTTGTTTACGGAGCAACCGAAGTCGTAACCAGAGAACAAAGCCACATCAGAATGCTCTGCGGCTGTCGCCACTCGCAGTCCGAATTCGCAATCAGTTTGCAAGTGGTAACCGATCCATTCAGATGGCAGCCGCAGTAATCCAAAATTTTGGCCAAGAGGAGCTATACGTTAGCCGGGCAACAATTCAGTTGCAGTTGCCGCAGGGTGGAGCCAATTCGACCATCTTCGAGTGGCGCACACAGGTGGTAACGCCCACGCCAATACCCGCCCACGAAGAGGAGTGCATTAGTGACCGCCAGACCACAAAGACTGCCACGCCCAAGAGCAATTACTACACGCCTCCACGGATCTTGGGAACGGAGGCGAAACCTAAGAACCTGCAGCAAACCATAGGCAACTTCTTCGAGGCGGAGCGTTACTCCAGTGCCTGGAATCGCGTGACGAAGTAGGCGCCACCACAAAATCTCCCCCAAAAAAGAAAAGAAAAACCCCGTAACCAACCGAAAGGGAAGGCCTAATCGATTAACCCATTAAGTGCCAAAAGCTGCAGGATAGTGAAATTCCATTCCGTTGCCAAAAATTCCAATTCATGCCCCAAAATTGCTTACTTCGTAGGGAGTGATGGGCGGAGGATAGAAGTACTAACCTAGGGCAGACCCAACTATGTATATATATATAATATAAGCATCCCATGAATATTTATGTGCCACCCTCTTGTAACCCTGATAATGCAATAAAAGTATTATTTGATAGATAAAGGGAAATTCTTTGAGGCTCCAACCTCCCAAGGGGTTAAACTTCATTAGGACCCGATAAGCAGGGACCAAATGACTTTGGGACTTGGCTGCTGATTTGGCTGCTTTCTGCTACGTCATCAGTGTGGATAAATCACGGCTGAACAAACGCACGAAAATTACAGGAACCAGCGATAAACTAAGAGCGAGAGTCAAAGAAAATTCGCACGCCTGGCCGGAAGTTCATTATGGTAGCTCAAAGCGGAAGTGCCAGTGCTATACACTCTAACACATATAGAACTTGGTGTCCGCGCGTTTTCACGCTCTCTGACCCACACACAAGAAAAAAGTAGAAAAAAAAAATAAGCAGCTGCCATGAAAGCACCTGCTAATTTATCAGAGAGACAGCGCGCTGTGGCACGGGCCAAAACGCTCCGCAGAGAGCGCTGCCAGAGTTTCAAGGTGGCTGGCGAATCGATTAGCCAGCCAACAGCCAACAGCCAAACAGCCAAAATCAGAGCAAGCCAAACGTGCAATGCACATGCAAGCCACTGCCAGAGGCACAAGCTGAGCCACACTGAGCGAAAAAATGTCACTTGAATTAGTCATCACTGGGATATCTCTAGCTGATAATGGCTATTAATATGACAATAAAAACTTAATATGTTATGAATCATTTTATGTTCTTTAACTTTACTGTTTGAGTATTCAGATTGCTTGCTATCACCCTCATTTTAATAAGTTATTAATAAATGTGTTAATTCCTTTGATTATTTTATGCGGCAGTTGGTTTTATTTTGATTTTTTTTACAAATGAATGCACGAATATTTCCTTTGATTATTGTTTATATTTTTTTGCGATTGAAAAACCAAAAGTAAAAACGATCTTTCAATAAAGTCGATTAAAAATAAGATTCAATTTTGATAGAAAAATAATAGGCCGATATGGCTAGTATTTTTCTTCGAGTGTCTGCAGGGTTGTCAAGTGGCTGTTGAATCAATGCAGGCTGAGAGAAGAGCCTCGCTAGTCCTGGCGCAGTGTGCTCAATATGAGGTGCGGGTGGATGTAGATGTCGATGTCGATGTCGATGTGGATGTGGCTTTAGATATGGATGGGGGCTGGGGGCACTTAAGGATTGCCATAGAAGGTTTATCACGGCTATGAGCAGCTGTCAATGAAGGTTGCTCGGCGGCAGTCCTTGCCACCTTCAAAAGTTACGGCGACCATAACTTGGCACAGTTTCGGGCCCAAAGCAAGCAAGCAAACACACACACACACACACCCACACATACACACATGAGTGGGCCGCATTTTAGCTAATCAAAAGCGGCTCTATCCCCAGGGCAATCCCGATGTGGACCAAGCCCAAAGTGGCAACATTATAATGCCAGCCCCGGACCAGTACTATGTGCTTGACCCAATTTCGCTGAAGAACTAAAACCCCCGAAAAGCCGGAATGGGAAACCTTTAATTTAATGGGAAATGTTTCTTAAACTAATTTTCACATTTATGAATTTATAGCAGTTGTTAAACTTCTCCAGGCGTTACAATAACAAATTCAAAAACCTGCTTAAAAAGTTGAAGCTCGTGTTACGGCAAGTGGGTACTTGAAATTTAAGAACCATATAAAGTACATATGTGTATGATTATGAGCTTGGTTTATGAACTTTTCAGAATCACATGAATTACCCACACATATGAACAAGATTTATGAGAAATTCCAGGAAATCAAAGGTATATTTTGATGAGTCAGCAAAGGTTTTTCTAAACCGAAATTATAATGAAACGCGGGGGTTTTCACAGATTGATTTATTAATATCGGCCTTGAGTGAAAACGTAATAACAATTTCATCAAAACTTTGTATGTTTGGAAAACTCTAATAAATCAGTTAATCCATTTCCTTGCTTTTGCTACAAAACTCAAAGAGACTTTTGGCAATAATATACTGTGATTTCCTAACAAGACAAATAAATTGGGGAATCAAATATAGGTGGCCAAGAAACATAAATAACTCTCGTGTTAATCTGATTTGTAGGAGACATAATCTTATTATTGGTTTTTAGTAGATACTTAGCAGAAACTGATGCATATCTCTTACTAATTTGTGAATAATTTGTTTTGTGGCAGCTAAAACTAGTCATAAATATCATGGAATCTTTCGAACTCAACGTATTAACATAATAAAAACAAACATAACCGGAGATCTAGTATGCTTTCGAGCCATTCGAGAAAGATTTGCTTACGCAGTTCGCTGTGAATGACACTCGATACCGTTGTGAGATTGCATTTATTAACCGGTTTTCTAAGAGTCCGACCACAAAACCCCGGATCGCATGAATCACGCCGATAAGGGCGATTCATTGATATCCAACGACAGTAGTAAGACCCCTCCGGCGCGTGCAACGTGATTCATTCGTGACTTGGACCCAAGTCGGGACTGTGGAAATATCCAATCCTGTGGGCTCACCTGATCTGAGTCAGTTGCAGCTGAGCTGGGATTAAAATTAATGCCAAATCTCAGTCACAAACTAGTGAGTGTGTATGTGTGTGTATGGGGCAGACATTCGAGGCAGACAGGAGGGGCAATTAGTGGCCACAAGGAGTGGAAGGACACTGGCAATGGAAAGATACAGGGGGGTATGTCAATAATTAAAAAGGCGGCCAAATGTTGTCATTTCAGTTCAGACCGAGCCCGAGCCAGAGCCAGAGCCAGAGCCCGAGCAAAAGCCCTGCAACACAGAAAAAGTACACACGTAGTGAAAAATCGCTGGGCGGCAGGAAGGAAACGACTTCCTGCCACCCCCACGAGCTTGGTTTTTCCAAGGGTCTGGGGGTTTTTCATCGTCTCTCTGGTGGCTTTTAGCATGCAACTCACACGTCCTTGCTAGGACGCTATTGTTGATGTTGTTTCTGTAGTTGTTGTTTTTGTTGCTGTTGTTGGCATTTTGATTTATCGATTTAAATTTCTGTGTTTAAGGCGCTGTGCGTGCTCGTTCTGCTGCCTTCTTTTCGAGCTCTTCGGCTCGGACTTTTCCGCCGCCGCCGCCATTTCGGTTTCCTTTTTTTTGGGGTTTTTCCCTATTTTCTTTTTCCCATTTTTCTGCCACTGCCACTGTTACTGTCTCTGTTTTTGTTTTTCTCAATCATTTTTCAAAATGTTTGCATACACACACATACATAGAGAACACCAAGTTTTTGGCCGCCTGCCGTTTAGGTCGAGGTCTTTACTTAACTTTATATTCCCTTTCCTTTCGGGCTTTTTTGTTTTTTTTTTTATTTCAGGGTCTGCTTGCCACCCACACTCTCGCACACCCACAAAAACGCCGACGTTGAGAGCCTGAAACGTCGTTAACAGCCACGTTTGCGTGTGCCTCGAACACACACACACACACATACACACACTAGCTAACATACTTATACTATATTTCACCCAAGAGTGTGTGTATTTTTGTTGTTATTATACGGAGAGCGCGCTCGCAATTTGGGTCGATGGTAAAATAGAAAAGCCAAAAGCAAGGCAAATACACTCACACATACACACTAGCAGGAATTTCTATATGTACACACACATATATATATATATATATATATATATAATTTCGAACAAAGGTCGCTGAAGAGAAGACCAGTGCACATTTATATGGAGGTACATATATATGTACGTACGAGGGTGACCTGAGTTATGTGCCCGCTCTGTCTGCATCACAGTGTGTGTGTGTGTGTGTGTGTGTGTATGTCATCCGCCGTTTTTTTTTGTCAACTTTTTCCCGCTGGTTTCATGTTAATTGCTCGTGGCCTGTCGCTTGTTCCAGCAATCTGCGTTAATTTTAAAGCCTGATTTACACACAACAAGCATTTGCGGTTGTATTCTGGTATAACGGTATAACTACACACTCAACACACAACCGACTATGTCACAAATACCCGTGCTCGTGCAGCAATTGCAGTTTGCAGTTTTCAGTTCGCAGGACACGTTCCGCCTTCGAGTAGTTTTGTGTGTCACGAGCGCTCCGATTCGACGGGGGTTTATTTGTTTTGGCTTGTTTGTCAAGGAACGTGAGAGGAGAGGACAAGGGGTGGTTGGGAGGTAGATTTAAAAGCAAACAAAGCTCGGGATTGGATGGGATTTACCGGGGTAGCTTATCGGGGCTTGAAATCATCAACATCTATACCCATCCGGAGATTTGCCCGTTGACATCATCCCGTCTCGTGTATTTAGACAAAAGGAGTGAACTCTAGTCGATCACCCGAAACTTTTCCCCTTTCGCTGGGGAGCAGTGTGATGGGCGGGGGGGTTGCTAGCCACTTTCTGACAGGACTTGGCTCAGTTGAGTCATTAAAATGAGAAATGGCTCCGGGCTCCGTGTGCAATGTTGGGTTTAATTGTTGGCCAAAATGTGACTGCGCCGCTCACGGGAGCAGAAACACCGCTAAAAAGGACAGACTGTTCGGGCTGAATCAGGGGCAAAAGGTAAAAAGGTTGCAAAGGTGCAGAAAGGTAGAATGGTAGAAAGGTGCAAAAGGGGAGACAAGAGCACCAGCTTGACTTTCGCTGATGTGGCACAGAAAAATATGTTTTCTCATATATATATATATATGTGATTGTGTGCTGGGCACACATTAACACGCTCTTGGGCGCATACAGATATATATACATATATACATTTCATCGGGCAACTGCAGACAGTTGTTCCATTATGTTCATTTGCAGTCGCTTATGCTGTGGCCGGGATAATTTATGTTCGCCATATTACGTATACGCAGGGCATATGAGTTTTGTGGGAATTACTGTGGTTGTTTCGCCTCAGCAGCGGACACTTCATACGTTACGTTACGTATACGATATGTAAGCACATAAATATCGCTCATACGCCGTGCGTGGTTGAAAAATAATTGCCATAGATGCGGATGCGGATGCGGATGCCACCGACATCGCACATCTTGTTTTCAATGGCAGCGAAATATTGCCGGATTTTTTATTTAACCCAATTTAATGGTGAATTATAAGTTGATTTATCTCTTTTCATTTGCCAAAATACAAATTTTTAAGAAAAAATTTTTGATGTTTAAATTTAGAATTCAAATGAATTTCTGAAAATTAATCATTTGTCAGGATGCATAACGTATACGCCGTGTGGGCGGACCAAATATATACCTGTCTTTCCATTTCACATTTGTCTGATTCCCGGGCCTTGAACTTTTATTCGCTATCATTTCTCAGCCCTCACACATCGATGCCCCATGCAAGGCAAATTCAATTTGTCTTCGCTGAAAAGTTTTACGAATGGCACCGCCCAGCCAAAAAAACTTCTCTTTGCCCCCGAAATCGAAAGGCGCTCATTTAAATAGAAATGCCATTAGTCAGGCACCCACTCGCAGATGCAAAATTCCACATACGCGCAGGAATGACATTGGATGGGAATAAGAGCAGAGAAGAGGAGAGAGAGAGAGACTCACCATTGATACCACGTTGATTGGCCGAATTATCCTCGTCGGAACCGGGCACTGCATTAGAGTTCAGCTCCTGATCCTGGTCCTCCTCCAGGCCAAACATCTGCTCCCCGGACTGGAAGGGGTACATGATCTCGGCCTCGTCCTCCCCGGACGTTTGGGACGGGGCACCCACCCCGCCCAGGACATCGTTGTGGTTCTGGTTCTGATTCGGGCTGTTGTTGTGGCTGCTGCCGAAGTGCTGCTTAGCCGACTTGGGCTTGGCGGCATCACCTAATCCCAATCCCTGGGTGGTCAAACAGAGCAGCAGGAGGCTGTAGATTGGCAGGCGAAGGCAGGGACTTCTGCAGCGGCTGCGGCTGCTTGGGTAGAGCAATGGCTCCACTGAGGCACCACGAGATGTTGCAGATGTTGCAGGTGTTGCTGTAGTTTTTGCTGGTATCGCTGCTGTTCTGCTTCTTGTCTTTGCTTTCGTTATTGTTGTTGCTGATATTGTTTTTAATGTTAATAATACTAAGCGCTTGAAAATATTTACACACTCGTCCAGTATCGTAGTAGCTTGGTGTTGCTTGCTCTCCGCCAGGACAATGGGGGCATTTACCCGTAGGCGTCCCCTTCGCCGGCGACTATTGAAGTCTATCGTTGTGCTGCTTGTGCGGCTGCTGCTGCCTACGGACAACATGTTGTCGCTGTGGCACCAAGTGTTGCTGTTGTTGCGGCTTGCTATTGCTGCTGCTGCTTCTGCTGTTGCTGCTGTTGCAGTTGCTGCTGCTGCTGCTGCTGCTCCTGCTAAGGCTCCATGATCTTTAGCTGCGGTTTGCTGAAGCAGCTCCTGGACCGCTGCTCCTCCCACTGCTGCTGTTGCGATTACTGGTTGCTGCCTCTGCTGTTGCTGTTTGCTGCATGTTGTTGGCTGCAACATTGGACCCGTTGGAAAAATGTTGTTTGTTGGTTGGTTGGTTGGTTTGGTTGGTTTGGATTGGCTTGGTGTTATCGTTTCACTTGCAAAACCGTTTGTTGTCGTTGTACGCTTTTGATTAGACTGAGTTTAGGTTAGAGTTTCTCGCTTGCTGTCAGATCTTTGCGATCCATTTGTATCACACAACTTTATATATACACTATACATAAATAACAATTAACACGGAACGGAGAGAGCGGAGAAATTGGGAGTGGACGCGGATTCAGGTTGCTGTTTCCGCTGGTTTTGCTGCTGCTACTTCCGCTGATGGAGTGGCTAACAGAAGCCTTAGCATTTCCATTTCCACGGGGCGCGCTTTTTTCCCCTAGATTTTCACACACCCCCGCCTCTTGGGGTATTTTTCACGCCTCCTCTTTTTCTTGTTTCTATTTTTTTTTTTTGGCTTTTCCGTTCTTCTTTTTTTCACGGCTCCCTCGCTACTGTGCCACTGCTGCTGCTGCTGCGCTCGCTGCTACTGCCGCTGCTACTATTTCTGGCCATTTGTCTGAGGCTTTTCCGCTTTTCCGACTCGGTGTGTCCCTGTGTTCGTGCTCGAGTGTGGAAAAGTTTCCCTGAGTGGCCGCTGCGAAAGCTGGAGCTGGATTTCGGTATCGGTCTGCAGCTGGAGCTGGACTACATCACGCTGCGCACTCTGCTGGCGTTGTGAGCGCTGACTGCCTGAGCCTGTTTTTGAGCCTGGCCAGGATGTGGGCTGGAAAACCGACAGCCAACGGCCGAAGACCAAAAGCCGAGCAGAAACGCTAGCCTGGAAGCTCGGCTTTCCTTTTCCAAAACTGTTTGAGGAGTGAGGGAGAAAGTACAGCTGCGCCTGCGTCACTTTTGTTTACATTTTCGAAGGCTTCGCTCGATGGCTGTTAAGGCTCAAAGGATGGCTGTCTGTTGATAGATAGTTGCAAGAAAATGTTTAGTTTTTAAAGGATTTTTAAATCAACTTAATATATTAATAACTACAAATTTACGTATTTTTTATATTATTTATTATAAATCTAAATCTAAACAAAACAAATTTACTATGAAAACATCGTTTTTTCGGCTTAAAAATTTAACAAAAAATATTTTAAAAATTATTTCTGTCAGGTATTCAGAAATTTTTAATCAAAACTTTTTATTTTCATATTATTAATATTTTGTGGTAAGCAAAAAATTTCAGATTTCTTTACAAATTGCAAATACTCTTTTGTCCAACGTTTCTCTTTGCAATTTTCCAAGCACTCTCTGGCACACAATTTCCCGCACTCTCTAACACCATTTTCCTGGCCCTCTCTGGATGCCGCTTATCTTGTAGGCCTTATCGCTTTTCTCACGGCTTTTTTTTGTCATTGCTTTTGCTTTCGTTTGCTGTTGTGTTTGTTGTTTTAGCTTACGCTTACAATTTTTACTTTCATTTTGGCTTAGTAGGTGACTCCACCAACGGCCCCGCCTCCCGTTTTTGCCCCCGCCCATCGTTCGGTTTTTTACTGCTTCTGGCTGAATGTGCGGTTATGTTCATTGTTATGCTTTGAGTAGCTCCCGCTGCTTCTAGTCCTAGTCCTTCCTTTCTTCTGCTAATCCTGGCCCCCTCCCTCACCACCAATCTGCGCCTTTTTGTCCTTTTTTTCCACTGTTATTTTTAGCCTTAGGCCAGAGTTTGTCCAAGAATTCAACCGTGTGGCTTTGTTAATAATTATGTTTTTGCCCCGCTATGTTTTGTCAGTTCTTTTTTTTTTTAGAAAATTGCGTAACATTTTTGCGCTTTCTTTGCTTTACATAATGGCCCCATCAATTTAAGGGAACCAGCGGATATTTGATATTTTCTGAAGAACTTTTCTGGGAACCTTTAAACGTCCTTTTAAATTCTATCCAATAAATTTATAATTTTTTTATAATTAATTTTATAATTTAGCTTGAATATTAGAAGCATTTTTAAGATATTTGAAGGGCTGTTACCTTTGAAATTATTATTAAAAAATACTAAGTGAAAATAAAGGCAGTTTTTTAAATTATTTAAGTTATATTTTTAATGTTTTTTAAATGAAAATCAATTTAGCATTCTAGCCCCACGAAAGCCCAGATTTTTTATAATTTCTACAACACGTTTGGGAAAAGGCATGGCTTGGTACCCAGAAATAAGCACTGGAAAAGCCACCAAGATCCCATTAGTCGCGCTTCAAGCTAAGCCCAAAAATGAAACAGGGGCAAATGTGGGCTCTTGGCTAATTGTTATATCATTTGCTGGGCAACTTTAAAGGGGCGGGGTCGCTTTAAGAACGGGGTCGAACCCGTGACAGCCGAGAGTCTGACTGTTAAATTTTCTTCTTGACTTGACCAGCCGAAAAAGAAGGCAACCTGAAAGCCTGAAGAAACTCTGCACACAATCACACACACACACACACACATACACCGAAGGCAAAGGCAACGTTTTGACCTCTTTATGAAAAAGGCCTCAAGCACGAGAAGGCTCAGACTTACACACACCACCGAACAAAACAGGCACGAACGGGGGCTGCCATTAATGTTTCTGCACTCACACAGACGACCGAAAAACGCTTTGCCTCCACCTACCGCCACCACCCTTACCGCTGCCCCTCCTTTTTCCCCTGGATTTTTGTGGCTTTTTATTGCTTGATTATATAAAAATTGGCTTTTGTATATAATATTTGGTACACCGTTCTGGCAATTCTTTCAATTTGTCTCCTCAGCTATGCCAGGATTATATTGGACTTTGGTAGTAAAGTAAGGTGAGGTTTTATATTTGGTTTAAGTTTTTCCTTTTGATTTCAAACTGCAATAAATTTTCCAACACCTCGCGCACCGACACACACACACACAAAACGCACACAGACAGCGCACACGGTTAAAAGTTTCTGCACACACATACAAAGAGCAGAAGGATTTTTGGACGCACCATCCGCTCGTTGGTCCTGCGAGGATGTTGTCAGCACAGCGCCCGAAAACGTTTTGTGGGTCCCAGCCAGGCGGCCACGAGTCCGGAGGCCACATACAAAGTCCATGGAAGGCCGAATGGGAAACGAATGGAGCCGAAACAGCGACGACTTCCAGTCGTTTGGGTATGAGGAGAATTCAGCTGGCCAGGATCGACTTCGGGAATTTTTGGACTCAGTTACGGTGTCGATTTCATTTTCAGCTGCTGGCTGGCTGGTATTTATCTCCCAGCATCGCTTCGATTTCTAATTAATTAATTTACGATGACTTCCGCTCGCACATATTTGCATTTAACCCATCAGGACAAACATTTTCAGCTGTCGCTCTCGTATTTCCAGTTTATAGCATACTTTCTTGGGTTGGAGAGCTGGAATGGCGAGAGAACGCGCAGCTGTTCGTCGCTCCAGGTGGTCTCCCTCTCTCACTCTCTATTTGTGTTGCCCCACGCCACCCACTCAAACAAACGGCAAAAGAAAGAAAGAAATAAACGTTTGTGCATGCGTTACTACCACTTATACAAACCCGAATACACACACAGAGACTCTCCACGCACAATTGTATTTTGATTATGCCCGGTTTTGGTACGCCGCATACCTCGGATACTTCTACGCACAACAATGCCAAATCCCCCCGCCAGACCACCTCTATCCAAAATCCAGTAACTCCCTAACGCCCCGCCAAAAACCTCAATCCAATCCAAGCCAACCCATCCCTACGCCCCATTGATAGCCGCCAAGTTTGCCGTCACATCAAATATTTATGGCGACAAGAGAGCGAAACAAGTTGGAACGAAATAGTCGAAAATTCGGAATTTAAAATTTTACAACAAGAAGTGCCGGAATTTCAACTTAGTAATACATTAAAGTCGACAGCTTTTGCCTGAAAGAAAGTAAATTTAATATGTAATTAGCTTTAAAAGTGGGATTTAGGAATACCTGAGCCTATGTATCTAACTATGACTCTTGGTATATGAAAATACTTTGTACCGTTGGTAATTTTGGTGGTTAATAAAGGTGGCTACAAACGGAGAATAACTAAGCAAACAAGCTTTTACTTTCAACCACACTTACCGACTTATTTACTCTGGTTACCCCATACCTAATCAGGAATTTTGAAATTCCAACTCTCGCCAATCCATTCATAATGAAATTTTAATTAAATTTATTTATAACCAGTTACGCAAGCCATGGCGAAACCAGAAATTTCATAACGTTAAACTATAAATAGCCGTGGAAGGATGCTGCATTAACTCAATTGCGAAATGAATCTCAGGCTGAACCTTCTTCTATTTATAGTTTGCAACTTTGGCGTAAGGTGGTCTTTTTCTAAAGCTAATGTTGGCTAACGAATTGCTTCTTCTGAGAAATCCAAATGTAATGATTTCATAATAAAATTTGCAAAATATATTACTATTTTTTATTTAATATGGCGTTAGTTTTTTATGGACTTGATTATTAAAAATGGAAAGAAAAGTTCACTAAATCAGAGGAAAAAAAGTGGAATGATAAAAAAATTGCTTAACTATACATGAAAGGGATTTATTAAAGACAACAAAGAAGTAATTACAATTTTAGAAATACATTTCTTAATCAGGACCGCCTTTCCCTGAGTCGAAGATGCAATCCATTATCGGATTTTAAGGTTAAAACTGCCGATAGAATTGGATCATATTTATGACGTTCTGCCTCACGCTGTAGCTTCTCCCCGGGAGGAAGTCCCAGGTAGGTGTTCAGTCGACCATCCGTAGAGACCAATTCATCGACTGCTGGAAGCACCTCAAAAGACCTCACAATCTTTGAAATCACAGTCTTCAGTTCAAGGAGGGCAAACTTTTGGCCAATGCAATTACGGGGTCCAGCACTAAACGGCAAGTACTCAAAAGGACCTGGTTTTTCCTCCTCAAATCGCTCCGGTCGAAAATGATGGGGGTCCTTGAAGATGTGATCATTGTATCCCAGCAGGACGAGAGCTAGATTGAGAGTGGTGCCTTTGGGCACAAAGCTGCCATCTAAATAGGGAAGCTTTTTAATAATTTTATAAATTTTTTTTCATTATAAAAACTTACTAATATCGTAGTCCTTGTCACAATAGCGACCAATAAAAGGAACACTGGGATAGACGCGCTGGGCCTCCTTGATAAACAGATCTAGATATTTCATTTTGGCAATTTCCTGAAAACTGGCATTCCTGTTCATATCACCGCCCATTACCTCGCACTGCTCTTGATACAGTTTCATCTGAAGTTTAAGTTAATAGCTTAGCTATATCAATTGTAGAAATATATATATATATATATATTACCTGAACATCTTGGTGTCGCGATAGTAAATAGACAGAGAAAGATACTCCTGAGGTGGTCGTATCGTGACCTTCAAACATAAATGTTGAGACCTCCTCGTAGATTTCTTGCCTAGTGAGAGGTCGACCATCGATGGTGGAGGATAGCAGCGTGTCCAAGAAGGCCATCTTCTTTCGGGGCAATAAGTTGTGTTCCTCTTTCTTAGAATTTCCATTCTGTAGAGCCACCACTCGCTTTTCTATAATGTCATAGGTAAAGTCCTGCAGCGTCTTCAAAGTTCGCTGATAAGCTGCAAACTCAGGAGAGAGACTAAAGACCCGATGAGAGCGTTTGAATGGATGGAATGCTCTCATGTTTATATTGTAGCACATACTAAAATCAAAATATTTGTAAGAAACCGTTAGTTTATAAATCATTCTTTCCAAACTCACTCTCTAAAGGCCTGAACAATGGAGGAGTCGCGCTCCTGCATGGCATTGATGGGCACTCCCATAGCCGTGTCGCAAATGACATCCAAAGTTAGATAATTGGCATGATCCTGGAAGTCAATGATACAATCTCCGGCACTCGCCTTCTTCAACTGGGCCATAAACTTCGTTGAGTTCTCGTTCATTACTTCGTGGAAGTCCTGCAGGATGTTGAAGTGGAAGGAAGGGGTGATCATCTTGCGGTGCTTGTGCCATTTGCTTCCGTAACTCGTTAGGAGGCCATAACCCAGCCATGGGTGCAGCAGGTCGTAAATAGTGGACTTTTGTATGAGCTGTTGGCTGTTTAAAATGTACTGAAGGCAGTTAAACATTTAAGATTAGATAATCATTGCATTTAATTAATATTTTCCATATCAAACTCACTTCCAATTGCTTTGGATTGGTCACCACAATATGAGAACTATATCCGATCCAGAAGAGAAAGTTATCCTTACCGAAATCGTGCCACCACTCAAAGAAGGTAGTCAGAATTTCTGTGAAAAAAAAAATCCAACTTTGATTAGATAGATCAATGTGATCTTTGATCGCCCTCAATTTTGCTTGGCTGGTTATAGTACGACTGATAACAGCTATTAAATCATTATCAGTTCCTCGTCTAGACTGCTAGTCGAGCCCCCACAGCTGGGGGTTTAGCACTGACCTGCCGGATTTTTGCCAATACGATTGGCATTACCCAAAATGGGCACTGGTGTGGGTCCATTGAATTCCTTGAGCAGTTGGCGACGTTGCGATGCCCTCAGTTCAAAGTACAGCAACACGACCAGTGGCATAATCACCAAAACCAACACAGCAAACCACATATTTAAACCTGTTTGGGTAATAGCTAACAAAATCTGATCCGATCACGGCTGGAACAAACTGAAGAATCACTGCCGCCGCTTGCTTTTATAGCCAAAGCCAGGTCATTCCGCTTGCTCCGGATTGGTCCACTCTCCGATTAGACAAGAGAATTCTCCCGGCTCTTTCTTTTCGCAATGCAATCTGTTTTAGTATTCCCGCTACGTTAGAATTCCTACGTAATCAAGCCAGTCTACCGGGGTCATAGTCCAAATAACTCCATCAACTTGATCAGATTGCATCAACAATGAGATCATAATCGGCAGGTATAATACTAGAGCCCTATGTGATGTATTAACTTAGCAATAAAAAGAGTATTAAAATGGAATAAATTATCGATGAGTACCTAAATATTTTTTGTTTCTGCCTCCTTTACAAAGCAAATAAACTCTCCCCAGTTAGAGTATTGCAAAATTACCAATGCCAACCTACACCTTCAGGTTTTTGTATTCTTTTTCGATTTTTTTTTTTGTGTCTGGCTCTGTGGACTTTGTACTTGTTTGTTTATCTATCGGACAGACGAACGGCAGACAGAGTGTATTAGTAATCTCCTATCAGCGAGGGGCTCGTCTTATACTAGAGGTCCAGCAAAATGTTCTGTCACATGCCAGGCCTCTAAAAATTATCATTAGCAATTTATTTCTTTTTTTATGGCTCCGTATGGGTTTAGTGTAGTATTTTCCAGTTCTGGACTTGACAGGCCAAAATTAGAGATATGAGGGGACGAGAACGAAAATAAATGTTCAAAGTCAGAAGCCGCTAACAAAAGAGTTATAACTCTTATATACATAACAATGAAACTGGCAGCCGCTTTTCCCAACCATCGACATGGGCATCTGTTTTCGTTGAGGCAGCTTAATAAAGCATATAATATGAGAATTAATCAAAGACCACGCATTGACTTTTCGTCTGCGTGGGAGAGGTGAACCCGTGACACGAATCCTCTGAGAAATGTGTCCCGTGAGACTCATGACAGTTGGAAAAATTACACTACCCGAAAATGAAGAAGCACAGAGAGAAACATTTGCCATTTCACGATTACATCTCCCTGGGCCGGCAATAAATCAAATTGGCAAACGAAAAGAAAAACAGAGAAAAGTTTTGCACACTGCGAATGGCTTTTATGGCATTTGTTTGGGGGCCTGTAATTCGCTTGACATCTCAATGCTGCCACAGCTACTGTTGGCGTTGCCGCTGCCATTGCCGCTGCCTCTGCTTAATGCTTAATGCCCAAACTTATAACGGGCGAAAATTTTAATGAATGACGTCGTCATCATCAGCAGCTGAAACGTAGAGTGGCAAGGACGTTGAAACATCCCTCCCAATGCCTTCTCCACCCTCCCCTGTTCAAGGACATGTTTGGGGCAGCGAGCAGCAGCTAGCAGCGGGCAAACAATTTCAATGAACTTTGATAAATCGCTGCGAGGCGAAGGACGCAAACCGTCCGTATATTCCATATAATACATACAGCCGGGCATTCTGCTTCAGTGGGCTTCCTATTTCCGGTTCCCATTTCGTTAGCTATATTTGGGCCTGCCACTGAATGCTCAGTGATTATGTAAATTGTTCAGCCCATTTGTAGCAGCTTCCAGTAAGCTAACCAGGCTTCCGTTGGTTTTATGTTTATTTTTATTCATCGATTGCATCTATTAAAAGAATATTCCGCGCAATCCCAGTTCGCTTAATGCTTTTTAAAAATATGGAAGCCCTAAAGTATGCTATAAACTTGCCCCCTTACAATCGCCTCTACAAATATTAACCAAGTGGAAAGAAAAACTCTCAGTCAGAGAGCCATTTCAGTTAATTATTTCTCGGCTTATCAAGTGGGGATCACACATGTCGTATACGCAAATTAGCAGGCTGGGAATGAAAATGAAATCGCTGTCTTTAAACGTACAACAATTCCCCAAACTCGCTGCCTCATTATCCCAATCCCACATCTCCATCTCCACATGTCGGTTGTTGTTATTGCCGTTGTCTTGTTTAATGCATTTTTTGCTTCATGCGGTGAAGAGGAAGTAAATATTGCGCATACGCCACGTTGTGAGCACGCAATGCTGCATAGCATGTTTGGCACGTTCAAAGCCAGAGAGAAATGACTGGATATAAAGAGCGATGGCCACAGTGGAAGCTTTTTTGTGTACAAAAGAATTTACAATATTTGTTTACATTTTAATTATTGTTTACATTCTGAACGTGAAGCGCTTTTACATAATATTTATATATATATATATATATATATATATTTATAATCACAATTTACTATCTGAAAAATAATGATCCTTTGATCAGCTTAATCGTAGTTCATGGTCCTACTGTACTTGGCCAAGTTGAAGAAACCGCATTTACTGGCCACTTAAAAGGAGAGAACTCCCATGTGGCCAGCCCATTTTCTTTTCCGCCCCGCCCCCTTTTTGGGATTCGCAAAAACTATGCAAAAGGCTGAGTAGCCACCGCGCCACCCCCTTATCGGGCCATAAAAAGCTGTATAGAATGTTGCAATCAGTTAATTTAAGTGCAGGCCAAGCCAGCACGAACAAAGAGACTGGGAAGCAGCAACAAAAAGAAAAATGGAAATTTCAATGCGAAAATATATACAACCGAATGTATTTGTGAGTTTGTGTATATGTGCGGTGACTTTGAGTGTGTGTGTGTGTGTGTGTCTAAACAAACACGCACAGTGAGCCACGCACAGTGGGTCAAGTTCCATTTCGAGTGGATTCATCCCCAAAACGGTATGAATTCGCATTTGGACTGGGGCTCACGAAAAGTTAAGGGAAATCTGAGGAAAGGGACTTGGATTTTCCTCGACCTGAGGCACACACTCATACACACATACACACATCATACAGCAAAGCACAAGTGGCTACTAATGCAAATAATTTACAAGTAGCAAATGTGGGCGGCAAACGCCAGCAGCAGATTCAGCAGCAGCCAACGTCAGCAGAGACACAGAAAGGACAAAACAAAAATGGGGAAAGCAAAAAAATAAAGGAAAACACACACAAAATAAACGACAGACGACGAGGCAAAATGTCGTCAACAAAAAGAAATATAACAAGAAAAGAAGACTAGCTTTTGGTGGGACCATGGCTTAGAATACTCTTAAAAATGTATTACGACAGCTATAAGATATATGCCAAAAAGATAATCTCTCATACCAAAATAGCTAGATAATCAATATCTCAATCCGCTTTCAATAACTTTAATTGACAGTTAATATAATTTTATTATTTTTATAGACCAACCTTATCTCATTTTTCCATAATTATCTCCTTTTAACAGTTTTGATGAATGGTAAGAGGGGGACAAACTTGACCTTGAGAATGCCTCATCTTAAAATATATATTCTTATTATATATTTATTTTAAAATCTTTATATTTTATCTTTATCTTTTATATTTTAAGCTTAATAAAATACCCTTTGCAAGAGTACATCGCAGTAGTAACAAAAGGCGGTGAACAGAGAATAGGGGAAAAGAGGTGGAACTCAGGGGCCAAAGAGAAAGGGAAGGAAGAGCAAGGCTGGGGGCATCGAGGCGCGGACAAGGAGAGATTGAGAGAGCAAGATGCGGGGGGAAACGGAAGAGAGGGGCGAGTAAAAAGGACATTATGCGTCTTTTCACATTTGAGAAAAGGACAAATTTGTAAGGACAAGTGTAAGTGAAGGAAACCGAAACAAACACACAAGCACACGCACACTTGCAAATACCGATATACACACACACACACACATACAGCGGCGACGAATGCCGCAAATGTTTGTGGCCCCGCCCACTCCGCACACTTTTTGAGGCGGCTTGAGAGAAAATCAATGCCAGACCATGAATCAAGATCAGGTTTTCAGAATGAATTAGGCGGCCTTTTTGGTAGCATCAACGCTTTGCTAATGTTATTTCTTGCAGTTAAATTTTTGGTTCTGGGTCTTTCATTAAACGATGGAGTTTGCTTTGTGTATTGCGAAAATAGAAAGGCTTCTGTAGAAAGCAAATAGTACGTACGACCTGATTGCCAATTCTGGTTAACTCATTACAAGACCAGGTTATTGGTTGCAGTCAAGGGACATTTGGTAATATTTTGCTTACAGTGAAGAGAACAGAAAAGCTTCCTGGAAAATCTTTACGGTTGCAACTTCTTGTGTTTACAAATGTCAATTTTCTGATGACAAGTAATATGAAGAGTACGAATAAAGTGGTATTAAATATCTTTGCCTTGACATCGCAATCTTTATTTTGCTTCCAGAAATAATCTATTTTCAATGTAATTTTCTCAATCGCACCGGTAATTCCCTCTACAATTTGCGCAAATGATCAAAGAGTAGGAAATTCTTAGAAGGGCAAAGACAAGCCAGAGCTGAGAAAAACGGAAATCAGAGTTAAGAACTTATGTGCTTTGACCGGGCAATCTTCCTTTGATTGCTTTTAGTAAGTAAATGCCTTTAACGGAAATTATATTAAATACATTTTTCAGAATTCCGTGACATTTTTTAGTTGCGCCGCAAAATCTGCATCTGTGCGTCGAAGGAGGAGAAAGACATTATTGGAAGGACATAAAAACAAGAAAAACAAAACTAGAGACCGGAAAAGTAGAAAGTGCTTTAATATTTGGCTGACTGACTTTTCACAACTTTCGCGGTAAATGGGTGTCAGGCAGTCAGAGACGGGAAGGGGGTGTTGTGTCCCAGGGGCGAGGGTAAATTCCGGTCGGTGAGGTGGGTGGCCGAGGGTTCAGGTTTGGCCAGAAATGAGGTGGCTCTGTCGCTGGCGTTGGCGCGTGGAGGTAATTGAAGTGACGTTTATGAATGTCATCCGTCAAGCACTCAAGGACATTTACATACAAACACGCACACATGAACAGTTTGGCACATACACACACACTCAGACATACAATCACGCACACATGCAAGTATACAGAGGGGGAGGAACGCGTGGGGCGCTTGGTTGGCTGACAGATGCGAACTTACACAGATTTTTTTATGTCTTCATACCCAGCACACTTTTGTATGTAAAGGTATATAGAGTTAACGATTTTAGAAAGAAATATTTATTTGAAAATTTTAATTAATTTAAATGGTTATAACCATGACTTCCATAAAAAAATTTACAACATTTGGAACGTTTAAATTTATAAGCAATTTTAAAAACTCTCCAGTGCCTTGGTATTTAACTAGTTTTATCTTTGTATGTTCCTTTCACTTTATGAACATGATCCCTTTAATCCATCTAAATTTATTCATATTAACATTGTATTATAAAATATAAAGTAAAGAATAAAGTAAAGTGATTTATTCAGAAACCATCAAAACTAAAATATATATTTGTAAATAAATCCCGGCGGTAACCTTTAGTCTCAACTTAGAACTTGAGCTTTCCCACTGGTATTTGCTTTTTTCGCGTTTATATAGACAAACTCACACACTGCGAGAAATCGAAGGAGAGCGGGCGATGGGAGAAGGGCGGCTCACCGAACCAATACAAACATGAGTTGTCGTCCTGCACGGAAGATGTGAGTGCAGGACCGCTATGAATTCGGATGTGTATGTATGTGTGTGTGTGAGTCTATGTCCCTGCTCCTGTGTGCGCTGGTGTGTGTGTGTTCTGTGCGGGCTTGTGTGTGTGTGAGAGACAATTTAAAAATAAATACAAGAAACTAGTACAGAACGTGATGGCGGTGGTTGGGTGGTAGGTGGTTGTGGGTCGTTTTTTTGTGGGTGGTGCAGGGCCACCAGCGAGGGCAGAATGATAGATTGAGAGGAAGCCCACAGCTGAAGTCCACACTTACAGCTCTGCGGACTGTCCTATCCTAGCGAAAGGACTCTGAGATATGGGCCACGGACCGACTGAATGGCGAGCCATGTGCGAATCCACCAGAACCGCTTGCTTATATAAATTGACAAAGGTTTACCCAAATCCATATATCATTGTCTTGTTTGTGACGCTGATGAGCCGAGATTTGTTTATGCACATGTCCTTTTTATCGCCGAAAAAGTATCTATGCCACCTAGTCTCAGTTCAATGTTTTCTTTTTCCCCATCTCTCGTACCCTTTATGCCGCGTGAATAGTTCGCTTTTACAAATTGACAGAGGCTTTCCCAAAACCATATATCATTCGAGTTTCGTTAGATAAATTTGGCAAATAAATTATTCGTGCCGCCATCCATACAATTATTATTCATACGACTTCTGCTTTTCTCAATTTCTAATGAATGTATGCCTTATCATAATAGGACAAATCTATATGCAAGAAACAATTTTTAAAATTCTTCTTTAAAGAGTTATTAATACTCTCTGTTTTCAACCAAACATCTTTGTAAATCTGATTGGTTCAAGGAAATTGAACTCCATGCATCCTGTTGCATCCCTTCTTTGGAAATTCTTATACAATTTTTTGTCACATTTCACTTTTGAGTTTTGAATGACAAGTGCCTGTCATTGTTTTTCAGCCTTTCAGTTTGAATCCCTCAAATCCTAGTCCATCTCGCCTTTTTCAATTGGAATTGGAAATTTCGTCACGATCCCAACGGAACTCATCGCCTTACCCATGCGAAGGCAATTCAGCTTCTTCTTAGACCTGCATGCGAACGAATACGAGGATACGCCTATGTCGAGCTATACAGTAATATATATATATATATATGTGTGTGTGTGTGTGTATATATATAGTGGCAACCCACTTGGCTTGTCTACTAATTAAAATGCATGCAATAACCTGAAGCCTTTGTTGCCACATTCTAGCTGCTGTTGTTTTTGTTGTCGCCGAGGCTGTTGCTGATGTTGCTTTTTACTGATGTTGCCTCTAATGTTGTTTTTGTTTTTGTTGTTCTTGTAGCTGTTGTTGTTTTGTTGTTTTGTTGTTGCTCGTGTGCGTAGAAGGACGCAGCAGCAACGTTAACAATTTGCACAAAGTGCTTTGACATGTGAGGGCGGCACAAGGTGGCGGATGAAAACTTTTCTTAAGGCTAACTTATGTGGCAGAAGGGTAAGGGCAGGTTGAGGTACCTGAATTGAAGAAAAATCCCCATCTGGAGGGAAAAAGTATTAGGACAGCTTTAAGGGGTACTTTCGTTGTTGCCTTGCTTGTAATCCCATCTATTGATAGACCCGTTCATGCCGAAAGCAAGTTACATTTTTAATTGTTTATCAAAGGGGGGCTATTTATAAAACAAAAGATTCCGAAATGTCCTTGCTGGCTAATCTCAAGGGAGGACGTGGCTGGGAACTAAGAGAGACATAGACCATGGGGGTCAAAAGGGGACTCTGAAACGGGGGATTTCCCCACACATATATGCATTTTTAATGAAATTTGCCGACGATTTGCGCTCGAAAGCAATTTGAAAGCCCAAAAACCTCGCCAGCAACAGTTGCAACTACATTACACACACATTCTTGTTGTTGCTGGCTCACGTGTGCGGCTTACGAAAAATTAATGCAAATTTGCATAATAAACAAACACAATAAACGGCTAGGATGGCAGGACATGCAGGAGCCAACCGAAAGTTTTCAACTTGCAGCAGAATTGATTAAGTTGTTGGCTGGTGGAAGTTTTGTGTTAATATTGCTAGAACAATTTTCGGCTACATCTTCACCCTCTTCTCCATTTTGAAAATCAAAATATACACATATCATACATAGTATATATATTTTATTGTTTTACATGGTGCTTATCAAACTGTGCATTTTCTTTGTGCCACTCTTTCAACATTGACCTTCTGCATTTGTTTGCCCCCATATGTATGCAAATAAACAACGTTTCCAACTTACATACACACACACACCCACATGGCTTAACACCGACATTGACGTCACCTTTGAATGTTCGTGGGTTTGGGTTAAATTGCCGGCATAGAATTGTAATCAGCTTCGAGCCCAATAAACTGCATGAGTGTAAATTTCCTGAATGTAATCGCCCCCAAATCAAAATAGAGTACTCGGTGGCCTTCGAGGGCTTAGATGGGGCAATCGAGGATTGGGATGGGGTTTTGAGTATCAATACCAAACGGCAGGCAATGGTATAAATTGGGCATAGCCAGAGTTCAACACGGCAGAAATAATTCCAATTAAGACACGAAGGTATAGTGTCCATTTTATTGTCAATATTTTTCTTTCAGATTTATTAGTTACTAAAAGGCGTAAATATATTTCATATTCATAAACATATTTAGTTCTTTGGTTTAAATTTAATTTTTTGCTTTGACGTCTCTCAAGTTTGACTTTTCTTTTGCTTTGAAGTCTCTCAAGTTTGACTTTTTGTGACGAGTCCACAAAACAAACGGATTTTTGGTTTTTTCATGTTTGTCGTTAACATTTTATTTTTATTTTATATTACGAAAACTATTTATTCATGCCGCACACTACTATGGAGGCTGAATTTGAAATGTATGCTATATAGATCGGAAATGTTTAAAGAACAGGCATCAAAGAACATTTACACAAATACCTTAAATTCTTAATTGGATTTAAATTCAATGTTTACCGAATTAATAAAGCGTACAAAAAAAATCTTGTTAATTTATGCAATTTGTATTACCTTTCTATTATTTAAAACTCTTAAATATCTATGATCGTTTACAAGCGTATTAACTATTAATTTGAAATTAACCGCCGATAGCTTCCAAAATCAACCCTGTTTACATGCCCTCTCGTTGTTTAGTAAGCAAAAGGGTTATGATAAAATAAATTAAAAATAATGAAATGTACCTTAATTTAGGTTACTTTATAATAAATTCAAAATTATAAAATATTTTGATTATTAATAAGAACAAATTATATTAGATATAATTCATAATTTTCATAAAGTAGGGTTTCAAACCATTAAGGGGAAATTGCGCCTAGAGTTCAAAAGCAGAAAGCAAAAACGAACGAGAAGAATAATGCTTAACTGGTTCGTGACAATGCTGTCGGAGAACTAGTTTCGCCGCTCAAATGAGCGCAGCGACTAGGGCTGCATTGCCACCCTCGAGCTGCACAAAGAAAAATAATTTACTCGCCAGCAGCGCATTGGCGTTTTTTCATTTTTTAAAGTGTACTTAAGAGTTGTTAATATTTTTCACAGTGCTCGGGCCCGACCACAACAAACAATAATAGCCGAATATAAGTGTGAGTGAAAATGCAGCTAACTGCAATCGGCGCAAAACAGAGTGGACCACAGCACCCAAAGCCCAAATCGAAGAAGTCGAAATCAGGCGAAGCCATCATTAGCGAGACATTTGTATTTGTCTGACCCCAGCGGTGTCTGAGAATCTGAATCGGAGAGAAGAGGAGAGAAAAGAGAACTCAAGGAAGCGCCACTCGACCGAACCGATATGGGTAGGTGTATATGGTGTACGGTGGTACATATGTAGGTGTAAATATGTAGTCGTGTATCGTCCGATATCGGTGGGTTAAGGTGGAGCCCCATTTCGGGGTACAGCCGATGCAGCCAACTAGGAGCATTTCTGCGTGATGCGCGCACTTCCAAGTCGCTGTCCTGCCTACCTGCCTCGCCTCCCCCGACACTCGCCCACTAACTCGACGAACGCAATGCTACCAGGGTTGCAACACAGTGTCGCTAATCGCTTGCTATTGTCGTTTTTCTTGTTGTCGTTGGTGGACAAGAACAAATTGAGAAAAGGGCAGGAAAGAATATCGAACAAAGGGCTCTAAATCGATAGTTTACATCTAAAATAAAAGCAACTTAAACTTTATCTTATGAATAATTTGGAAATGCTTCGAATGTTATAATATTGTTTTTTATTAAAAGGTTTGAATTTATAGCCGATAGTTGTAACCGTTGTGCCTCTATCTATGCCTCTGTATTATTCTGTTGGTGAAACTATCTATTTAAACTTAAGTTTACCTGTAGAAATAAATCCAATCAGACTATTTGGAAAGGCATTACATCAATACATTTTAAATATAGTTTAAATTACAATAAATTTACACAACAGTTACCCAAGTAAATATAATAAATATTAAAGAAAGCTAAAAGTACATTGCTTATTGTTGAATATAATAAAACGAGTTTAAAAATATCGCGTCAAGTGCATTCAAACCAAGGCTTGAAGCGTTTCATCCCTGGTAGGCGCATACAAACCCAAACCAACTGAAAATCAAATTTGCATTTGTTTACATTTTCCCCTTTATTATCTATTCTTCATTTTCCATTTGCAGAGACTGAGTCGATGGCTCCCAGCAGTAGTGCGGCGGCTGCAGCCACCAAACTCCTGGTAGAGATCACCACAGATGGGGTACCCAAGTTGCATTGCCCGGTGTGCAACAAGGCGCTGGTCTCCCTGGCCGGATATGTAAAGCACGTAAAAAAGCATCAGCCGCCGGGCGGCTTCGAGTGCCGCCACTGCGATGCTCGTTTTTGCCACGAGGAAGAGCTCACCCAGCATGCCAAGGATGAGCACGGAATCACCGGTCCGGCTGCTGGCCAGGAACGCAAACCCTTTGTTTGTGAAAAGTGTGGGGCAGAGTACAAGTACCAAGAGGCATATCGACGTCACATCAGGACCAAGTGTGGCGAGGAAAAGCTACCCAGGGTAAGTAGAATGAAGGAAGAACATAAGTTATGATATTAATCTCAATACCAACCCCCTCAGGAGGAGTCCCGCCCAATGGAGTGCAAATGCTGCTACACCCGCTTTTCAAGCGGCTCTAATCTATCCAAGCACCGACGCAGTCGTCCAGACACATGTGGCCAACCGGAGTACGATTCGCCTGGAAATTCAGGGCAAAAGAAGCGAAACTCTTTCCGCAAGAAAGGTAGAAATAGGGACTCCGATGATGATGATGATGATGATGATGATGATTGATTATACGACCACCGAAGAATCGGACAGCGACGATGACATTCCTCTGGCCAGCCGGCTGAAGACGAAGCTCAAGCAGGAGAGCCAGAACTCGGATTCGGGCGACGAGTGCCCCGACTTCGAACCCAATAATAGTGAGGACGATGCTGATGCATCCGGATTCCAGCTGCCTCCGCCGGCCATGGTAAAGGTAGAGGCCTTCGACGAAGAGGATTTTGAGTACCAGGACGCCAGCATGTATGTGAAGACCGAGAGCACTGATATCTTTAGCAACGAAAAGGATAAGCTTCTGGATGTGCTACTCAACGAGGGCGATGGCCTAAAGCCCTTCGAGAGCTTGAAGGTGGAGCAGGGCGCTGGTATCCTAGACGAGATCGCGGCCGTGCCGCTGGTGGAGGTAGCCGAAGAAGATGTCTTGGCACTAAGAGGCCACCACAAGGAGAAACCAATAGGGGTTAGAAAACGAGGCCGACCGCCAAAGGAAAAAATTCCGGTCGTCAAGAGGAAGTATCGCAAGCGAAACGCACCAAGATCGCCCTCGCCTGAAGACTCTTCGGGTACTCCAAAACGCGTAGCTAAGATCAGCAAAAAGGAACTGAAGGAGCGCCTTAAGATGATCAACAAGATGGAGAAATCCTGGAAGTGTCCACACTGCGTCAAAATCTACCACATTCGCAAGCCCTATGAGAAACATTTGCGCGACGACCACAAGTTAAACGAGGCGGAAATGAAAGAGATATTTAAAGATGTTGATGTGCATGCTAAGCTGGACGAGGAGGTCTTTAAGTGTCCCATATGCAGCAAAATTTATCTGGTGGAGAAGCGCTTGGTCACCCACATGAAGGTTCACGGCGAGGATGGCAAGTTAACCTTTAAGTGTCCGTGCTACTGCAACCTGTTCTTCGCCACCAAAGGAGCAGGCCACGGAGCACGCAAGAGCCCAGCACAAAGAACTGCTCTACTGTGAGAAGTGCGACAAGTACATGACCGGCCATGACAGTCTCAAGAACCACGAACGCAATTTTCACTCAAAGAAGGAGCCGCGTAGCCAACAGCGGAACCTCATCTGCGATAAATGCGGCAAGAAGTTCACCGGACGCACCTCGCTCTCAGACCATGTGCGTTCCGACTGCGGCCGTCTCCCGCTCTATGGCTGCAGTGTCTGCGGCAAGCATTTGTCCACAGCTGGGTATGCGTACACTATATATTTATATTTTTAAAAACGTGTTAATAACTTATCTTATATCCCGCAGTATTCTAAAAACCCACATGCTACTTCACAAAGCAGACACCCCATACCAGTGCGACAAATGCGGTAAGACATTCAAAGTGAAGGCACAGTACAAGTCGCACTTGAAAACGCGACACACTGACTACAAACCGTACAAGTGTCACCTCTGTCCCAAGGAATATCCGTACAGGGAAAGTCTGCTCACCCACATGACCGTGCATACGGGCATAAAGCGTTTCCTGTGCAATAACTGTGGTAAGCGCTTCACTTGCATCTCGAACTTACAGGCCCATCGTAAGGTGCACGCCGACACATGTGGTCAATTGCCTTTGAATGCCAAGGCTACCCAGTACATGGGCGTGCAGCGTGGAAAACTCTTGATGGGAGCCAAGCCAGAGGCAGGCATGGAGTACGAAGAGACCAAGACTCTGATCGCTCAGGACGTCATCGACAGGGACATGCCCATGGCACAGGAGCTGAACTTCCCATCCGACGGCTCGGCGCCACTGGCTACAGTGCCCCTGAACTATGCCTCCACGCACTTGGTGCCCCACATCGTACTTCAGACCATGCAAGCCGAGGCCCGGCGATTGGAATAACTTCGGAACACATTCATTTAGCGATCCCACTTAATAAAGATGCTTTTGTAAACGGATGCGTATTCTACTGTACAACAAACGGGATGATAACTACATAATATCTACTTAATGACTGGATTAATTAAATAACATAAAAATTAAATAAGCTACATAAAATTGATGTAGTAAAAGGTTTAATGCCATACGGACCTGTCAAAAACATTAAAGAAAAATAAATTTTCCTTACAAAAATTTGTTTTTTTTTTTTTTTTAATTTTAGGAATTATGATTACTACAAATTGCGATAATAAGCAATTACCTTCTAATAGGGGAAACACATTTTTATTATTGACTAACCTTACAAACTATCTGGTTTCACAACACACTAGTTCAGTCTGAAATAGGGCTGCTGGTATCGACCTATTGGCATTCTATTCTTGGACCTCAGACGGCGTACAGCCTCACGGATGAATTTAGGTTGCAGAGCACCAGACTCGCCTTGAGCTTCCATCACGTCGAGGGCCTCTTCCACCACCTCCCCAACGAACACTTTTGCAATGCCGGACATGGCGATCACGACGTTCTGAGACACAGAACATCCAGTTATGGTCTGCATCAGACGCTTGACGGCGGCCTTGGGAAAGGCTGACCGACGGTACATCTCATAGCGATCTAGTTGCTCCTCCGTGAAGTTAGAAACGAGGACTCTGGGAGGGATGACAAAGTTGTTTAGAGGATGTGAAAAGGAATTGCCTTCTGGCACACACTCACTGCATTCGCTCCCGCTCCTCCTCCTCCAGTTCCTTCTTGGTCTTGAGCTTCTTGTGCGCCGGCTCTCCTGAATCCCCGTCTCCGTCCGTGTTTTTGTTGTCCCCATCCACATCTTTACCCTCGCGGTCTGCGTCGTTTCCCGGATCCGAGGTTTCACTGTCTTTCCGTTCGCCAGGTGCCGCTTGGAAAAATTTAAGGTCGACATCGTCACTGTCGCTCAGGGAATTGTTCTTCTGCTGAGTGGGAAAAAGGATTTCGTCCATTTGAGTGGGATTTTTAAGAGCACCAGCGAATATAAACAAAATAAACCAGGGCTGGAAGCAGCGCTAATGCACTTTGTTCATGTTTTGCAACACTAGTTTCGAGATACCATAAGCGGATATAAAACCAAGTATCGGTAAAATGCCTTATCACATTTAAACAAACAAAATACAATTTTGCATTAAAAATTTAGGTAGATTTATATCAAGTTAATTAAAATTTAATTGAAAAAATTTTTCTACGGCATTTGTTAAAAAAAATAAAAGTCAGTGTAAAATATTTTTTAAATATTTGTCCTGTTTAACTTTTCTAAATTCAAAATCGAAGCAAGCCCGTCCCATCGCTCTAAAGTATTAGCCCAGATAAATGCGGAAACTGCCAATTTAATTTATAAGAGAACAAGCATTATTCAAGAAATCAAGAAGCATAAAAACATTTTAAAAGGGGCTTCAAGACTGGAATATTCTTTTTGGTTTCGATAGTCCACCGCTCGTTGTGCAACACTGGCATATGACACCTCGTGTTTTTGTTCTTTTCTCCGCATCGGCATCGCCAGGCGCGCTTGATTTTGCGTTTATTTAATCGTTTAACCAGCTACCGACACACTCCGAAATGTCAGCAACTGAGACCCTAAATGTTGAGGCGGCTACGCCCGAGATTGCCGATGAAGCCAAGAAACAAAAGAAGCCCAAACCGAACAATAAGAAACTTCGCCAAGGTGAGTGACCTCATGTGAGCAGTGCGCTGCGGTAATTGCAATTTCACAGCCCACTCTGCCACAACCACCCACCACCCACTAAACAACCCATTAACCCACAGAGGCGGCAGCCAAAAAGGCCTCCGGGGAAGGCGGTGACGAGGAGCTGACCACAAACGGAGAAGCCAAACCGGCAGCACCGGCTGCTCAACCGGCAAAAAAGAAGGGGAACAAGGGGAAAGAAGAGCGGACAAACAGATCCGCCGACCATACCCATTGCCAAACTCTATCCGGATGGCAACTTCCCCGAGGGCGAGATCGTGGAGCACCCCACGCCCAAGGATCTTGCGGACGACCGCACAGCCAAGGATCGTTTCACGTCGGAGGAGAAGCGTGCCCTTGACCGTATGAACACGGAAATCTACCAGGAGCTGCGCCAGGCAGCGGAGGCCCATAGGCAGACTCGCCAGTATATGCAGCGCTATATTAAGCCGGGCATGACAATGATTCAGATCTGCGAGGAGCTGGAGAACACTGCCCGCCGTTTAATCGGCGAAAATGGCCTCGATGCAGGATTGGCCTTCCCTACAGGGTGCTCTCTAAACCACTGTGCCGCCCACTACACGCCCAATGCCGGGGACACCACCGTGCTGCAGTACGACGATGTGTGCAAGATTGATTTTGGCACCCACATCAAGGGTCGGATCATTGACTGCGCCTTTACGCTGACCTTCAACAACAAGTACGACAAGTTGTTGCAGGCTGTCAAGGAGGCCACCAATACGGGCATTAAGGAGGCTGGCATTGATGTGCGTCTATGCGATATTGGTGCCGCCATTCAGGAGGTTATGGAATCTTACGAGATCGAATTGGACGGCAAGACATATCCCATCAAGGCCATTCGCAACTTAAATGGACACTCCATCAGCCCGTACCGTAAGCATTAAAAATGTCTCCTTAATTTTTTTATACCTTTTTGGTAAACTTAATTTTTATTTGTGCTATAATTTAGAATTCAAATTTTGTGAGACATTATTTAATTATTAAATTACATTTGCAGGCATCCATGCCGGAAAAACGGTGCCAATCGTTAAGGGTGGTGAATCCACTCGCATGGAAGAGGATGAGTTTTACGCTATTGAGACTTTCGGCTCGACTGGTCGCGGTTTGGTCCATGACGATATGGATTGCTCTCATTACATGAAGAACTTCGAGCTGCCATTTGTGCCGCTGCGCCTTCAGTCTTCCAAGCAGCTTCTAGGCACCATCAACAAAAACTTCGGAACCCTGGCCTTCTGCAAGCGCTGGCTGGACCGCGCTGGTGCCACAAAGTACCAAATGGCCCTAAAGGATCTGTGCGATAAGGGCATTGTGGAGGCCTACCCACCGTTGTGTGACATCAAGGGTTGCTATACTGCTCAGTACGAACACACCATCATGCTGCGACCCACCTGCAAAGAGATCGTTTCCCGAGGCGACGACTACTAGTGGGTAGAGGATCTGGATGTTGATTACTATTCGGCGAGATATGGCTTGCATTATATACGGTTTTTGATATAAGTTCATTCTATTGTTGATTATTTGTGAGCGAAAGATGCCCGAATTATATATACAGTATATTATGCTCAGAATATAAGATGAATGAGATTAAAAAGATCTTAATATGGTAGATTCTTAACACCCTTGGGCATAAGTTCATTCCAGTAGAGGCTGTGAGATAAGTTTCGTTTTTTGGGTTTTTTAACCGAAAGTGATCTGAATATGTATACAAACCCTTTACCGGTAAGATAGTAAATAATCTCTATGTAACTGACTATGCTAAATCCATACATAAGCGAGAGAATTCCTCCAAAACGATCTGCGGTGGTTTTATAATAAGAATCTAATACAACAGCATACAACATTACTTACTCAGAAGAACAACCCAAGTGCTCACCAGTTGCGATTTAGTGGCTTGTGCAAAACGCAGTTTAAAGAATAGTTTAATTATGGCCAGTGGTCGCTCGTTGGTCAACCCCTTGCTGGAATTATATATTTCCAATGTTATAGAACAAAGAACTCATTCAATATCCCTTACAGCAAACCGTTTAAGTAGCCGGTACTATTAAGGGTACGCCTTAAGGGCGCCACATTGGTAGTAATGCCCATGCTTACTCCGTTGCATGAAGGCAGACAGTGCTCGCATTGGCGTTGAGCCAAGTGCTCATCTTTTTTCTGCAGATAGGAGAACTCACTGTAGCCATACCAAATGCTTTTCCATCTCATCAAGCAGGGCAGATCGGGTAGCATGCAGTAAGCGATGTCTATAGAACTGCCAACCATGGGTGGAGAGATACAGCCACAATGATCAACCATGCTCCTGATGCGGCATACCAGAAGGCACTCATCCAGAGAGTAGTATGACCTGGAAGGAGGATGTTCTCGCAGGCTCTAATGACTAAGGATGTGTACTTACTGGTTTAGCAATCGTCTACCTTCTTCAGGAAAGTAACATCGTCGCTTTTGCGGTGAAACAGCCCGAACCCCATTGCTTGAGCTAAAAAACATCGGTTGAATGGGAATCTCCACTATGGTGCTATGATCCACAAGGACTTCTCCTAAAGTTGTGGATTGGATGGTGGCATAGTCCTCTTGTGGAAAAATTGTTAGCTTAGAAATTTAAGAAAGTGAATGGGTTTTTAGAGAAAATATATATAAATATTTATTATAAGTATTTACTATAGTTTTTGGGCTTGGAAAGTTAGTTAAACACGCGAGATTTACCGATAAAAATGTTTACACTTAACGGGTAGTTGTGGCTAACACCAAAAATCTAACTTTTATTTTTAAAGTACCTACATACGTGCTTTTGGTTTTTACGCGTTGGTATACTAAACTTTAGTATTTTTAATTTAATTAGTAGAGATTAATTTGATCAAATAAACATGAGATGATAAATAAATTAATTTGATTAGGCCAAATTAAGATGAGATAAGCAATCCCAAGCTACTACCCCCTTAATAATAAGTGTAAAAAGAGTTGTTAAAATACAGATTTAAATTATCCATACTCACATGAAAAGCGTTATTGGTATGAAAGGTGTTTGTTTGATCTTCCTTCGGAGTATCCTGCAGAACAAACTGAACGCTATTCAATATAGAATTCGATTCAAATACCACCTTTGGGACAGCTTTCATCTCAGCATCCTCTTCTGCTCGCTTGTTTCTAAATATCTTTAATATCTTAAAACCAATTAAGGGGCTACATTGGTATAGACTTACGCAAATCGGGAATAGCTTTTACGTTGGTAGTTAAATATGCAACACACATTCGTAGAGGTTGGTCGTTTCAGGAACATTTGACTGGTGTTGACGGGCGCCCCGAAGACAATGCCTTTGATTACCAGTTCCCCGCAATCGGGGGACAAGCCACTTAGTATATCGCTCACCGAGTATCCACTGTCGTTGTGGTAACTAAAGAGCAGCCAGTGCAGCCGATCCAGCTCCGAGGCATTCCAACGTTCAGTTTCGAGGGGGTTCAGATAGAACTGAGCCAGCACCAGCAGGCGATCGGCCATATCGTCCACATCTAGGGCCACCGCCTGCAGAGAGGAGTTGCCCTGGTGATGGAATCTATTGGGGGCGTGGAGTGTTACGATCAGAAATTAGTATGCCTCACTGCACTCGTGTGGGGTATAAAAGGCCCACGGCAAGACTAACCCTGGACTAGTGCCAATATGAAGCTTCTACTGGTGCTACTGTCGGTTAATATTCTTACTTTTTGTTTGACTGAACGCCTGAGGTTCGATAATTACAAAGTTTATAGAGTGAGCCCATGGAAGGCGAATCAACTGGAGGAACTTCAATCTTTGGAGACCAAAAGCGAAGATGCTATAGTTTTGAACAATTTACATCTTGGTCCAACGGATTTTCTAGTAGCTCCAAGTTACGATGAAACTTTTCTTAAGTTCCTCAAAGGCTTGGAACTTTCTCCTGACCTTATCGATGGGAACGCCCAGGCCAGCTTATCCTTGGACATAGAGCCCGTTGCGGATGCTAACCGACGAAGTGATGATTACTCATGGAGTGAATACCATGAACTTAATGACACACATCGTTGGATGCAGAATCTTGTGGCTAAGTACCCGGACATCGTTAGTGTCTTTGTGGCGGGTCAAAGTTATGAGGGACGTGAGCTTTTGGGACTGAAAATTAATCACAAAAATGGTAGAGATGAAAAACAATCAATTTTCTTGGAGGCTGGAATGCATGCTAGGGAGTGGATAGGTCCTGCCACAGCCACCTACTTTGCCAACGAGTTGCTAAGTTCCCAGCAGTCACAGATCATGAGTCTATCCAGATCTTTTGTTTGGTACATTCTTCCCCATGCAAACCCAGACGGATATGTCTACACCCACAAAACGGTGAGTTTTAATTTTTCGGAGGGACATTATTTTAAAGTTTTGTCAATAAAGTAAAGTTGGTAGTAGGTTTTTGTCAAAAGTGCAATACTTTTATCTTATTTATATATAAAATTAGAATTTAATCTGCATTATACACAATAGAACCGCATGTGGCGCAAGACACGAAGTCCCCAGGACAAGAACTGTGTTGGCACGGATCCAAACCGGAACTGGGATTTTCATTGGCGTGAGGTGGGAGCAAGTTCTGATCCGTGTTCAGAGTCATATGCCGGACCTAAGGCCTTTTCTGAACCTGAGGTGGAGTCTCTCTCCCAGTACCTAAAAACTCTGCCGGAGCCCATGTTCATGTACCTCTCGCTGCATTCCTTCTCTCAGTTGTTGCTATATCCCTATGGACACACTTCCACTCTACCAGTAAACCATAAGGAGCTGGAGAAGATCTTCAACGTTGCTGTTGGTGCAATGAAACGGCGTTACGGAACTCGATATACTGGAGGAAATGTTTACGATGCTATTTATCCGGCAGCTGGCTCTAGCATGGATTGGGTTTACGGTGTGCTCAACGTAAAATACTCCTTTTGCTATGAGCTGCGTCCCTCCGGTTACAGTTTCTGGACCGGCTTTAGACTTCCCGCCTCCCAAATTATACCCACGGGTCAGGAGACCACAGACTCGCTGGTGGAAATGATTAAAGCAGCTGCTCAAATCGAAGGTTATAAAATTGAATAAAAGAGAGAGATTTTCTTCAAATATTTAAGAAGTAGTATTGATAAGATATGAAAGAAAGAGATCTGTTTAGAACACAAACTAGAACTAACCTTGTTTGATTATCGAAGATAACTTTGACTGGCTGATTAGATGAATGGTAAAAATTCGCTTAGTAAATTATCAATAGAAAAACAAATGATTTGATTAAATGTTTTATCAATCTTACAATCTGAATTGATACTTTACTTAAGAATTGAGTGGTACATATAAATGATGATACAACATAAACAATAGCTAAATTTAATGACGAAGCTGCCATTTTAACAATGAATATCAGCAATTTAGAAATGGGATTTTTCCAACTACGAATACTTAGATAAGGTACTATCGGTTTGCCCCTTGCTTAAGGGAAAAATAGTACAAATTTCCTAAGAATATGTTCAAATTTAATTTAAATTAATTATATAACCAACTGACAGAAAACCTAAAAAATATATTGACAAAAACGCTTTACTTTTTAATGGCAAGGCTAATGGAATCATTATTTAATGAAATGGCAGTTTTCTGATGAGCTCAAGAAGTCATGAACCGAGAGCAAGTTGGGAATTATAGTGATTTACCAGGCACAGCCGTTGAGACGGCGATAAAGGTGTTCCACGACGATTTCATAGATTACTCCTATATTTACTGCCCGAGCAATTGTCAAAGGCAGTCGCGGACCGTAAATCAGATTCAGTTTGTGGATTGTGACCGCTCTTATCGGGGGCCTATAAAAGGAAGTGGTTCATCAGTTTGTGGCTCAAACCAACGACAACCATGTCGCTGACAAAGTGCCTTCTTTTTGCCCTCCTGGCCATCGTGGCCACCTCATCCGTGAGTGCCGAACGAGTTCGCTATGATAACTACCGCATGTACAAGGCGACTACAGAGAATGCCAAGCAACTGGCGGTTCTGAAGGATCTGGAGGGATCTAGTGACTCGATCATGTTCTTGGACGGAGTTCACATTGTGGGCGCTGATGTCCAGATCGTGGTGGCTCCCCACAAGGTGCCCGACTTCTTGGAGATCTTGGGCAAGGCTGAAGATCAAATACGAACTAAAGTCGAGCGATGTTCAGAAGTCTATGGACGAGGTCGAAGAGAAGGTTGCCATCAAGGGACGTGCCACCAGGGCCTACAACTGGGCTGAATACTATGAACTCGATGATACCTACGCCTGGCTTCAAACCCTGGCTCAGCAAAACCCCGGAGTAGTCACCCTCATTGAGGGCGGCAAGTCCTACCAGGGCCGCTCCATTCTCGGCGTTAAGATCACCAAGGGAGGCAAAAACAAACCCGGCATCTTCTTGGAGGCCGGTATCCATGCCCGTGAGTGGATCGCTCCGGCTGCCGCCACCTACATCATCAACCAACTCCTGACGTCCGATGAGGAATCCATTAAGCAGCTGGCCGAGAACTACACCTGGTACATCTTGCCCCACGCTAATCCCGATGGCTACGTTTACACCCACACTACTGATCGCCTGTGGCGCAAGACCCGTACTCCCTACGGCAGCTGCTTCGGCGCCGATCCCAACAGGAACTGGGGCTTCCACTGGAACGAGGTTGGTGCCAGCAGCAGTGCCTGCTCTGACACCTATGCCGGACCTTCCGCTTTCTCCGAGGTCGAGACCCTGTCGCTGTCGGAGTTCATCAAAACACTAAATATCAAGCTATACATCTCACTGCACGCCTACTCCCAGTACCTTCTGTATCCCTATGGTCACACCTCCGACCTGCCCGATAACGTTGACGATTTCGTGAAGGTCTACGACGCAGCCATTGCTGCCGTGAACAAGCGCTATGGAACCAAGTACACCGGAGGAAACATTTACGATGCCATCTATCCGGCTGCTGGAGCTAGTGTGGACTGGGCCTACGGAACCCAGGATGTGCGCATGTCCTTCTGCTACGAATTACGCCCCTCTTCCACCTCCTACTTCACTGGATTCAGGCTTCCTGCTGAGCAGATCGTTCCGGCCAGTGAGGAGCTGCTTGATTCGATTGTGGCTATGACCGCTGAGGTCAACAACTTGGGCTACTTCAACTAAGCGACTTACTAATAAAGTACTCACAGTTTTACGGCATAAATTCGGAGCAAGCGTTTACTGATTTTGTTTGCGGTGCATACTCCAACCGCTGGAAAGGGGCTGTTGGCTACATGAACTAGGTCGGGTGCTATATGGATTTCGGTGGGCTGCACCAGGTACTCCTGGGTGAGATTAACAATCACAATGTGGGTGTAGATCACAATAGCGGTGAGCAGTGCTAGCCAAAGGGTTCTGCAAATAGAAAATCATGTGCTTGGTAGTGGTAAGTATTGCAAATATGGAACCTTTGGTTGAAAAATGGTTGAAAGATATATTAAGACCCTTGATATATCCTCAACATTATAAAGCTGAATAGGTTTAATATATAGATTATCTTTTATTGCTGTTATAGAACTATTACAAATATATCGATTTTGAAGCTGTCTGTATTTAAATTCGTGAATCTTTTCCATTTTAAACTATTCTTCAAGGTACATTACTAATAACTACAACTCATTAATATGGCTCCCAACTAGCTAGCTAGGCCTTTCCAACTCACTTGGCATAACGAACAGGTGAATGATAAAGGAACGGATGCAGTCCATTGATGCAACTCTGCCGCAAAAACTCACGGAACAAGCGCCGATAGAGAGACTCCTCCACTCGAGCCATTGTGTTTGTAGAGTGCTCCAGTCCAGACGATTTATAGTGCTAGCTATTGCTCATCAATCAGAGCCCTAATGAAAGCGTGTCAAGTGGAACGTGCAATGAGCTGTGTGTGTGGAGTGCAACTGTGTTTTGCGGCTCTAGTCCCGGTTAATGTAGTTGAAAACTGGCCTAAATGTCAGGAAGTAGAGAAACTCAAAGGCCGTCACTATGCTGAATCCCATAATTAGACCGAGCAAGCCACCAAAAGAAGCTGTCAAAGGAAATACAGTAATCAATAGGTATTGTGGATAATTTATTGAATTGTAATCAAGCATACCTAAAGCAGATAGCCAATTCTGGAATATGTCCGTACGGTACCTGGTGCTCATCAGATCACTGAAGAACACATGCAGCAGTATCCTGTCCGTGGCATTGCTGATTGGGATTAAGAAAGGTATTAGAAGTTAGGAGGACTTTATCTTTCTAACTATTCAGATATTAAAATGGAAGTATAACCTGTATGTTGGACGATTGGCAAAGTAACTCATATCCAGCCGTCCTGTAGTACTCTCCGAAACATAATGATTCGACTGACAGTCCGGCAGACATCCGCAGGGAAAGCTATCCGTCTCTCGAACAATCGAGAGTGAGAAATTCAAATTACCAAGAGCATGGGAAAAGAGTCCTAAAATCACCAGAGATGAGTAAGTATCACCCACAAATCTACTGCTTCACCCACTTTTGCTGTGAATCATGCAGTTGGTTTCCAGCACGCCGCACACTTTATAAGTGCCATTATTAAAAACGTAAGGCGGAAGACACCCGCAGAGATCTACGGCCATCCGGACACGGCATTCAAACATACAGTTGATAAAGGAATACCTTCGTAGTCCATGCATACTCCTCTCGCTGCCAAAGAGGCAGTTCCTCAAGGACAAGTCCATACGTCGGATATCATTGGTAGCGTAGGTAGACTCTGGATTTATCCTTACAAAACTTTCCCTTGTTGTGGTCACGACTTTGGTCTCCGAGTTCTCATCTGGAAAGTTGTAGGAATCGTGAAGGAGTAGTCGAAACCCATAGCCACTGAAGAACGTTCCGTAATAGTCAGATATCATGGGATTAAGCAGCACGGAGAGACCTGTGGGATAGCCGCAACCTGTGACCCGATAAGGTCGCTTCGGAACCTGATATGCGATTTTTCTGAAGTGTGAATTTGGTTATGCTATCATAGGAATTATTTTAGTATTCATACTTACTCTGGAAAATTATTGGTAATACCACCAAAGTAGTTAAAGGTGCAGCACTGCCCTTCCATTGTATCTATTCGTTGGAAAAGACTGTCACATCGGGTATTAATGCCCTTCCAAATGCAACTGGAGATCATATCGATGCAGTCTGGTGATAATTGCTGGGTGAGTCCTGTGAGTGTAAGATTATTGAGACTTAAAATTCGATCATAGATATGCAGTGAGCTGTTGCTGATGAGGTTGTCCACCGGCAAAAGTGTGAGATTGAAGAGGTTGTGAAGCTCCGATTTGTTAACACCAACTGGGAGTTGCCTAGAAAAATTATTGGAAATTACTTTGGGTATAGATTATCTATGTAGGGATAGAGATTGCTACAAACATTATATAATTAACTTACATTTGTTCCAGCAAACTGAGTGCCTTGTTCTTGGATATCTTGTTAAAGTTACATATAGTGACCGCTGGGAACGGAATATTCCAGGTGGGAAAGTGCGAGCTCTCGATAACGGTCACCGTTGGAGTTTCTTGACTCCAATACCAGGAGAAGACGACCAGGACAATGGATGTGATGATGGCCAGGATCACAACCACCAGCCAAAACCAACGCTCATTGCGACTGATGTCCTGTCGGGTGATGTAACTGAATCCGTGAAGGGACGTAGTCTGGCAGTAGTTCCGCATATTGTCAGTGAACCAATCTCTAAACTGGCGAAAACGATGTTTAGGGATGGATGGAATTTTGTTGATTGATGTGGATGGGATCACTGCGTCGTCGAGTGGCAGTGGTGGTAGCCATTTGTTGGGCCTGAACCTGCCGCAAATCAAAGATGCGCCGCTTCTTGAATGCCATCTCTACAGGTTGGCTTCCTTTGGGCAACTGTGACTTAGCCGAAAGGCAAGATAATTAGGACAGCTCCTAATTAGTTAGCCCTAATGACCACCCCGGTGTTTCCCACCTTTTGGTTTCGGTGACGTCGCCAAAGTATCTGTTGTCGGGTTAGCCAGTTGCATGTTGGTCGCACACACGAAAAGAATATCAACTCGAAGACCGAAACGAAACTGCAGCCCATAAATAGTCCGGTTATACCACCGAAGGTTCCTGCCCATAAAATGGGTTGTTCGATGAATGTCATTTTTAGTGGAAATACCTTGTAGGTCATTAATGGACTTGCCTATGAATGTCAGCCAGTTCTCGTACACGTCCAAGAGCAGCTGCTCGGCAATTGGTGAGTCGTAGTAGACATGGAGACGGACTTTATTTGCTGAATTTTTATAGCTAAAGTATTGATTAAAAATATTTTTATTTAAATCTAACCATAAGTATGGTTTATTTTATACAAATATTGATTTGATTAGTCCTTAACCTTAAGCACGGATAATGAATGTAAATATCTTTCAATATTGATGTTTTTTAATGGATCATAAAATCAATTCAATAATACCATATGGCTTTGAAATGAAGATTTCTTACAATTTTTCAAGAATATTTATAGCCCTAGGGAAAAATATATATTCCAATAAAAACTCAAAAGACTACAATATGTTGCACTTACCTTGAGTTATTAATGTTTTTACTCGTAGATTTCTCTATAAGTCGTATATCGCTTTGGAATTCATAGCGATTGAACTCACATGGCGGAAGGCAATCGCAGTTCTTTTGTTCTCCGTTGGTGACCTCATCATTATCTGTAAACAGTCAGAAATAAGTGAAGTTCCGTAAATATTCTGCCACATACCAAAATCCATTACACATTGCATTTGTTTTAGGCCGCAAATAGGCCAGCTTTCTTGACGAGGAGCTTTGGGTGGAACACAGGTACACAGCTTTAAGATTTCTTTGCTGCGACATTCTGCCTGGCAGTTGATTTGGTTGTACAAGTTAGATGAGATCAGAGGACGTTCTATTGGTAAGTAGCATCCTCTTTTCTGAAGAGTTAAACCCTCTACATTTTTCGAGAATCGGTTCACAAAAAGTCTTAGCATAATATGAGTTTCTGATCCGCTTGGCACTAGTAACCTTGGTGTTCCTTCGTTTGGTATTTCGTTGGATTCATGTATAAGAACCTCTAATCCACGCAAATTCGAATTTTCGAGCACTTCTTCACTAGGTCCTAAAACCAAACTGAGCCCTAAATGAGAGCTGAAAAGCTGATTTTTGTAATTAAAAATGCAGCAAAGGCGTTGATCCAGTGTCCAAATAGGCATCAGTTTCTCTAGGCAGCTTTTTCCTCGGTTTTCCCACTGACAAAATTCAATTTGAGGACAGATCGGTAAAGCCAAATCCTCTAGGAGTTCCAACCAACTTACATTTCTTATGGTTAGCTGATCTATTACAGAAGAGTTTATGGATGATAATGTCTGAAGCATTTCCACTGGCAATCTTAATTCTTCTGCTTTAGTCTGTAATCTTTTCTTTGGAAATTGTATGTAAACCGCAAATAGTGACCGCAGGAAATGGTACTTCCGCCGTGGGCTTCATCATAGTGTCTATAAAGCGTATGGTTGGTGTTTCCCTTGACATGGAAAGTGACATAATGACTAGGATAAGCGAAAGCAGAACTGCAGTGCAAATGAGCAGCCACCAGAGAGTTCGCTGCCAGGTTTTGGCACCCACAAAGATGTGAAAGCCGTGTATGCTAGCCATCTCGCAGTAGATCTCAAATCCTGTCTTCTTCTTACACAAGCCATCATCATTACGTTCTTTTAGAAATCCAAGGAATCTGGGCAGAGGCAGTTGCTGGAAGCGTTTTGAGAGACTAAGATATCATCTGAGTATTTTTAAACGTTTTAAGCTTTTTGTTAGGTTTAAATTTGTTTTCGCTTTTGGATTTTGAAATCGCTGAAGTGGCTGGCATTTATTTGGTTGCTTCGGCTTTAGGTAATTTTCAAAATTGTCCACATATATGGGTGGTGGGGAACCCTCTCTTTGTAAAGCTGACATGACAATAACAATATTCTGAAATTTTAAAGTGTTGTGAGTAAGTTAAGAATGACGCTGAACTATCCTATTTTTCTAAAAAAAGCTTTTTATATACAAAAAAAATTAAGTCATTTGGGCTCCGTGTTATAAAATTGTATCTGGGAATAACACGCCCTTAAAGCTGTTCTGTCCACAATCAACAATATCATAATTGAGGGTCAGTGGGCGTGAGTGGAGGACTTTCACCTCTATATCTGTGTGTGCTTAGTCGTAATCGAGGCAGTGTATCAATATCCATTGTTGATTTGCCTTCACACCCCCAACTGGAGAAACAATTATCCAGATATTTATTTGTCTATGCGCAACTGGCTACCGAACTACACAGGCGATAAGCTCGGTAAATATGAATAGAAAATTGTTTGCAGCAAATATATTATTATGTGAACTTCCTACTCGCTCATCCTCGTTATTGTTATTGTTTTTGACTTTGCATTGGCTTGCTAATGAGTCTATTGTTATCTACATACATACATACCTCCCTGCCGCCCACAATTACGGCGTTTAAATATTCCGCTCGTGTCATCGCTCGAAGTCCAAGTGTCATTGTAGCTCCAATTTTAAAATGGTTTTCGGGGTTTTTCCCAAAAAACTAAATTTGCACCTTCGTCAGCTGATTAATGGAACTGGGTCTGATTGCCAATCTGTTAGATTTTGATTTTCACGATTCGTAATCGCATAATCACACTGCTTTCATAATCTTTCTATACACATTTTAAGCAATTAATGTGTCAGATTGTATACAATCTTTTAAGGTGAAAAGCCCATTTAGATTTGAGGAACCTGATTTGTAATTGAAGTCGTTACAAGTTCAGCAAGTGCGGGAATGTTGTTATAAGGAAAAGAGGCTTGTGCCAAGTATTATCCCCATCAAAATGATTACTGCAAATCTATTCTTCTATTAAAAGTAATAAAGTTAAATGCTCTAGATAAATTTATAAAAAAGATATAAATTTATATGCTTATCTTATATATCACTTTATTATATATTTATTAGGAGTCAACCTAAAACTCAAAACAAGGTTCTTACTAGGATTTTTATTTTACAGGTTATAGGCTATAAGCAGCACTGACATATGCAGCATACTTTTAGGGATTACTAAAACTGCACAAGATTGACGTAGGACCCCCTTCCACTAAATTTTTATTTAATGGAAAACCCTCTCCATTAATCTATATTTTTTCCGTTATCAAATATATGTTATTTCCAAAGTTATATATCCAACTGAGGCGTAGGAAAGCTTGAGATAAATATTTTCTTTGCAAATATTTACGAACAAATATGATTTGTGGGTTAAAAAATATTTGAATTCAATGGAAATGTAAGAGCTATAAATTTTTCCCCTGAATTGGGGTTCGCATGGATTTAATTATCTCTGTGCTTGTTCCGTTTTGTTTTTTGGCCCGTTTACCGGCCCCAAGGTTGCCAAATCTTTCTAATGAGATTCCGCAGGCATTTCGCCGCTCATTTGCATGCCACGTGCCCGGGAGGCGATGTCTCCCGATTTCAGCCCCAATATATTACTCAATTATTGTTTCGATGTCGGGACTTGATAAGGGGCTTAGACTTCATCGATATCAGCTGCTTGGGTTAATCGATCCAGGACAGATGCACTCGCTTCAAGCTCGAGAGCATGGGAGTTGGGCCTAGGTTATTTTGGTGCATTTGCGTATAAATAAACCCTTGAGTAACGGAGATCGCGGGGTTCAACTCGATCGATTTGCGTCACGCAACGGTAAAGACGAGTGTGACTGCAACTGTATCTCTGAATTTGCGGTAACTTCCAGATTTTAATTCCCATTTTGACCGACTGATGTGGCCCTGAAAGAAGCAGGCACGGCGGGCTATTTTTGGGCTCCTTCAATGTAAACTCATTGTTGTTTTTCGATCAGTCGGAGGCGAGTCATCCGTCCACCCATCAATCTATCCGTCCGGTTCTTGTTTCCAGGCGCCCCCCTGCCGAGCTTCGCATTGTCTTTGGCTGTATTTATTATCATCTGGCGCTGATTTATATGGTCGTTAGCCGGCGACTTTTTTTTTTTGCAAAAACTAGAGCGAGGCTAATCTCTTGCAATTGACGCAAATTGATTTTGCACTCGAAATCGAACGTTCTGCCTTGGCTTCGATTCATGTTTATTCCCACTTTGGATGAGTTGTGCGGTTCCAAAAAAGGAAAGAACGTGCCGGGTTCTACGATGCAGAAAACGTGATCGCTTCAAAGTCATAATTTCCTAGGAGGTCAGTGGGTTTCCATTGAGCCTGACTTAATAGTTTCTATCTAATTAGTAAGGAGATCATTCACAAGCCATGTGCTTAAAGAACTTATTAGCGTGATATTCATATTTCTATTTCTGGGCCTTATAATTTAAGGATCTGGTCGAGTTTCTTTGACTCGAAGTAGTTTTTATGACAGTGGCAGATGGTGACTGGAAAAGTGGAAGTTTGACTACAGTCTCTCGGACAGATTGTTTTTCAAAATCTGTTTGTTTGTCACGCTTTAAGATCATGTGTTTAGCAATCTTCAAAAAATAACAAAAAAAACTCAATTAAAGGGGATGACATAATGCGATTAAAAAGAAAGTCTACCCAGATTGTTATTCTGTGGCGAAAGATTTAATGGCCAATTTCGAACACGATCAACTGGCTAAAACACAAGGCAGCCGTTGTTTTCTGTTTTCCTCATCGAAACGAATCAATCAAATTGTTTACACGCCCATAAATAATTATTCTTTTGTTTGTTTGTTGTTGCCACTCGGCTGCCCTGTTGGTCAGGTTCTAATTTTATTTTCGCCAGCAATTCTCAGCTTCTCCTTGTTTTTGTTTCTGTTTTTTTTTTTTTATTTGGGGCATGACCCCCCTGCAGATTATCACCGTTGCAAAGAATCGCTTTTGCAGCTTTATCAGCGGCTCGCGCCATTCACATGTTGTGACACTATTTTTAGAAACAGTTTGCTACAAAATCATTCACAAAACAAATGACACTTAGCAGAAATTAACAGGTTGATAGCCTCTAGAGGAGTGCAAAATCTCGTGCAAAACAAAATTAACTTTTAGTGCGTTCGGCCGCGGAAATGGGAGCACATGGGGTTCAAATTGTTGCCAGGCCAGGATATTTCAATTAGTGTGGAGTGGTCGCAATAAAAAATACCACTTGGTTTTTAGTTTCTCAGAAAGGGGGCTTTTGAGAGCGAAATTTCACAGAATCTACAAATTTACGCGAACTTATTGTGACGAACACCATTGCTTATGGGAAATCTTCCATTAATCTGAAAATTCATATATTTCTTATCAGCTTCAGAATTCATCTTGACTACATTGTGACGTTTGTCGGTCAGGCCATGTCCATACTAATCAGTACATAAATCTGTTGAAATTACGAGGAAAGTTTTCAAACATTTTCTTGACAGTCATTTCCTGTCGATTCTTATAGTCAACATTCTAGTTGGAAAGTCCAAAAAAAACCTTAGATGTTAATGAATCATTGGAATTTATTTAATTAATTTTTGGTAATAAATTTCTAAGAATTAATTACTCTACGTTTTCTGTTCCTCTTAAGTTATTCATTAAAAAATACGCTCTGTTATATAGGTTATATGGTACTTTCCCAACAATTGTTCTGTGCACTTCGTTTCTATTTATATTTTTCAAGGGGAGAAACCACAAAATGGCATATTTGGATATTGTAGAACAGACAGTTACTACAGCTGGTTAAACACTTGGTTTATCTTGCGGCTTTACACGTTTCGTTTCGTTTATATGAGTAAAGTCAAATACTAAACCTCAAACAGAAACAGAACAATGGGAAATACTTGAAGCTTATGAAACATTCTACAAAGATATCGAAGTATGGTTAACACACACTTCACTTTCAGTACCGACAAATTGAAGGGCACTTCATATACCCGTACCTATGTACGTAAAGCTAAATCAAAAACTTTGAAAATGAAGAAAAGTTCAAGTCAAATATAAAGCAAGTTCAATGCTCTCACAAAAGAATTAAATTCTGTAGACGTTAAGTAAAAATGCAAAATTTGACTTGTCCATTTTGATTACCAAATCAATTTGTTTTAAATTCTTAAGGCCAATACAGGTAGGTGAGAGGGTGACTGATCTTGAGAAAATCCTTTCAAACACGTTCTGCTCTGGATTAATCAATGCCAAGCATTTAAACCCACTCACAGTTAGATTTGGAGATACCTATTCTAATTTTAAACTCATTTTTCATTTTCCCAGCTGAGCAATTTAATTGTTTGAGCGGCGCCAAGCTGGCGTCTATAGTTCTCTTTATTCGTACAAATATATATATTTCTATATATGAAGATCGGCTACAACCAGTACAAACACTCCCACATAGAGAAACATGTTAATGAGGAACGCTTTTTCGGCGTTTCGCTGGTCTTTGCGTTTTGTTGACTGAGCTTAATACTGTGACGTCAGGAAAGTCATTGAGCTATAATTTAATAGCGAGCGACTTCTCCGGCTGTCTGTCTGTCTGGTTAAAAAGAAGAAGAAGAAAAACTATAGCAAACATTCTGTGTGGAGTGCGAGTATGATTGAATTCCAAACAAGAGGAAGAGAAGCCAACGGAGCTACCTGAGCGCAATATTAAGTTACACTTATGACGAACGATTCCGATTTCGAATCCGAATCCGATGTTGAATCCGATTCTGAGCCTGAGCCAGTCCAGTCAGCTACGATAAAGTCGCGAGATTAAAAAAGTCAAGTGACAAGACAACCAAGTGCGTCAATCGTCGGGGCAAAAAGCGAAACAACATGGTGACGGAGTACAAAAGTCCGTCTGCATTGGTGGCATCTTGGTTTCTTTTTTGCTCCTGAGCTGAGTGCATCTGGCATCTGGGTTCTTTGTCTGGTGCTCTTAGCCACTGGTGCGTGCAGATGGCCCATCCGCATCCCTTCACCCAAAGCCGCCAGCCGTCGAAAGCCAGCGATCGTGACAAAGAAATTTCACGCAAATATTGCGTTTGACGTCAGGCCTACGATGATGATGAGGTTGATCAGGGTCTGGAACCGGGGCTGGGCTTTTCAAATGGGCTGCCTTAAAGTTGGGATCTCTGATTATTCACTCAAGTGGGAAGTGCCATTTGAATCGAGATGCGAGACGCCAATAATATCGCTTAATTGAAGTGCAGCCCCAGCAATGCGATTCAGTGCAGGAAGGGGTTTCAATTTTAAAAGGGGTGTAGTTTTAACCTAGGTTTATGAGGTATAGTATTTCATTTATGATAAAAAAGTTTATGCTTAAATTATTATAGAATTTAATTAATAATTCCGGATAAAAAAATTCTAGCTGTCATTCCAACTAAGCTTTTCGAAGATCCTGAAAATTTGTTTCATACAAAAGTTGTCTTTGATTTTTAAAAATTCTTTATAGTTTTAATAAATAAATTATTGTTTAAATATGTACATATTTATTATTATATTAGAACACTATTATTCATTAGTTAACAATAATATTTATCTATTTCATAAGAAAATATTATAGCTCTTTTCAAATATATTTATAAGCTTGGTTTTTCAATGTTGATTATTACGTCCGACACTGGTTTTTTTTATCGATCGTTATAATTGCAATGTATGAGCAGCTAACTAGGGCAACTTATTATTAATCGCTTCAGCTACGCCGGAATGGTAATTATAGCCAGAATAGTGTTGTCGGGAAATGGCTCGTGTTCGTCGGATCACGTGCCCGGGAAACTATTGTTACTCATACGCCACGTTGCCGCCTGCAGACGAAAAGTTCAATGCATTTCTCGAGGCATTTTCCCAAGTAATTAACATATGATGGCTTTGCATTACAATGACGAGGTCTGCGACAACTGACGACTGACGCAGTTGCCATGTGGGAACCGAAAAGAGGTGGAGGATCCAAGGGGGAGAATGCAACTCGAACTCGAGGGTTTGTATGTCACTCAAGCCCAGACTGACGCACGCATCTCGATGGTATAGAGATTGGGAGCGGGAAAGGAGATGGGAAAGGGTATTGGATTTGTATCGAAATTCACAATAAATATGCGCATATGGCCAGTATAGGTATTCTTTGGCCGATGGCCATGAACTCGATGGCTCTGCAAAAATTGGCGCAGATTTCGGCGACAGTTTGCATAATCCCCCGATCCCGAAACATTGCGCAGTTAAGTTGGATTTGCATTGCAGATGGGTCCGGGAATTTCGCCAAGTTCAACAACAGCTCAGATAAAAGAATAAGTCGAGACGGTTCAATGTCTGACCTTAAATGGCGCCATCTGTCTGTCCTCCAGTTCTTGCCGCCCTCTGGACTCCCAGATCACTCTTTTGCGCGTTGACAAAATAAAAATCTGCTGTTGTTTCTTCGGGTCTAGGATTCTATGAGCTCTCCCAGCTATAATGTATTCGCTTTCAATTGTTTTCCCTTTCTTTGCGATGTGAAATTCCAAGTAAACAATAGTTGTGATCGTACTTCGGCGAGCCCTCAGAAATAGAAAAGAGGCGGAATAGCGATCGACGCATTTGAAATTCCTTGTTTACTATATAGTAAGCTATGGATTAATCTCAAAATGGTTTTGGTAGAATCATCATGACATTTACATTCAAGGTGACGAAGGCAGGAATGGTTAGGGATTTTCCACCATTTTAGCAATTTATATTTTAAGATTCTGAAGGTTAAGAACCTGTAATTGAAATATACACAAATTCTATATGATCTTTGATATTAGACTTTAGTTTAATGCATATAATGAAAAGCATGCTTAAAAATTACTCATTGAATAGAAAAAATTCCCTAATTTTTCTGTTTTGTACATATGTGACGTCAATTGCCAATTCATTTATTTAAATTTAGTTTCTAACCGACATAAAAATAAAAATAGTTTTTCATAATTTTAATTTTGTCAAAAATGAATAAAATCGAATTGTTTGGCTTCTTACTGAGTTCAATAAATATGTTTATAAAGTATTATATAATCTACTTTATACTGATTACTAAAGATCGCGCTATTTTTAGATTTTAACTTTTACCAAGACTCAAGACAATTCCAGCTTTACACTTTCTCAGAACCTTCAAATTCTTCCAATCAAAGACATAAAGTGTAGACATTCTATAATATGTATAACAATATAATAAAATAATTAAGTGAGATCAAGATCATCTATATGGTATTTTTAAATTGTGATCTTGTTATTATTGCGTTGTGATTATTGCGTTATACATGTTAAATTTGCATATATTAAAACATGATCCCTCCTACTTTTTATCGCTCCCAACGTTTTATTCCTGAAATATCCAGAAGTCTATATTGATCAAGAGGGTGTAACCCATCCCCTCTCTTTAACTCTCCCTTGCGCTCTTGATTAGTTCTCCCCAGAGAGTGAGCAAGATCCCAAACGTAACTCTCCGGCACTCCAATTCCCAGAGAGCACTTCGTCGTTTTCCCGAGACACGAACAATCAACGACGATTGCCGATTCGGCAGATCACAAAACTGGCTGCCATATGGCAAAACCAGTTAGTCGTCAACCAGAGCAGCCAGACAACGTAACGCCTTGATTCTCGCCGGACTCACCGATTTGCCGCGATCGTTAGTGTCTGTATACAGTTCCCAACGGAACCGAGCGATAAAGATAAATGTGCAAAAACAAAGCGCACTTAGATAAAGATAACGAAGTTTCCATGCCAAAGCACAGTGCAAGTGAAGTGAAACGAGAACGCAATTTTGAATAGGAAATATAAAAGTACTGAGATATAGAAGCCGAGACTCGGAGTCAGAATGCAAATGTGCCGAGCATAAAGCGTGAAAATCAACGAGTTGCCCCCAAACGATATAAACAGCTAACTTGAATACAACCAACTAAGTGAAACCAAGTGCGCCGAGTACCCGATCCGAATGACTATGACTTCAACGGTGCTCCAGCGGCCAATTCAAGCCAAAGCCGAGAAGAAGGCCTCAAAGTCAGCTAACTCAACGAGAAGTCGATCCACAATGGCCTGGTCAAATGAAAAGCTGCGCTTCTCCTGCATTGACAACATCGGCCTGAAGCAGCTATGGAAACTAATTGCCTTGGACACGAGTGCTTCCTCCAAGCAGCGCAATGCCATGATGTTGGATGTAGAGCAGCAGCAACAGCAGCAGCAGCAGCAGCAATCAAACAATAACAACGAGGTAAGTGACCGACAGAAAAGAAAGCTTGTAAGACACAAACAAACACAACAACCCAACCAACCAACCGATAAAGTGACGTCAATGAGGATTGGGGCAACGCATCCACATCCGCGTAGAAAGCCAACTTGCAGAGAAAGTGACCAAAAAAAAAAAAAACAGACAAAAAACATACAAAAAAGAGTTACGAAGTGGTGTTTAAACTCTGACTCCCGGGCCTTGAATGACGTCTGTTTGTTGTTCATATATTGTTGAAACAACTGTGGGACCCACCCAGCTACCCAACCACCCAGTCACCACCCGAACTATGCGAAATGCAAACAGAGTGTGGGAGATCGGTCTGGAATTTCAATAATCCACGTAACGCCAATTTGCATACCACGGCGGATTGGGGCGGTTTGGGACGGATAGGAGGGCCTGCGCTAATTAAAGCCCAGCAACGAGACCCGTAAACGTAACTCAGCCGGACATGGCCAGTTATGATCACACATCTGACAGCAGATTGAGATACGGACTCGCCAGAGGCGTCGCTTGTCCGCCAATGGACAATCGAATCGATTCATTTGATTCCGTTTTATTAAAGACAATTGATTCGTTGACAAAAGGCAAGAGACTGAGATGGAGATTCATCTCCCTTTTGAGGCAAGTCCTTATTTCTCCCAATTGACAAAAAACCATTTATTTGAGTTCCAAGGTTTATTGACTCCTCCCTTTTTTCTCTAAGTGTATCTAGCTTCAACGAGCTAAGCACTCTTAAGTATTTCAAGTGTCAAGTGCAGCGGCCCACACTCTTTATGGCCTCAGCTATTATCGGTTAATTTCGGCCATTTTTAATTTTTCGCTAGTCTAAGATCAAGGCTTCTGACAAGAGCGAAGGCTATTATAAGTTTGGCGATCGGGTTTGGGGCCACTAATCTAGTTTCTAATTTAAACCGTGGATATTCCCCTTAAATCCCCGTCATCTTAATTATGTCGCCAATTTTGTTGGCTGAAACTTGCGGTGAATGTCAAACTTTCGCAGAGTGATTCACATGGATGAATGCATTAAAGGGAAAGACGTTATTTATACTGACGCATATAGAGGGTCTAAGCGAATCCGGTTCTCCTCTGGCTAACGGTTACTCATGACCAACGAACCACTAGAACTGCGACTTAGATTGATGGCGATGCTAAAAGATTGTGTGATGGTTAAATGGTCGAAGTTTTCTGATAGTTTCTGCCCCTGGGACACGGATCTAACCCTCGGCTGATGATATTTTTATAAATTTTTTAAACCAACTGGTTTGAGCACCCCTTGGCCCCCATCCTCACCCCTCATCACCCTTCCTGGCGAGCCCCTCGCCCTGCGTTCACTGGATTGACGTCAATGCAAATAAACTCTCCGGCGGACCGAGACTATCGATATATCGATTAAATCCCCACTTTGAGACAGTCTGGGCCAATGCCTTGGGAGCGTCTCGGGAATCGTCTTATAATGTCAGGGCTGTGTTCTACAAAACCTGCGAAGGCTGCTGCACCTGAGTCACGCCCACAGAATGGGCATCCTGGAAAAAACCAGTTCTCGGTAACACGTTGCAGGTTCAGGGCCAAAAGCCACTAGCTTCTAGGCGGTTTAGGTTGGACCTTAACATAAGATGCCCTCTGTGGGGGATCAAGAACTATACACTCGGAGTCAAAAAATAAAATTCGGCAGGTTGATTTTGTTTAATTAACAACTCAGCCAAAGTGCCTTGACGTCACACGCATAAATTGATTTAAGCAAAGTTTTTGTTTTGCCTTTTTTTGTGTGCTTTAATTTTTTTGTTGCTATTCCTGCGGCTGTTTCTGTTTCGGTTTCTGTCGGTTAACACGTTCGTCCGGCGGCTATAGAAAATGTTAAGTAGTCATAAATAAACACTACTAAACTGTGAGCTTAGTTAAACGCCAAAAAATCAACAAGAAAAAATAAATAAAAAAGAATAACTAAAAATAACGTTGAGGCTGAAAAAGCGGCCAAAACGCACTCAGAACCCGAACTCGATCTCGAATTTGAACCCTAATAAAGGCGAACCGAATCGCTCAAGCGAAAAATGCTGTAATTTTTTTGCTGTCCGATGTCAGATTTAAAGTTAATTATTGTTTTGTTCGCTCTGCGGTTTCGCTTTCCAGCTGTCAGAAGTGATTTTCACTGAGGTTTTCCATCAGCGATTTTTCCCTGTGATGTGGCCATACACCAGTGCACAGAATCCAGACGGTGGTGAGATAATAAAACATATAATTCCATATAAAAATGAAGTAATATTATAAGGTATCGGGACCAGATTCTCCCACAGTATGACGCACTTATACTAATCCAAATTAATGCCCAGGTGCTAATTTCAACCAGGTGGTCTACGTGCAAAAATGTGCAAATATATCGGCCATTTAGAATGGGCTCGTTGGCAATCTGTAGTAAATGCAGTTGTAAAACAAGTAGTCAATGAATAAAAGCCGCTGACGTCGACTATTTCGATCGCGGCTATAATTAAATACCCGTTAACTCCGAAGCGTAACGTGTAACTCTCGATAAAGGTCAGTGCTGACGACACGAACCTCGTCGAACCTCGAATATTGGTTAATGGAATTTGATAGGCGGTACGCTCCACCTCAATCGAATGTGACATCTTATTAGCGCCTAATTAATACATAATAGAGGGGTTTTTGGTTTACGATCAATATGGAAATTCGAGCAGAAAAGACCGATAAATCGGACTGTCAGAAGATGTTCTCATTACCATATTTCCAAATGCCGAATGATTCTGTTATCTAAATTTCACATACAAAACTAATTTGCCAGTCAGCAGAATCGTGTGTTGGGGCGCCATTCATTATCTCTAACCTACATATATCTTGGGGGCTTTCGCAGTTAATCCAGTGTATTTGCACCCTCAAATCAAATATTTTCCAACCGCAAAATGCCGCAATATGATAAGAACAAGATCATACCATACCCAGCTGATAAGGAGCGATGACCCTGGCAACGGGTGTTCACTGTGGTTTCGCTATTCAACCCTTTTACCCCTACCTCCTGGCACGCGTGACGAATTTGTGCCACATATGCAAATTTGCTTGGCTTACGTAAAGATTCGCATTCGGAGCAATGCTATTAACCCAAGATTACGACCGTTGGCATGGGATCTGGTTAAATAAGACGCAGCGTTATCTTAGGCCAGTTAAGATACGATAATAGTGGGGAGATAGCGAAAAACAAGAGCAGAAGCAGATTGGCGGCTATATAAGAAGCTGAGGCATAAACAAGTTCCAAGGCATTTACCTTAATTAGTCAATTAATCAAAGCGGTGGAGTGAGGATCAGATCGAATCGTATTGAAACCGATTGGGTTGTATTGGATCGGATCGCCTTCTACGCTGACAGGTCGTTATTTGTTATGGCCAATGCTTATGGCTCAATTCGCATAGGCAGCACAAACAAAAACAGGCGACAACAAAAACAAACGCCAACTTTGCATACTAAGTGCCTCATTAGGGACACGGCAGTGCCGGGGATCGGTCGTAAACCACACACGACGACCCATCAAGCTGCGCTCTCCGTCTTTTTATATAAGCATAAACAAAACGGGCCGCTTAGAATTTTTCGCCGTTTGGCAATGCATTCGGTTTGAATAATTAATTAACGCCTTCGTGAGTCACAGTTGGGCAAAATCTAAAATTAATTCTAAACAAAAAAAATGCATTACACTGTTAAATGCAATTACAATTTACATTTACATTTTTTATTGATATATATATATTTTTATATTTTTGTTTACTTCTAAACTAACAAAATGATTTTTGTTTTCTATCATTACAGCGGATTCCCAATGAGAACTGCGACAACTTGGCCGACTATTTGAGTCACCAAAGAGCGGCCCAGGCACAAAAGAATCACATCCAATCCCAGGCCCCCGCCCAGATGTCCCTGCTGAAATTCTTGGCCATTGTAAGTACCCGTTGTTTTCAATCCTGTCATGTCAATTGGACAGAAACTTTCCACCTTCCACGCTTCCTGTTTAAAGCCTCAGACAATGTGCGATCGGTTGGCTTGCGGGTTGCCTGCATAAATTTCACGTTTACGAGGCTCGGGGCGTGGCTCTGCGGCTGGCAAATAAAATTTGTTTGATTATTTATAATCGCTGCCGGGGGACAGTAATGTTTCGCACTCGCGAAAGACCGATGCAAACCCGTTCCCAGCCGCGATAATTGTGCGATTTATCAATGAATTCGTATTCCGTTTTTACTAAGATCATTTCTTCTTTTGTTTGCAGAATGCTCTAGAGTTGAGTGCCCCAGCAACGCCACATCTCCTTCAGCATCAGCAGACTCAGACGCAGGCGAAGCCCCAAGGCTGGATGCAGCTTTCCGGTCACCCAGAGAGGTAAGGATCATAATATAATATGGATGGATATAAATGGATTAAACTCCGTTTTATTAAGTTTTAGTAGGAAATGGTGGAAAATCCTTTAGTTAATGGATTAGTTTTATTGTAATTGGCAATTATAAAAGTCATTTTACTGCAATGCAAAAATTTTAATGAGTTCCTCTAAAATCTTTTCTTTTCATTTCAGCATTGTTCCCACGTCTACCGGAATAGTGCGCAAACGCATCTCGGGATTCGAGGACAGCGAGGTGAAAGCTTATCGATTGATCTGCCAAGAACCACAGACCGCCCAGATAGTACCCGCTTACTTTGGAATACAAGAAGTGCAGGCCCAGCAATACATTGAACTGCAGGATCTCCTGGCCGGCTTCCGGGATCCTTGTGTGATGGACATCAAGATGGGCAGCCGCACCTTCCTCGAATCGGAGGTTAGCAATGCCACCCTGCGACCGGATCTCTATCAGAAGATGATCGCTGTTGATGCTGGAGCACCAACGCCAGCAGAGCACGAAGCACGAGCGATTACCAAGCTGCGATATATGACCTTCCGGGAGTCTCTGTCCTCCTCACACTCCAAGGGATTCAGGATTGAGGCACTGCGTTTACGTGGACGACCTCCTGTCAAGGACTTTGAAGACCTGCCGGACAAGCGACCAGATTGCCCAGACTATTGAACAGTTTCTGGCTGCCAGGCGATCCGTGCAGAAGGAGCTTCTCAAGCGACTAAAGCACATGCGTCTGGTTATCGAGCAATCATCCTTCTTTGCCCGCCACGAAATCGTTGGCTCTAGCATCTTTATCGTCTATGATGACGATAGGGTTGGCGTTTGGCTGATTGATTTTGCCAAGTGCCGGGAGCTGCCACCCCATATTAGGGTTGACCATCGCAGCGCCTGGACTCCGGGAAATAGAGAGGAGGGTCTGCTCCGTGGAATGGACGAGCTCATCCGCTCCTTTGAGGAGGTCTACGCCCGCTGCGGTTCCCATCGCAGCTGCCTTAAAATCTAATTGATAGATCGATTGCAACTGCAGCTGGATCTGCACCAAAAGACTGATCACTCAAGCTCCATTTGTACAGATAGAAAGAAAGAGAATAGAGAAGGATTCATCTCATCGTCCGGGCTGAGCTCCACCTTATATTACATTTCCTTTCCATATTGGAAAATCTTGAACTCAGCTCGGTTATAAAATGTAAGACTAGCTGGAGAAAAAATTAACGATTAGTATTGATCACCAAGCAGCATTTGTTTGATTAAAACAGGTTTAAACTAAGTATTTGTGGAAAAAATCTTAATCTAAACACAAAAAATAAAATATCTTAAGAATATTAAACTTTGCTTTTGTTTTAATTATAATGGGGATATATTTTTGCGGTTAAAAATAGGAACTAAAAATTTAACTCCGTTAATTTCATGTCATTCATTGTTAACTGTTAACTTAATGAATAGAATAATTTACGGAATAACTAATCACAAGAGAAAAGATAAATTTTATTTTTCGGACTTAAGTCAAATTAGTTAACAGTTTGTAAATTAGGAACTTAACAGCAGTATGTTAAATTGTAAATATGGGACTATTCAGTATGTTGAATATTTATGTAAAATTATAATTTGCTGGCTTATTTACCTTCCTGGATGTGGTCACACTAGGCGGTTTGTTATTAACGTGATTTTTCATTTTAAGGATGAATACAATTCGTCCATGTGGCTGCAAGGGCGTGCGAACATGTTTGGGATGCGAGAAGGACTTTCAGATAACAAAGCCATCGCTGCAGGAGCAGTTCCAACAACTGGATGCTTGGACATACTGCGTTCACTGTGAACTTTTACAGCCCGGTTGGGATACCTCCAAAGTGCAAAAAGATCATGAGAATCACAAAAAGGACGAAGGTCTTCCTCTGCCGGGCATCCTGGTGCAGGAAGGATTTCTTAGCGAGAAGGAGGGTTCCCAACTTATAGCTGACTTAGACGCACTGCCCTGGGATATTTCGCAGAGCGGAAGGCGCAAACAGAACTTCGGCCCCAAGACGAATTTTAAGAAGCGGAAGCTTCAGCTGGGTTCATTTGCTGGATACCCCCGAACCACGGAGTACATTCAGCGCCGATTTGAAGAGGTTTCCCTGCTCCGTGGCTTTCAGACAATCGAACAGTGCTCATTGGAGTATGAGCCCACCAAGGGTGCAAGCATAGATCCCCACGTGGACGACTGCTGGATCTGGGGCGAACGAGTAGTGACAGTTAACTGCCTTGGGGACGCCGTGCTCACCCTAACTCCCTATGAAGTCCAGCAAGCGGGGAAATACAATTTGGACTTGGTGTCCCACTACGAAAAAGAACTGATGTCGCCGCTGCTAACCGAGGATCAGCTGGCCAAGTACGAAAGAAAGGTGCTGCGCATACCTATGCCGAAGTAAGTCACATAACTATACACTCTTTCGTTGGTTTACCAAGCGGTTTTATACATTTTAGCCTCTCGTTAATTGTTCTGTATGGACCGGCGAGATATCAGTTCGAACATTCTGTTCTCCGCGAGGATGTCCAGGAACGACGGGTTTGCATTGCTTACAGAGAGTTCACGCCCATGTATATTAGCGGAGATGACATTCAAAAGGGTGACCCTGTGAGGGAAAAGTCACAGATATTTTGGGAAATAAAGAAGCCAACGGCTGTGTAAATCTTAAAATTGACAAGATATTGGTAGGCAGCTTTAGGAAATAAAATCAAAGATCAGGGGGATTACTATTGTGTATATGTTAGTACACTTTTATTATGTACCAGGGTTGTCCTGACTCGCGCTGGCTGGTTTGTAATCGAGTAATGCCACCTGAGCAGGTAGTTGTACTCCATGAATCTTTTTTAAATGGGCTCTTAGGTTGCTACTGGTGCTAAAAGGTGTTAGAGCAAACAACACACTGGTGGTGAGAGTGCTTGCGGCGAATGTGTTCGTTGAGATCGCGCACTTTGGCAAAGGCAGTGGTGCAGTACTTGCAGACATGCGAGTTGCGCACATGGGTTTTCAAATATTGCGGGGATGCATAAGCCAGAGGGCAGTACTGGCATTTGTAAATTGCTTGGCTGCCACTAGGCTCTACGTCTAGCAGGCGATTAGTCTCATTGTACTCGTCAAGGTTGTAGTGCTTCAGTTCGACGGCTGCGTAGTCTACGGTGCGCACCTCGTAGGCTGGCTCTTCTAGCTGCTGCAAGCGGGATTCGGTCAAATCCAGTCGTGGTTGGGCCGTAGTGGCGGGAAGGAACTCGGAGACAATAAGCGAGTCCTGATTTGCCAGTTTCTGTGAGGGCTTTGGACTAGGGTCTGTTTTTCTTTCTGTTTCTTTTGCTCCTGTCTGCGGTTCTAGAACTATAAAATCAAATGGTGAAAACTCCTCCCAGGTCTCGAAACCCTCTTCAGCATTTGTTTCAGGCTGCTCCTTCTTCAGAGTTTCCACATCCTGGCACATTTCAACCTCTGCGTCATTGTATAGCTGCAGAAGCTGCTGGTTGGCAAACTTAAGTTTCCGATAAAAGGCGTAGTGCAGTTGGCACTCCTTCAGACAGCCACTGCAGATCATGGGCAGCTCTTCAGTTAGATTAAGATCTATATTCTGGGGGATAATGATTGTATTGCTTGATGTTTAGCTTTCTTCAATGGGCATACCCTGCCGAACATGGTATGAATCAGCTCGAGAACTGTTTGTTCGGAGCTGCCGCTGCTTCTGTGCTCTCGGATGTCCACAGAAGCGCTGTCTACAAAGCAAATCCGGCATAATTTACGCAGGTCCATCACAATGAAAGTATATTATGCATTGAAACTTCAACAAAAAAATGTAAACAATAGTGTGGTTGGCTATTGTTACCAAAAAGATCTCTTTCCGAAAAAATAGTATATTTGGTATATTTATTTTTTGTTTAACGTCTGACTTGCGGTCTTACCAATTTTTCAAACTTTGAATTATTTAATTTTTTTCTTCTAATTTTAAAATTATTTCTTATTTTAAGAAAAAAATTAGTCGTTTAATTCTCTTTTCAAAATAAATTTTTATTCAGTTTTTTTGTTTTTGTTGCAATCATGTCTCTCGATTTTTAATATTAATTTGTTTATTATTTAAATCATTTAATTCCTTTGTTTTTTCGCTTAAAATTAATTATTATCGTCAATGTGACGAAAGTTATTTGTCTGCCAATAATACTTATTGACAACAGACTTCTTGCTAATTTTTGGTTTCTGTTTTTAGCCATTTTGTTTTTACATGCATAATTTTTGGGAAGATTTTATGGTTTTTGTTTCGCGTTTTGGCAATCGACAGAAATTCAGTAACGGTTTAATAATTATGCAATTAGCTATTTAAATTGATTTGGTAGTTAGACTTGGGACACAGGTGGAGGCTTGGATTTGGATTTGGGTGGGCTTGCAGGTATCTGCTTGGGTGAGTTTAGTGCTAAACATTTGCAGTTTACAGACTAAGTTTTTCTTGTAGTTTAGTTAAATGCTAATTTTAAATATATATTTGCCTTGTTTAAAAAAGTGTCTCGAATCGGTTTTTAATGCGCTATTTATTGTTGAACTCTGTTTAATTGCCCTGGGGATTGAGAACATGCGGAGTGCAATTGAAACGAAAATCGAACTCTTTTCGGTTTGTTGATTTCTTTATTTTGGTTTTTTTGTTTTTTGCTTTTAAATACGAACAATTCGAATGCTTCATGTCTGACTGTGTCCATGTGTGTGTATTTTGGGCGTGTACCAACCGTTTTGTAATTAGCTTTTTGCATTTCGCGATTGCGTGTAACTCTGATCAGAGGAAATTAGTTATTACTTGCAAAGTAAGTAAGTAGTAAGTAAGTAGTAGAGTTTTCAAATGAAAAAACATTTTGCTTTACTACAAGTTTGCATTTTTTTTTTTGCGGTAATTTCATTTTCATTTTGTTAAATTCGTTTATCGTTTTTAGTTTTTTTGCCATCTCTCGCAGTTGCATCATTATCTCATTATCTTGGGTAATCGCGTAGGTTGCCCTCTCCTAATGTAGGACGCTTAGTTTATGGCTCCTTCTGCAGGTCACCTCATTTCATTTTTATAATTGCCTAGTTAACGCTATATTATTATTACTTGTATTATACATAATCTCGTACATGTAGAGTTCAATCTTTTAAAGAGTGTAGAAAATGGTTTGCTTTTTAAAACAGCTTCTTTTTATCAAAAAGACATCCATACACATATACATAGTTCTAATTATGCGCCTAGCTGCTCAAAGACTAGCACTAAAATTAATTATAAAAAAATTAAATTTAAAATGCACACACCCTCCTATCGCACCATAGCCTAAGCAATCTGATTCGGATTCGGATTCTCATATATTAACTCAAGATCTCAATTTCGATTTGAATTGGAATTCACATTCGAATTTAACTAACTTTCGAAAAAACAACAACCTCATGGGGACAGAGCAGTTTTCGGTAGGATTACGCATCGCTCTGGGCGTAAGTAAAAGTCATCTCATATCAAATCTAAATTTAAATGTTGTACCTAAATGCAAATGAAACATACAAAGTGACTGTGTGTATACAAATATAACGCTTAGATCTGATCTGCAGTTCCTTCAGTTGATTCAGCACTCGATTGGGATCCTTTTCAGACATCCTGACATTCTGACAGCGGGTGTAGCTAATATTGCCGATCTGATTTCCATTAAGTAAACTTTTCGTCTGGCTATCAAAAGTGGTTGCTCGTCACACAATTCTGTTAGAAATTCTTTTGAACAGGAGAACTTAATCAAAAATTTTGGGGTACTCGAGGGGATTTAGGGAAGTGCGATTATAACTCGGCAGTGTTGCTATACTTCTTCGTCCCTTAAATCATTATCGTTTCTTCTCATTCAACAAGGAGGTAGGTTTTTCATTGATTTTGGTTTTTGTGTAGAAAATATTCACGTTTAAAAGGTTTCTTAGGTGGGTTCCGGAAAGAGTGTGTTCGAGTGTTTTGAGTTTGTCATTTTTTTTGGGGGCTATACCGTAAATATCACTGTTTTGCTTTGTGTGAGGGGAGAGCAGAGTAAAGTAGACAAAATTCGAAGCTCGTTTCTAGGAATACACAGAGGGATATACATAGATATAATATATAGACAGAGAGAACTCATCCGAAATCTATGCGAAATTTCCAACAAAATTGTGATTTTTATACGTGTGATTTCGAGTGGCATTGAGTTTTAGTTGGTTTTGTTTTTTTAGTTGGTTGGTTGGTTGGCTTAGTGGGGCTCTGTTCTTGCGCTGCTTTTGCTTCTTTTGCTTAGTGTCTTTAGTTTTGCTAGTTTCCGTATTGTTTTATTAAAAATATATCCATATATATATGTGTATGTATATATGCGGTGATATATGTGTCATAAAATATATATACACCTGTTCATCTTGTATTGCTAGTTCGGTTCTGGGATCTCTGGGGTTTTCGATTTCGATTTCGGTTTTCTTCTTTCATTATTACTTTGACTAATTAATTGGTGACTATAACTCGGTTTGTTTCGCCCTCGGGTCGTTTTGTCTTTATGCTTACACAATTTGCTACAATATTTCAACAATAAATTTTCTAAAAACATGATGTTCAACGAACATACTTTCCCACAATGTGTTCGTGAATGCGTCTTTTAAAAATTAATTCAATTCACTATGAGTATAAGTATGTATATATAGACCTTTGTTAATATCCATTATTATGTGTCAGTTTGTTACCATTTACAATCAGCTATCTTTCAAACAACTCCTTAAAAGCCTTCCAAAAGATGAACAATCTTAATGTAAACTGAATTGAGATTGGCTTTGATTAGAATGAAATGAAGTTTCGTGAAAGTTTGTTCATTGGGATCATATTTTGTTTGCAAACTGGAATGAAGGAAATCAAACAAAATATTGTTGGTCCACGTGATCCCAGAATGAAAACAGAAAGGGAAAATATTATAGCTTAAAAATGCAGACAACAAAGGGTCATCAGACCGTAACTTATGCCCCCATAACCTCATATCCCTCTCCGGGTTTCCTCTCCTCTCCTTTCCTTCTTTCCTACGAATAAATGGTTTCTTTCCCTTGTTTTTGCATTTGTCAATTAAGTGCTTCAGTGTCGGTGTGTCTCTGTACGTGAGTGTGTTGCCATTTTAAATACATATCTAATGTCTCATAGGAACAATCTCTTATATATATCATATATCTTAGGTGTAGCTGTGTGTGTGTGGCTGTGTCTGTCATCTGTTCATCTTACATAAATTATAACAACTCAGCATATTAATTAACTTATAACTCTGTTATTGTACATACAATTACCTAGATGTATGTGTGAGTCTGTCTGTGTGTTAGTGGGTATACACGTGTAACCTTTGTGTGTCCTGTCCCGCGATGTTTCTTTGTTGTTCCTTTCGTCTTCCTTCCTTTTTGCTCCTCTTTTTTGGCTATTCCTATGCAAATTTTTGTTGTTTTCTTAACTCTTATAATTTTGTATATGTGTATACGTGTCTGTGTGTGTGTGTGTGTGTGTATGTAGCTTACTTAACACTTTTTTCGGTTCTTGTACGGCAGTAATTTTTGCTTTTTTGTTTGGTTTGTCCATAAAATATGTTTTAGTACATGATTTTGTCTCGTTTCTTGTTTTTTTTTTTGCGACATTTTCTTTGCTCTTTTGTTTTTACTTAAAAATGTAATTAACAATTTTTTATTTGTATTATTTTTTTTTGTAGCTTTTTTTGTTGTTTTGGTTTTGCTTTTATTTCGAAGCAGCTTCGCTAGTTTTTGGGTTTTGAAAAAGAACTTAACTAGGCATCTCTCGTCCGCAGATGTTTCCATATCCGTTAGCTTAATTGTCTAATTCGAGCGTCCTTATTGCACGATTATGTGCGGAGCCGAGAGCAGCACAGTAACCGTTGCAATAATCGTAAAGAGCGTGAAAACAATTAAACAAAATCTGTGGAGTAGAAGAGCAATCAGAGTGTTAGCTAACAAATCACCAGAACCTTCAGAACAAAACGGCCACCGACCGGTAGTCGGCCATCTTTCAATATTTACAACACGTGTATGGGTGAGTGTGTGTGTGTGTCTGTGTGTGCTTGCGTCAGGGGCTACGACTGTGTGCGTTCATTCCGCCGGAAGTCGTGTGGCCTAATTGTTTGACTTGCCAGGCAGGCAGGCGGCTGTCGAATCCTGCCGGCTTTGGTTCAATAGATTCACACCCATTCGCGAGTGTATGTCTTGAAGTTCATAATTGTGTGGGTAAAATCGGATTAATGATGAATTAGTGGCTAGGGGATAAGCTGAAACTCAAAGTTTAGCCGAAAACAGCTAAAACCAAAATGCTTATCTTACTCTTACACAAAATTATCAGTTTCTAATCCATTTTTTATCATAGGAAACTCAGATCATAAATGATCTGGTCATAGTTTATATATCCTTAACGGGGAGATTCCCAAAGAGGTGATACTGAAAACTTACCTATCCACAACCATTGCCGCGAACTTCCAATCGCCAATCAATTCCGCTTCGTCGTCAGCTTTGCGCATGCGCGCCGTAATAAATTGCAATTCTTTGAGAATTAGATGAAGATCTTTGTGATTGCAGCCAATGGCTGTGTGATGCTCCTCCACCGTTGTGGGCCGGCCAAAGCTACTGCAGTGGTACATTTAAATAAATATAGAATACATTAATTTGAAATATTATATAAAAAAAAAATTTTGGTGGAAATCGAAGCACAACTTACGCCGATGAACCAATGGCGGTTTGGGAGCCCGATATTGTGTGCCGAAAGTCGTCGTCAATGTCAAGGACATTGGCCAACAGGGACTTGGAGGAGCGTTCCTTTAACTCCAGCTCCTTCATGCGATTGCTTAATAGTATTGTTTTGCGTGTGATCTTGCGGCCGGGTCGACCCATTCGCAAGATCCAGGGCAGCCATTGTAGGAAAACGGATTTAATCTGGGAACCGAGGAAGTAAAAGTCAAGCGGGGAACAGCGGGGTGACATGACATGATGATTGACTCACCCACGGTGGCATCTCGTGAATGTCCGCTGTGCGATGGTGATAGTTGAGCACCACTACTGTCAACACCACCGACGATGCGACCATGAACATGATGCAGTTGAAGTAGGTGCCTAAGGATTGTGCAGGTTTTTGGGGTTGCGGATTGCAGATTGAAGTTTGCAGTTTGTGAGGTGAGCAGAGAGCAGAGAGAAAAAATCCTATATTAGAGTGGTGCTCCGGGGACTCTTCAATTTATTAATAAAACACTAAGAACAAAAGCTCAAAAATAATAAATTACAAAAATATTACAACATTACTTTAGTTTAGCTTCATTTGATGAAAGACTTTGGTTAGATTTACGGTTAGAGAAAGTAGCGTAATCAAAATTACTGTGTTGTTACAATGCTGTGACTATGTTACTTTACTCAATGTTACGTTTACGTTGCGAATGCTACTAAGTAATTTCTAATGAAAGCCACTACGTTTGATGTTTATTATTAAATACTATTTTAGGTTTCATTCTCCATCATGCAGTTTAGTATAAACTGTTTAGACTAGGGATCATGCTTGGATTTTGGCTTTAACAATTGGAGACAAAATTGAAGCAAAGGACAGCGAAATCCTTATCGTATCTATTATATAATTTTTGATTTATTAATTCATCAATGCCATCGTATAAAAGGCTTTGCGTTTCTTTTAGATTTTCTTAATTTTCTTAGATTTGTTTTTGAATTCAACTGTCCTTTGCTGCTGCTACTCTAGTAAAATACAAATTGCAAGCAAATTTGGTGTGGGCTGGGGTCATCGGTTTTCTGTGTCTGGGTTAGTAATTTTCAACTTGTTCTAGAGAATGCTGGGAATCGATATTTTTATAGCTTTAGCGAACGGATTATGTGATTGCAATTGATTTAACGTTTCTGCATTTTACTGTATGCTCTCAGAATATTTAATAACGATATAAAATTCGATTTAATTAGCTCATTGTTTTGAGTAGGCTTTTGATACTTGGGTATGAGGAACAACGCCTAATGGCTAATAGCGGTTACCTAAAGCTTAGAAATAAATATGTACAAAACATTTCCGGTTTTCGACTGGGTGTCTAAAGCCAAGCTAAAGCACCCTTAGACCAGAAATCGGAAAGAGAATCGGTTTAGAATCGAGAGTGTGGTTAACGTGTTAGTTGGAGTTTGTCTCAGAGTCAAAGAGGTTCAGCCAAAAGTCTAAAGAAGCAAAGGTTGTTCGGTTGGGTTTCGGGGTTAGTTTTCTTGGGTTTCGGGGCATGGGTTCCAAAAAATACTTTTGGTTCATCATCATCTGCATCTCGTTTTTATCCAGTTGGAGTTGGATCATGCTCTTCATCGCTTAACATTCTTTTACCTACTTTAGTCGGTCTAGTTTTGGTTTTTACAAGATTCACTTTGATTTTTAGCGCAAACTTTCGTTAAGTCTAATGAGTACTTTGTACAATCGTTTTTGGTTTTGATATTCATTTTTTTGTTTGTTTGATTTAGCAGCTAAAAGAAAGAAGAGTTTTGGTTGTTTTTATTTTTAAAGCTCTAGAATTTAAATTTAGTTTTTGGTTGGATTGGATTGATTGTTAATTATTTTTTTTTCGAAATGATAAACTCAAAGTTACAAACGAGTCAATTGAAAGTTGGAATACCTAAGAGCGGTACAGCCTCGCTGGTTTTCGTAATGACATTGCCGACCAGCAGGGAGAAAACTGTTTGCGACAGTAGTATAGTGACACCTGGAAAATATTTTGTCAAATTTTTTTGGTCAGATCTCTCGTGTGTATTTTGGGATTTGGTCCGTCCTGGGAGTTATCCGTACCAGTGTGTCATCGTTTTCAGATTAAGTTTGAGGGTTGAGGTAGAGGATCGGGATTGGGTTACAGAGACGATTGCCTCTAGAAAAGCTTCAGGGTTTGTAGACTAAATGATATTTTTTGGCTGAACCTTCTCGCAGAGAACGCAACACAACTTGACACACAAGACATAATTTTCGATTTATTCGTTGTTTGTTGGCGGTGGAGAGAGTGCATTCCAAGTGGACAGTGGTTATCTGTTATCTGTAAGCAAACGAATCCGCGACCCATTTCAACAAACAAACAAAATAAGCGGATCTCAACGAAATGATATTTTTGCAATACCAGATATGCAATCGAGCGATCAGTATTTATTTACATAACACATTATTCAATTGGAATATTTTAAGGCTTTCAAAAGTTTGAGTTCTCAAAAAGGTTCTCAAGCAAAAAATATCATTCCGAGAAATGGGTCAAAAAGTATATTGAAGGTGAGTTCGCATAGATTTTGGGATATACATTATGTGTATGTGACTGGGAGATTGGATGGGGTGGGTGGGTGTCACAGACAATAGCTAAGAAAGTTAAAGTAGCGTGTTTGGGTGGGTTCTTGTGGGTGGTTTGTGGGTGGCTGGTGGTTGGGTGGTCATGACTGAGAGTATCCTGTGTGACGGGTGAGCGAGCGATAACGATAACGATAACGAGAACGAGCTTTAAGATGGTGACACAGTACTCATGGACAAACCGAGGGTGATAAATATATCATCTTATTTTGGTGGCGGTGACGGTGACGGTGATGGTGAAAGTGAAAGTGGAGCAATGCTAAATTCGATTATCTATTCATGAGCGATTAAGGTGGGCGGTGAGAGTGATAGTGATAGTGAGAGTGAGAGTGAGAGTGAGAGTGAGAAAACCAAATCAAACACAAATCAAAGCTGTTAGCAAAAAAGTCAAATCATACAATACAAGACATAAAACTTCTTTCTTTCTTTTCTTTTTTTTCATTTTCATTTTCTTTGTATTTTCATTAATTGATTTCTTTCTGTCTGTGACGACGACATCATTTAGCATAAAGTTGCGCCAAATGTTTGGTTCATCTGGGCATTAGTTTTCTTTTCACAAGTATTATCCCAAACTCACTTGCATTGAAATCTGTCTCATAAGTATCTTTTGTAATTACATATGGATTGAAATTGAGGGAGTGGCGGTTTGAACGAAGCGAAAAGAGTACAAGCAAGGTGTACTGTAATACATAACAGTTATATTATATATATATAGTTCGGATATATTGTATACATAATCGTATATAGTATATATATTTAGTTTTTGCACAAATTGAATAATTACAGAAGGAACTGGCCAAGGCGACACTTCGATGTACTGGATTAGCTTTTGAAATTGAAATTTTGAAATACAATTATTCGAATTTATATAGAAGTATATAGTTATTAAATCTAATACATCATCATCAGCATCGCTGGTTTAGTTCAGGGAATTGAGTATATATATATATTGAAGGGAATTTGATCGATCATTGGTGCGGCATCATTGGAATTCGTTGGACCGAACTTCAACGAGGCTGTGTGGAAGAAATTGAAGAGAAAATGGAAACGGAAGTGTAGGAAATATATAGATCGGAAGTACATATAGATAACGATAGCATTTAAAAGACTGCCCTAACTTGTGTTCCTGGCTGGTTGTTGATCTAAATTTAAATTGACTTGAATAAGAAGCAAACCAAAAAGATTGTTGATTGTTCAAATGAATATAGAAGGATATAGGCATAGTGATAGTACGAGATAGAGAGAGAGAGAGCGGGAGAGAGAGTCAGAGATAGCGGCAACAGAATATATAGTATGATCAACTAAGAAACTGCTTCGATATATATTTGTATTTGATATTATAACTTCAAGTTCAGAACGATTCAGAAGATAGGGTGGGACAGAGAGAACGAGTTGGAATTAGAATTGATTTGGTTTAGTTTGGTTTGGTTTTTTAGTTAAGTTAGTAAGTACTTAGCAAAGTTATTTGTAATTAGTAAACATAGTACGACGTACACAAATAACATTTAACAACTTTTATCACTTTAGATATTGGATATTGATTGTTTGACTTGGTTGGTTAGACTAATACTTTATTTAAGTTTTAAATTCGGTTTCGGTTTCGGTTTCTTTTTGGCTTTGGTTTGTTTTTGGGGATTAATATATGCGAACAATTTAGCAATGTGTGTGAGTAATATAATCGTAATAGATATGTATATATATATATATATATAGGTAACAACAATAACAATAATATTCATGAATATATATATGTAGTTTAGTTTAGTAACATATATATATATATATATGTATATATATGCGAATATATATACAGATATATATATATATATATATTTAGGCGTGTACGTGTAAATCATATTAAGTACTTTGTTAATTATTCTTTGGTTTTTTTGTTTGTTTTGACAAATTTGAATATATATTTGCATTTTGGTAAGTATGTTTTAAATGCAATCGCTACCTAACAAGGGGATTGCATCAGATACTTGGGGCAATGTCTCAGCTACAAGGTTGAGAAACACTGTGAGCGATAGAAGAATTGTAACTCCTGAAACAAAAGAATTTCGTTTTCGTTTTGAAAAATACAATAACAACCACACAAAAACAAATGACACAATCAAAATGGAAATCAAAAAGCGTACGTTTATGTATGTTCCAGTGTGTATCTGTAGTGTCCTTTGGGTGGCGTGTGTTATCGTGTTATCGTGTTTATAGACATATTCGAGGACTTCGGAGAGGTATGTGGGCTCAGTATAGTTTGGGGCAGTATCTGTTTCTTTGTATCTGTTCGAGGTTTCGTTTTACGCAGCGCCTTTCGGGCCGAACATGGAGATTGGAGATGGACATTGGACTTTGGATTTTGGAGATTGAAGAAGGGTTCTTTTTTTTTTTTTTTGGCTATTTAGAATTAGCATTTATCGGTTTCATTGATCTTGATCTCTGAATGAAGTGTGTGAATTGAGTGTGGATGAGTATATGCCTGAGTATGCTGCGAACTCAAAAATTGAATTGGGTCTAACAGAAATTGGAGGGCCTGGAAGGGGGAGGGTATATATTTTAAGGATATATACAAATATATATAAAAAGCAAGGGGAGCTCTTACAAAGTTGGTCCCCAATGAGATGGCGTTAGGTTAAATCTCTGAAGGTGTTTTTCCCCTTTTATGTCGCTTGAATCTGACAGAATGGGCACAAAATGTTCACAACATCTCCGAGAAATATTTATTTTTTTAAAACAAAATCTCAACTTTTCAAGAGCTTAGTGGTTGAAGGGGGTTTGGGAAGCGGGTGGTAGTACCATTCTACCAACTTTGACCCATTAGTAGGGCAAAGGAGGAACAGGAAAAACTTTGAAAGTAGCGCAAGTTTTTCTTGGCCAGAGAATATATTTGTAAATTGAACTCGAAGTCGACCCAAGACTCCACCGACACAACCCCCCTTTTACACTTGCCGCTACGTGTTGCCAATTTGCCACGCCCACATGCGCGCCTCATTTAATTTGCTACGTGCCACAGCGAAAGAGACGGCACCAGAGTGGAAGCAAGAGCGAGGACAGCGGCTAAATGGGCATTAGGAGGGGAATTTTGCATCTCGCATGCAAATGATTTGTCAAGTCTTTTCGGGGGAATGCTTTTGGGGGCTTGGAAGGGTGGTAAATATCGGAACGGGTTAATATTATATATATATATATAGATTTAGATACATGACATAATATGAACGCATGATGGGCTCGACATCATGAACGATACGATATTATGTGGAGTTGCAACTCTACCATCTGATCAAATGGATCTGCATAAATGCAAGTTCAAATGTTGCTTCGATTTTGGTTTCGTTTAGGGTTTATCGTTTAGGCGGCGATACGTTTAGAGCTACGGTTCTATATATGGTTCGTGGGTACGGTTTTAGATGCTAGGAGTTTACGGGTTGCAAATGACTGGAATTTTGCGTTTGCGTTTGCTTTTTTTTTATTTATAGATACATTTCCAGGTTTTTGAGCAAGAAGATCTAGATTAGTTTGGTGTTGTTTAGTGGCTGGGTGGTTGGGTTTTTGGGTTGTTTTGGTGTGTGAGAATTCAAGGAGTTCGTTTCTTGCGAGTAAGTAGGTGCAAGTTCAAATAGTTCTTGCCGGAACAAGAAGGAGAGATATAGTAGCTATATGAATATTGACAAACTGGTATATATACTGAAAGAGCGAGAGCGAAAGAGGGATTTTTAGACAGAGTGTTGAGAAGGTGTTAAGCTTTGGATTGCTTTCGGTTATAGCCTCTTTTTTTTGTTACATATTTTTGGAGTTGCATGCGCTCGTGTGGCGGCGTTCGACAAAAGTTCTGGTTGTTCTTTTCGTGGTGGTTCGGTGGTGTATTTGTACTTGTTGGGTTAAGGACCAGTGGTTTCGGTGTACTTACGTCTGTTCAGCGTGTTGTCTATTTACAGTGTTCGGTATTGTGGGTGATCGGTGTCGAAATATATATATATATAGAGTCATATATGATTAACATAGATGCTTAGTTTCGAGGGCAGCCCTGGACTGCCCCTTATTAAGGCTTTCTTTGTACAGCTCTAGCGATACAAACTCTTTGGTTAAGCTATACCTACCGCGAGGCATCTACAGTCAACAGGATTCGTGTGCTCAGAGGAGGTACAAGTATGACAAGCTCTGGCCTAGCTAGCTATTCCTCTCTACCAAGCCAAGTATCAAAATGTTCACATCAGCCGCCATACAAACCTCTTTTTTCTATTCACTAACTTTTACGAGGTAAATGCATTGAGTTACGAGGGGAATGATTCTACAATCCGAGGTCTCTGGTGATGTTGGCTATTGCAATTGACATTCGATTTGGCCACAGAGAAGAGCGAGGGAAGGCAGATGGCGAATTGGATTCCCAAGGACTGGCAGGAGCAGTGCGGGTCGTGAGTGTAAGTGCATTTCGTACGCTTCTTTGGCACTCTGCATCCCTAACTGACCTCATGCTGTGGCTGCCTGCCCTCGAGCCCAATCACACTACCACAATCCTTCCACCACTTTCACTCTTGTTCTATTTATGGTTTGTTGATGTTTTTGTCTGACCAGGCCAAGAAAAATACCAAAAAAAAAAAAAAAATTTAGGAAAAACGGAAAAACTGGTTAACTCGCTGTTGGGCTTTTTGTAAGTTAGTTAGTTGGTTTTTGTTTCTGGTTTTCTGTTTCTTTTTGGCTTTGGTTTCACTCCTGTTTTTCATATATTTTTGGTAGCGAAAAAAGGTGGTTCGTTGGATTTTTTATAGTTTCTCTTTTAAGATATTTGTGTATATATACAGTTGTGGCTAGATTTAAAATACATTTTCTTTAATTGCATTTCTGACTACGTTTTTTTTTTATGCGGTTTTTTGGAATGCTGCTATGCTTTCAGAGTCGGGATGATTAGACGGTAGGGAATGTGTAGAAGGAGGACTCGTCCCAGCGTGATTATGAGAGCGAGGGCACACTAAGGACAAGCTTATATTTACAGGATGATCGGGTTTACTCAGTTTGGGTTTATTGTTATATTCAACATTGGTAGGTTTGGCAGGCTAAGAACTAAAAAGACCAACGAAACGATACGATCGAAACGAAGGGATCAGCTAGAGGCACACGTAGATAAGCAAACGAATCCAACAAACAAACAATCGAACAAACGAAGCAACAACCAAACGACAAAAATAACTCAGGAACCGATTTTTTGTTTTTTGTTTTATTTTTTTTGGCAAACACAGCAAAATTGAAACGAAAAACTCTCTTAATTGTATTTGTACTTGTAGCTGTGGCTGTAATTGTGGCAGTAATTGTGATTGTGGCTGTGATTGGACTGGCGATGTGTGTGTTAGTCGTGTGGTCAAATACCAATTATGTCAGAGCTATCGGAGACCCCGAGGTAACCAGATGGAATTAAGTGGTTAGCAAAAAAGTATATTAGAAAAGACTGGGCAAGACCATAAGCTAAGTTAAGTAGGAAAATGCGAAAGAAAAGCTTAGGTAAGAGAGTGAGAGAAGAGAGTTCCTCGGGTTTGAGACTTGAGTACTTTACATGGTACTTGGAAAGGAGTTGTTAAGTGTTGGTTCATTGGTGTGGCAGTGGTGTGTACTGGGATATATATAACATATACATATGTAGAACGTGTGGCTAGTCTATCCGACATCCAGTTGGTTTTGGTGGTTCAACACGAGGTGAGAGTCCAGAGATTACAGAGAGATATAGATAGATCTATGGCAAACATACGGAGAGTTAGGAGTTATTGATCATTCCTCATTCGTGTAGAGGTGTAACCGGATGTAACCGGATGTGTGTGTGTGTGTGTAAGTGGATTTCCGGGCTATGTGTTCTTGTGGGTGTGAGGCAGAAGACAGTTACAGAAGTGTTGAGAGCTAAGTTAATTGGTATTTCGTATATCGTTTCTGATTGGTATCTTTTGTTAGTATTCGTGGCTTTGTTTTTAGTTTTAGTAATTTGGTATTTTTTGTATTTTTAGTTTTTTTTTCGTTTCTCAGTTCATTGCACTACTGTAGCAAAACTAATGATTAACTAAAAACAGCATTAGCACAGCACGACTTTCTGTTCGACACTGGTTGTAGTGATTGATGTTAGCTCGACCGATCGCAATCGGTCCGTACTTTAAGCTATAGCGTTTTAATTAGCGTGTGTGTGTACCTATAAGAGGAACAGCATCCGACGTTGTCGGCATGGACTCGGCGACAAGGTTTAGAAATACTGTTAATGATAGTAGTATAGTTACGCCTGCAACAAGAGATACAATAAATATAAAACGCAATTTAAATCAAAGTCGAACGCAAAACACATCGGAAAACTGAAAGATCAAGTTTACATAATAAGATTTATATCATTAGTATTTATCGAAAAATTAGGATAACTTTTACACATTTTACTCATCAACTTTTTAGGTTTTTAGTTTTACTCCTTTAATTTGGGATTGGGTGATATTGTTCAAGGAGTTTATAAAGGGGTTCATTATTTAATCTTTGCACGGGACAGCAGGGACTTTTTAGTTAATTTTATTTTTTGGGCAAAATGAGTGTTTCCCTTTTTGGTAATAATATACTTTGGTATGATTTTTTACTTATTTGTATTGTTGTCAAAAAGGAAACACTCTTTGATTCTTTTAATAAAAGTTATTTACTTTATTTTAAAACTGAACAGAGAACATGCATAGACTGACTATCGTTAGAAGCAGCGTTGAATACGTAGATTTTAAAGGGAGTTTTTAGGGTTTATCTTTGATAATTAAATCCAGCTAAGCCTCATTTCGCTACCCTTGCTGCTTTGACCTCACCGAACTCGATAACCTGCCGGGCCTAACTAGCTAACTCAGACATCTATGCATATACAAAGATTCGAACTGGAAGTTTCGATTCAAGGGATTATCTTTCGTATCACCGCTGAAAAAACTCACAAAATTCATTTAGAAAATTGGATAATACAGTTGAGATCGATTGGTAAATATATATATATAGAGAGTTTGTAAAGTGGTTCTGTGTTTGGGTCGAAGGGGGACTCGGTTGGCATACTCACCCAGCGTCAGCTTCTCGCCCGAGTCCGGCGGCAATGTGAAGCCCAAGAGGGCCATCGATGAGATTAGCACACATGGCACGATTAAATTGAAAAAATAATATAATGTACGGCGACGTATTTGTATAGTAAAGGTGATATCGACATATGGTTCTGGGCAGCAGGCGTAGACTATCGTATTCTTCTTTCCCGGCATGGCTGAACGATAAAATTGGATTAGTGAGCTTCGTGGCAAGGATATTATGGATCGAGACAGAGACACAAACATGGATACATTTACAGACACAAAGACACACATTATGTACAACAGATATTATATTTTTTTTTATACAGATTAGACTTGCGATTCGAGATCGTAAAGTTGTATGTACAATTTAATAGTAAAAACTAGATTAAAGAAATCAAGAGCTAAGCAAAACATAATGGTCTATGAAGCAATTTTTCGGTATCGCAAGCAATGTGTTTAAAATAATAAGGAAATGCGGTTTTTTCTTAGGCAATCGAGGTAATGCTGATTTAAGACATTTACAAATGACAACGATCGAAACGAAATAACAGTTAGAGAAATAAGCATAATGAGGTTTGTTTACTAACCAAGCAAGTACCACTCGCCATTTGTTATGAAATCGGAAAGATCCCCTCCATCTTCGGAATTCAAAACCAAATCCAACTGATTTTCAAACGATATTTTGAGTTTTTTTTTTTCATGGGTATTCACAGAGAATGGAAATCAATTTGCAATAAGCAAATTAATTTTTACATTTTTTTTGGTAGTTTGGTCATTGAGTTTTGAGTTTGAGTTTTCGGTTTTTTTTTTTTTTTTTTTTTTAATATTGGAGAAAGAGAACATTTAAGATTTTAGTTTGTTGTTGAATTTTGATTAGAGTTTTTACAATAAAAAGCCACATTGAAACAACAATTATGTACAGATATAGCATGTGTTCGAGGTGTACGAATTATATATAGAGAGAGAATAGAGAGCGAGCAAAATAGAGAATTTGATATTCTTTTCATTTGTTTTGAGTTAAAATCTTGTGGGTGCAAAATACGTGGAAAATAAAAACGCTTTAACTTAAAGTTCTTCTCAAAACATCCTTCATTTCGAGTATGTATAGATATGTATATGTAATGTTTATTTTTTGTTGACTTTCATTAAGAGTCTTTACGTCGTCCAAAAAAATATTCGCCTGTTGCTGATTTATTTTGGGCGTGGTTTTTGATTTTATTTGCCTGCTACCATGCAAAATAGTTGAAACTTCAGAAGTTCTCTGGGTTGAAAGATTCTAGGGTTTCAACACATGATTCCATTTTGGGAGACTTTCTACGACTGGGCTAACCGAAAGTTTTCCAACACTGGCAGAAATAGATAGTGCTGAAAACGGTTGCCTTTTTTGAGCTAAGCTCATCGTGTGCGTGTGTGGGCATAAAATATTCAGTTTTTTTTTAGAAAATAATCCGATTTGAATATTTCAGCCGACACACTGGACCTCTTACAGTTCAGTGTTGTTAACAACACTGCGATCTTTTGGTTTTGTAATTCGCAAAAACGCAAAGAATTGTTCGACATGAGTTTTACGAACGAACAAATCAAAAACTAGAATATAGATCGGGTGGATAGAGATAGAAAGACAGTTAGATAGAGAGAGAGAGAGAGAGAGATGGAAGTTTGGAAAAGCATATAAAAGAAATTACAAATCCGTCCTAACCCTATCCGTTTATCCTATATACTCTCTATACTTTTTCTTTTGGCTACAGTCAACTCTCGACAAGTTGGACCGCCCTCGCGTGTTCCTCGTGCGTGAGTCTCGTGATTGACAGAAGCGTGATCGTGCTCGAGTTTGAATGTGTTCTTTTTTGGTGTTTTGGGTGTTAGTGTGTGTGAGTAATGTGATGTGTTGCCTAGTGTAGCCAGCGTTCACTGTACTATTGGAACTAGATGCTGATGCTGTTGCTGTTGCTGTTAGTTACTGTTTTTGCTTTTGCTTTGCTGTGTATTTTGTCGATTGCCACTTTACCTGATTTCCATCGTAAGTCCAACTACCGAATTTCATATCGCAATGTTGGTCATCAAATGGGAACCACGTGATGTCTATCTTGCATGTGCTCTTGAAGATACCAGGGGGCACGTACAGACAACTGCCGTTATGTTTGACCACAATGTTGGTGTGATACGTGCCATCGAATCCCTCATCCGCGCTAGATTATTGTACAATTTGTTTTAATGGATTATTCTCTCGATCGATTTGGTTGTTATTCGCTTATCAAGTTACTAATTAGTTTGATTTATCATTTATCGCTTTTTTTTTTTTGATTTTTTGATATTATAGTTTTCTTAGCAGTTGATCGATTCTTTGTTTAAGTTATATTGTGACTTGCGCTTGTGATTTGTCATTTTCTTGTTTTTCATAACTACTAAAAATGTTTTTTTTTTTTTTGTTGTTTTTGGACTTTGCTCTAGGCAACTAGAGCTGGGAGTTTTTGGGTAGTATAACTATTCTGGGAATCATTTGGAGGATTTTGTGTTTGGTTTGTTGTTCTGGGTTGTGTGTTGGTCTTAAAGGCTAAACTCTGTGTGGTTCTCAAAACTCTACTTGGGACAGACTTATATGGCTTGCACTTAAAACTATTTGGGTTTACTTTGTTGCTATTCTGTTTTCCGTTTACTCGTAATGGATCTCAGCCAGCGTTTGACGACCCCAACGGAATTTCTATTGCCTCAATAGAGTGCGCCACAAAATACTCGACAACGGTCTGGGAAATGGCAATGGAAATGGAAATGGAAATCTGCGGCCGGATACAAATATCTTTGCAGCTATGTATCCAGTCTGTCCAGTCGTACTACCAATATGCGAATATGCAAATGAACCTCAGCAGATACTCCAAAAATGTGGGCAAAGCATAGCTATATATAAACCCATCAGTGAATATATATATATCTATATATTTGCGTGCATTATGTATGAGTGCCTCTTGACTTTGCTGATGTCCTCGAATGCTGCAATAAAATGCAATTACGGCTCTGATTCTGATTCCGAGTCGAGTACCGAGAATGTTGCGTAAACATTTTGTGGACAATTTTGTTTTGCATTTTTTGGTCACCGCAAAAGAGGCAATGTCATGGGGGGATTCATGATACTGAAATGCTGGGTGACAGCTAGAGAATGGGCGAGCATACATGGATGTTGGGGTGTTGGGCCGTGTTTCCCCATGGTAACGAGGCTTACATGCAACTGCTGTGGCATTTAAGGGGAATTTGTGCGCTGATTAGCGGCAGGTCAAGCTGAAACCAAAGCGCAGATGTTGCCCACTCGGGCTTAAGAGATTGCGGTTTTGGTGGGGGGTGGGGGGTCATTTTGGCCTGGCCCCAATATATATGTGAGTATTCTGCGGCATTACAGTTAATTGATATGACAGCGAGTGCTGAGAGCATTCTGGCCAAGAATGTGTTTTAACACATTCCAATTTTCACCTCTAATTGGCACGTCAATCCTTTTCGACCGGCGCAACCTTCATCACTTTGCCCGCATTTAAAAATCATTTTAATTTCGAAAAGTGAAATATTCGGTTCGTCTGTGTTTTTATATCGTCCTTGGTGCTGAATCCCTCTGTCGGGCCTGGCTTCTTATTAATATTGACGTTGGTCTCGGCACGGCACGGCACGGATCCTTCGACTAAGCCGACACCGCTGTCAGTTTCATTTTTTGGGTCGAACCTTCGACTGCGGCTAACTTCCAACTTCTGTGCGACTTCTGTGATGCTTTGAAGAATACAGATAATGTTGCAATTAGAGTGAAAGCTTTTCATTTCGCGTTGGCTGGCATTGGTGGTTTAAGGTCCGGCATCTCAATTAAGCAGCCGTGAAAGGAATCGCAATCCACGGCCGAAATCAGCATAAGTAAATGATACAAAGAAAAAAAGGAAGGAAAGCGATGTAGTCGATTGATTCGCAGAAAGAGGCTTCGTAATGAGGCACGGCCAGTCTTCAACAGTCATGTATCTCCATCTACGGCTTTTTCTGTATCCGTATTCGTGTCTGTGAATCTCTTGCTATTGATCTAAATGATGGCCGCACATTAGCAGCGCTGGCGACGCATACAAATTAGGTTCAAATGTAAGTCGAACGAGAGGAAGATGGTTGGAATTAATAAATTAAACGAAGTAAAAGTCTGTCGGGGCAATGTTCTTCGAAATGAAACGTGAACTCGACGTGGAATCCTTTGCAAACTGTCTAAGAAATGTGGGCGAATGAGTAACAGGGAACACCCCGAAGCTCCACTGTTTGACTTGGCTCCTTAGTCGGGGACACGAACCCTGGACTTTCTGTGTGCAAGTTCATTAGCAAACAAAGTTGACAGCCGAAAGGTTTCTCCATGGGGCGACGACGAGGGCCACGCCCAATGGCTCCATGGCTCCATCTACTGATTTCCCCTGACTATCCGATTACCCAGCTAATCAATATGATTTTTATTTCCAGCCATTCGCGCGTAGGCCTCAGCCTCGTCCTCGTCCTCGGCCTTCTTTTGTCTCGATTTTTGGTCCTGGTTGTGGTCCTTCGTCCTGGTTCTTAGCTCCCCAACCTACATTTTCGATGCCTTTTCCTGCGAAATCAACGCCGGATGCTGCGTGCCATGGAAATTAAACCTGCAACGCGTACGTGTTTTGATTCATTGTTCCCGACTGGGCATTTTTTTGTTTGCTCCGGCTCTCGGGTGACATGTAAATTCCATTTAGATCCAGGGGTCCAGGAATCTAGGCATCCAGGGGACATACATAGTGAACATGCCCCATGCGTCAATCAAGCGTAAACCGTGTGTGACCGGTCTCCCCCATTAGGTTAAATAAGCTTAGTCCTGCAGTGGCGGCAAATATAAATTGCAATTAGTCCTGCAAATGCACCTGGCCAGCGGTCCGCAGAGTTGACACTCCGCCAGGTGCATTTATATCTGGGCCCAAAGTCTCCGCAGTAGTTTGTCTTCATTTCGGGACCAAGTTTTGAGCCGTACTAAATGCGTATGTGTTTGGTTTTTTCTTTTTCCAGTTTTCAGTTTTTATGCCTTGGGACTTGTGTGGCATTTAAGTTGTTTTTAGTCAGCACCTGGCAATGGCCAAGAGGATGTGGAAACAAATTTTTGACGTTTAAGTAATGGCTTAAAATGTTTAAGCTCCCCTGGGTGGACACGGATTTGTTTGGCTAACTTTTCCTTTTTTTTTTTTTTTGGCTAGTGCCCTGAAAAGGTTTCGCTGCAATCGCAGCCGGCGGCGAACGCAGCTAGCAAATCGCAAAAAATGGAAATATCATAATGAAGTTTTTGCAGGCAACTGGTGGAAATGTTAGCTTTTTTGCCCGGCCATGAATGCATGGCGTACTCGTATATATGGCCAGGCGAATCTGTCAGATAATTCCGTTGGTGGAAAAACGCTGGATGAGATATAAATTTAGAGAAATAGAGTTATTCCTTTGAAGTCGTTTGTCTCTGCACAAAGTAGCACTGCAACCGCAGCTGCTTCATTAGGTGTCTCTGGACTTGTGGTTTCTTACATATAGAAGAGATACATACCCTAGAGATTTCTGGCCGGGAAGGGGGGATGCATGCAGTTGGTTTTGGAGCTTACATGGGTACTTAGGCTAACTTACGCAGACTTAATGGGTATGGCAAATGATTCCTCGATGCCTGTCTGGTTAACACATCGATGCACACGCACACACACAGATGGTAAAATATATATATATATATATACGATATATTTGGATATAAATATTGGTATATAGTAGTGGGTAGTTAGACACAGATATAAAGTTATGGGTTAGTAGATAAACAGCTTGTGGGTGGGTTGTTGGTTATATAGAGATATGATTATAACTGGACACCGAGCAAGAATCGAGAAACATGAGCTTATTATTATTTATTATTGTTTAGGAACACAGTGAACGAATAGCTAAAATGAACGATATATATATATGTATATAGCACACACCGATAACAATTGATTACTTTGGTGATTGCAAAGCTTACATACACACACACACACCACCCACTCTCTTGTTGGTCATTTTAAAATGGCGAAATGGGAAAATGAGAAAATGGTAAAATGGCGAAATGAGAAATGAAATGGCAATTATTCAAGGCACTTGAATGGGTGAATGACTGGGATGCGGGCATCTAACACTCGTTAGGAGGCCAAAAACATTTGTAATTTGTACTCCCTTCGCAATTGTTGTTAGCTTACGGGGCGTATGATGAATGCATGGCTATGCTATGGACATAATTACCAGACCAGTGGAGCACCACTGTTGTTTTGCCTAAGCAAGCACACACGCGCACACACACAATCACACTTCTAGATTAACTAGTTGGACATATAGACTAACATTTAGTGATAGCGTTTTGGTAATAAATTTAGTCAAGGTCTTTTAGACGGACTCGTTTTTAGGTATTTGCTTTTAGGATTAGAAAATGTAAAGATGATACTTCCATGAAATACGTTTTATTAAGATTTCTTTATTTTTAAAAATACTTATTTTTAATATTTATGTTTTGCCTTTATTTACCTTCTTTTAGCATCTTAAAAGGTTCACTTAATGGAAACGGACAAAGTTTCAGGCAAATCTACTTTAAGCCAAAAGAAAAATGTAAACTGCCGGCGGAATGTTGGCAAAGGATTTAAAAGATAACTTTTTACAAAGTTCTTCTCTTAACTAAAAGTTAATAAAAATGAAATTTCTGTGGAGATTAATCATTGATAAATGGAAGAAATTTTACTACACTAGAGTTTTCCAAGGAAGGTTCATCTTGTTCTCGGTAAACCGAAAGTTTTTTAGTTTATAATAATTATAAGCTTGTAACGTATTTTCTCGTGAAATGTTTTAATTTTTATTAGTATTTAATGCTTAAATGAAGCGGTTGATAATCAGTTAATCTGTGGGTGCATTGGTTTAATATTAACTTGATGGGTTTGCTTAGCTAGCCTAGCCAAGTTTTCGGTTTAGTAGAATTTATTTAGTTTAAGCTTATATTAATATGGAATGGATTCTCTATTTAGATACTTTTAATATGTTGTTAATAGATTTAATTTAATTGTGTTTCTATGTGAAGTGTTTTATGTATGTATGTGTATACGGAATGTGGGTGGTGGATTAGTTTGGGTGGTGGCAGCTGGTCTCCAGACAAGGTACATGTCCTTTTTGGCACCTTGACGGATCGCACAGCGGTTTTTAGTTGTGAGGGATGAGGTGGGGATTTAGGTTAAATATATATATATTTTTTTTTGCATTTGGTATTATTTTTATATGCGGTTTTATTTAGTCTTTTGTTTAGTAAGAGGGATTTGATTTCTCATGCACAATACTTGAAAATCTATTTTGCCTTTTTTGTGATGGTTTTCTGGATGGTTTTCTTGTTTTGTTTTTTGCAAAGCTACGTATGAGTTTTATGACAAAAAACATTTAGCTTTCCATTTCTTATTTTTTTGGTTTTAATTATTTTTTGTAGAGTTTGTTGTCGGCCAAATAAATTCAAGTACTGAACGTCTAACCAGAAATATTACACCAGCATATTGTTGAACAATCTCTGAGGTGGTTATTGTCTTTCGGATATAGAGCGAGAGGACTTTGACTTGAGCCCAAGTTAAAGGTGATTTTAAGGTGAAGTCTAAGTGTGAGTCTTTGACTGGGAAGCAGACCACAGACCGCTGTCCTCGATTCGAGGAATTTGACCCGTGCTGTTTCGAACAAAATACTTGCGCAATATTCTGGTTAAACAAAGTTTAGGTTCTTTGGAGTTTAGTCTGGGCGATTATTTAGCTTGTTTAGCGTTTACTTCGTCTTTGGTTTAAGTTCGCTTTTATGGCTTTTGATGTTTTTTTTTTTTTTTTTGGTTTTTTTGGTTTAGTTAATGCTGGATAACTCAGGCATTTCATGTGTTATACAACGTTCGGTTAGCATTACGAATCCAATTACAATGTGAGGCCCACATCAACGGCAAGCTGACAATGTACAGTCCCACTAGACAACCACTGCGTGTAAACTACTCTTATTGAAGTAAACAAATGTAAATTATTCTGGTTTTCTTTTTTTTTTTCCTTATTTTTGGTTAAGTCACTTTTCGAAACGTAAACATTGAAAGCAAATCATAAGTGGATAACATTGAAACACAAATATTATATAATAAAACGGGTAGGAAAAGTCGATTTGGCCACCGAATCAAAACACATAATTGCATGTTTGACTTGCGGCTTGTTTCGATTTTCAAATATATATTTTTTCTTTTATTTTTTTGCAAATATTTGTTTACAAATAGACACACAAACAATAGCGAGTGGATTATGATGCGTTTATAATAATAGCAATATAATTAGGGGGCTATGGATATGGGTCATACATAACTAAAGTGTATGCAAACATATCAAATATGGTGGGGATTATCGTTCGGAATTCAAAAACCAACTCAAATCAAAACGTACAAACAATATTATTAACTAAGGTGTATAAACTAACTTAACAGGGTCTGTTAACGGCTAAAACTTCTCAAATGGAGTTCATATATCCCTTTGAAAACCCATTCAACAGACTCTGCAAGTAGGCCACAACTCTAGTTGTTAGCTAGTAATCTAGTTTAAGTTAACTAAAGTGCACAATTCAACTACGTAAGTATATATGTATTCTAAGTTTTACTAAAACTATAACTGAACGCAAAACGAAACGATAACGTTAACGATAATGTCTTAGGGTCTTAGGGTCATCATCCTAGGCATCGTCTTGGATGGTTGTGGTTTCATTGGTCAGCCTAACTTACCATTGTTCAAGTAATACAGTGATTGTGGTTTATTTACGAGTTATATTGTGAGTTATACGATCCTATGCCTAGACTTAAGTCTGCTCTATATGGCTGGTTATTATTGTAATGCGCAAACACTTTATATACTGATTCTCAGATTAGTTTGATTGTTGGCTGGGTTAGCCTTTCTATTTGGTTACGTTTACTGAGAGTCCGTACTTGGTCTTGGACACAGATCACTTACCTGTTGTACATGAGCACGTCGGGCTTCCACAGTTTGTTGGGCGTGATTCGTAGATCCTTGACCCCGCCATATTCCGTTTCGTTCCAGCGGAGGTTGTAGTCGTTCCACTCCTGCGTTGACATGTTTTATTAGTTTTAATAATGATTGCTCTGTCATTGCTCTGATTTTAACATACACAGATATGTATTATTTACTATCAAATGAAACGTCTAAAAATTCAAACAAAAATGCGACGTGATGTTTTGGAAAAGAAAACAGATTTCTCTGGTTATATATGTATATTTTTGGGGGGCTCGGTTGGTTAGAGTACGAAAAGAAAGTTGGAAAGAAAGTAAGGTCTTTGAAAATGAAATCTACTCATATGCTGAGCACATGCACATATACACACACACATGCAAGCTATCAACTACCACTACCATTACGCACTAGGACTAGGATAAGGCTAAAAAGATGGCCAACTCGTTCCATATCTTTTTTCGTTTACTAACTGATTGGCAAGCTGTTGCGCTTAAGCATGCCAACGCACCAACACACACACACACACACAGTCTTTCTCACGTAGTCATACAGGGGGCACGCATACAGATACACTGTTGCTGGCTGCATTATACAACAATGTGCAACTTGACAACAATTTCAGGCTAAGTCAACCAGACCGCCCTCCGCCGCACCACCCCTCGACGGAACCGCATATGAGACAAGTTTTATCAACGTTCCTCGTTTGCTCTTTTCTGATCCTGTTTGTTGGTACACAGCGAGAAAAACTATTAAAGTCTTGATGGGAAATATAATTGAGGATGTTGCTTTAGTACTTTCGGGGTACTTAGATTGTATAAAAAGTAATTAACAGCCATTGAATTTGAAGTACAAATTGAGTCATAACTCTTTACATCCTCTATTAGTCTTACTTAATGATTTTCCCCAGTGTAGTCAAACAGTTGCTCTAGTGCTTTGTGTCACTCTGCGGTTGCCTGCAACGCGATTCTGTCCCACGTCCTGAATTTCCCCCTGGCCGTTGCGTTTTGTGGCTTTCCTACAAGTGGTTCATGTTCGTGTCATAAAAGCGGCAAAGTTTCCCCTCTACTTAGTTTCGCCTTTGCCGGGCTCATGTTCGTTCTATTGCTGTTGTTGTTGTTGTTGCCGCTGTTATGTTTATAATTTAACACATTTGTGGCATTTTTAGAGCAAGCAATTGTCCTGGCCGACCTCCCATAGAAGAACGTGCTCTTCTCCTCTCTAGCCCTCTTTGCCCCGGAAGCAGCAAACAATCCCTTTTTTAAATCACAAAAATTTAATTACATGCCACATGGCCTCGCCTGCTGCATTAAATTATACGAGTGTAGTGTATCTGCATCTGTGCCGGGGCAGCTTTAAAACTGTTTAAACTTTGCCACTTTCCCGTTTTTGTTGTTGTGTGCGGTTTTTATGACAGCTGTAAAAACAGATACCCCGGTACCACGGCCATTCCATTTCGAGGTGAGCCGAATGCCTCTATGGATCCTAAAAACTTTATTCGCCAGGCGGAAGGACGCAGATTTTGATGCGAGCGTGGCAATTATTTTGCAAAATAGTTACCGCGAATCTCACATTTAGTGGAGCGTGTCTAGGCTTTAGGGTCTCCCCTTTGGGGTATCCCTGCACATGGCCTAATGTGGTTAGGAATGAACTATTTTAAAATGCGGTTTAATGTCATGACTCTGGAATTTGTTTTGAAATCTAATAAGTGTCACTTTGTTTTATTTGATTGCCTTTTTTCTAGTTCTATAAATGTTATTGAAAATCTGCAAATTAGAAGAAATCAAATCTGTAACAATGCCTAATATTGATTTACATTCCTAAACTGTTTTACAAATTTAAGCTATTTATCTATAACCTTATTTAACCTTAAAAATCGTATGCAAGAGTAGTCGATGGTCATCGATTTTTCGGGCATTTACTGGTCGCGCTTTGTCTCTGATGGCTTCTGCGTTCATTTACCGGCTTTAATTGCTATTTGACGGCATAATTGGGCCGTCGAGCAGAACAACAATCGGTTGGTTGACTGGCACCATCGACAGCTGGAAGGACTGGCATTTGAAATTCCAGCAGCCTGCCTGCCTGTCTGCGGTTGCGAGTGGTATATTGACAAACATTTGAACACCATTTGAGGGCGAATGCCGACAGTTTATGAACGCCTCACTCGGACCAACAGCCCATCAATCATAAATAGTGCAGATTGCACCAGTTCAGATGCGGCATTTCATGTGTATTTTTCGTTTGATTGCAATTGTGAAATTACTAAAATTTATAGTTCTCCTTCTGGGATGGAATCGAACTGTGGGCTATGAGAAAGCGCGTTGCAGTTAGCAAGTCACGTGTTAAATAAATAATTTAATTAATTTCCCAAATTGACAGGACTTGACGGGGGTAACAGGATTAATGCCGGAAATGAGAGTAAAAGCTGGCAAAAAAATGTACAAAAATATATACGCCTGGATTTCCGCTGACTGATGTCCGTGCATTTACCCCTTTTTTTTTACCATTCATACGATAGATAAGGAGCAAACAATCTCATACAAAGGCATGCAGGACGAACTAACACAAATGGACATATTACACGATGCGATATGTTGACATGCAAATTGTAGTGTAGTTTTTTCTGTGCTGGGTTAGGTTCTGTTTAGAGTTATGTTTTTTTGGTCAGTTCGGTTTATGTGTTTGATTTTTTAGTTTGCTCTTAAGTAGAAAAGAAACTGAAACTAACTCGTTTATCGAGTACTAAATAAAAATGTCAAAAAACGGCTATTGGCCGTATGCCAAAAAAAAAAAAGAAATGCCATTTTGTAGATCTCTATGTAGAAAAGTTATAAATTCAAAGAGAATAAAAAGGAAATAGCGGAAATCAAAGTTCATTTAGCTGTGTCTGTGGGCATGTGGGGTTTTGTATTTAAGTAAGCGATTTATTACAGTATTTAAGCTTGTATTTAATGGTACTTATTTAAGTGCTGATGTTTAAATAATTTAACGCACACACGAGCTAAGCCAACGCAATCTCAACGAGAGATAGATGGGAAGAGAGAAAGAGTCTGGAGAATGAAGCGTTTTTTTTTACAACAGAGCTTTAGATTAGCAGGAGAGTTCGGATATGAAACTTTCAACTTTCAACAAGGAATATAAACTCGGTAAACTGTTGATACTTTAGGTTAGGGCCGTGTGTGTTTAAATTATAATCAGAATAGACTCTTTCTGGTCCTAATCGAGCATTCAGTACTACTACCAACTAGAAGGATAAGCCGGACAGAAACAGAAAGAGTCCTTGATGTTTGGTTTATGATTAAATAGGTTTAAAGCGATTACACATTATTTAAAATTACGATTTAAGCTAGTAAGTAAGTATTTAACTTGGGGTTTAGGTTTATGATTTATGATGGCGAGTTTTAGTTAAGACTTACCAACGAAAGCCAAAGATTCGTTATGAGAAGCTGATTCTTCTCGTCCTACAAACGCATTTGGAACGAATTTTGGTTGTTTTGTTGTTAACGCCAAAAGAACACAAGAAAATCAAGTTCAACGAAAGACGAACAATGGAAAGTAATATTAAGTAAAACATAAGAAAAGCCAAAATGTTAATAAAAGTCAAAAGTTTAAAAAGAGCAGAGCATGATAAAAGAAAGTTTTGGTTTATACATTTGTTTTATGAGTTTTATAAGGATTTTTTTTTTGTGTTTTTTTTTCGTTTTGAGCTGTTCGTCTATTTTTCTTTTTCTTTTATTTATAGCATCTGTTTTTATGACGTTTATGAATAAGATTGTTTTAGTTTAATCTCCACTAGCTCAGCTGCAATGAAGTATGACTTTAATGTGCTGCAAGTTCCTTTAAACTTGACTTGGTTTTCAGTTTAGTTTTTGCTTTCAAAGTGCAACAAAGCGTCAGGACCAGTGTGTAAGTAAACATTTATCGTTCCCTTTGGTGCTGTTGCAATTAACTTGTCCCATCTTCTCCCCCATCATCACTCAATTTGCACAGAGACCGAGAATGAAAGCCGAATGAAATGCTATCAGAAACTTTGTTGGCCCAGCTTTGAGCTGCTCGCCTTGAAAGCTAATCTCAATCTCTAATCCGAATCTCCTCCCGCCCAATTTTAATCTGCTGGTCGGTCGGCCTTCAGATCCTTTGTCCATTGCGCCAATTTACTTTACAATCCCGCCTTCCTGTAAGCCATACAGATAGCTATATATATATATTCTTCTTCTGGTCCACCATTCAGCCTGTGTGCTTGGCAATAAAAACTTTGAACTAGGTATCAAAACCCATTTATCTTTATACAAAATTTTAATTAAAGATATTTCATGCTGGCGCATTGTCAGTCACTATCCAGTCTAGTCCAGGACCAACCAATTCCAGTCAGTCACCGGATGATGGTTTCAAGGTGGCCCACAACGGATGCCGTTTGAAATGCAGATGAACGACTAACCGAAAACGGCAGATCTGCATGTGAAAGCCCCCTCTAAGGTGACTGTCATTAATAACTTGCCGGGTTAAACAACAACAAAAATGGTTACAACCCACAGCCGCAGAAAGAAAAAAAAAGAGAAAAACAAAAACCGCAGGACCCTCCAAAAAGGATGCGGGAGAGTTTGGCAGCAGCTGCAGTAACGACTTGAGCCATTAAAAAAAAAACAGATTCGGGAGAGTAGGAGGGGTCTTAATGATATGCAGGTTGGATGGTGCCGAACAGAATCCTTGGACATGAGTTTGCTCTGGTGACCTGGATGATTTCTGCCTCGCGATTTTCCCTTTTTCCACCCATCACCCAGCCCCGCGGGCTAAGAGCTCCCAGCAGCTCGGTTGGCATTTTCGTTTAAGCCAATATGCAGGCACTTCCTCTTCACGTCAAATGCCACAACACAGCAACATTTGAATGTGCGGTGGCTCTGAGGTTTTGGAGAACCTAAGGAGCGGAGGAGTATGTGTGTGTGTGTACGTTATGATATTTTTGCTGTTGACACCTTATAAAAATGGCGGTTTTGTGCAAATTTCATGTTTATGACAGCAGGATGCGGTGCCTGGGATGTGAGCCCCTGACATTGACGCATACTAATGACATTTTCCCTTCGCTTTTTCGTTCGACTTAAAAACTTAAAGCATCATTTGCAGCAGACTTGGCATCTGCATTAAGCGTTAGCTTCAACGTGACACAGTCGCTTCCACAAGATACAGTTACATCTACGTGGCGGCAACTCTCTCTCTCTCTCTCGCTCTCTTCGGCTACTGCATAAGCTTATAGATTTATTTTGCATTAACGTGCCAAATTGTTTTTAAATGAGTTTCTAATGAGCCAACAATTGCCGTTGTCGTCTGTAGTAACAACAATCCAGATTTCAGATTTCGAAGTACAAGAACGGGCACTCGATCCGGGGATCCCCAGGATCCACTTTTGGTAGTCACACTCCCGTGATAAATGAATGTTTTTTCGGGCAAAAGTTTGTTGCTGCTGTTTGCCTTACAAATGGGTTATGCACATGAGCCAAAAACGAGAGTAGACTAACACCACATCCATCCGTTCAAGGACGAAGTTTGTTGGCCTTGCCAGCTCTCAAAGTCCTTCAGTGAATGTACGAGTATGTGTGTGTGTATGTGTGTGCTTTCCAGGCGAGACAAATGAGTGGGTGATAAGTGAACGAGGCAGTTTGTTCAACGCTGGCAAATGACTTTGTCGAACTCTCTGGCTGATGTTAGCGGGCCATAATTTGGGCAAAAGTATGTTTATAATGGATTTTGGGCGTGCTTGGGAAGTATCAATGGATAAACCTAATAGATTTGGCACCACCTCAACTTCTAATCTTTGCCCTTAAAAGTCAAAGTCATTGACTGGGATTAGGATGGGGAAATTACCTTGAATATATTGTTAAGTTAGTAAGTAATTACTTTAAATTTGAACTCACTTATATTCTGGTTACTCTTATAAGTATGCTATAAAATTGAATTTGGTGCTTTCTATTTAAAATTTTATAGCATACTTATATGGGCCAATGAATTTCTCTTTTTTTTTAATTTAAATTTCAAAATCAATTTATCTTAAGTTTATTACCAATAATCACTGCCTAAATCGGCTAACCATTTTCAAATGGCTTTTGTTTGGTTCTTAACGAGGCAAACTTTGAAATTCAATAGCTGAATTAATCTTCATTATTTTTTCCCTCTTATCAGCTGGAAACTAAGAAAAACGAAATTTCCACACAGATTGCCAAATAATCTGCATTAGATTTCGATTTCTGACTTTTAGCTTTAGCCACACCCTGAACAACAGATTAAACACCATCAAAGCTTGTTCACTTCACACCCTCGGAAATTTGCAATGTTTTCATCCGCTTTTTTGGCTGGCTTGGGGAAAGCGTTAGAGAGGGTGGCCTTTGGCCATTTCCTTTTGACACATATTTCTAAAGCCCCAGTCATTTAGGTGGCTTTGTGGTGGCTGCAACCTGGCAAGTCATTAGACGAGAGGTTACTACGAGTGGAGGGATGTGGCGTTGAGGGGTGTTGAAAATGGTGCTATGGTGTTAGCCGAAAAATGCTAATGACTTTATTTTTCTTAACTTTGATGCTGATGACGCCCGCACGACCACAATGTGCATTTTAATGTCGTGCCAAAGGAGCCTTCGACTGCGACCTGACCCGCTCTCGCCTTCTCGTCCTGATCTTTCAACTCAATGGCATTCGGTTGCAACTGGCTGACATGACGGGCCATCATCATCATCATCTCCTTTATGGCAATCATCAGAACGAGACGGAGTAACCTTTTGGTTAGCCACGACTACGTGGTTGCCCTGAGATCCTTGACGGCAATTGCAAAACTTTGCCAATTGTCGGTCCTTTCGTAATCCCCAGCATCAGAGAGAATTTTCGAAGGACATTCATTATTAGTTGGTGCAATTTGAGTAATTGACCAAACTGTGACCAGGAGCCGATGAAAATGTCATGGCTCGTGGAATCATAAATCTCCATTCGGATCGATTTATAATTTATGCCACTGGAAATCAACGGGCTGCGGTTTCAATTTCACCCCCCCTTTATTTGATCCCCATCCTTGGCCATCCAAATGCTGTCCGAATGTATGCGAGTGCATAAATCAAATTATTTCATAAATATTTAATCGTGTAAATTAAAATGCATTTGATTTGCGAGTGCATAGATGTCCTGGCTTTAATTGTATAATTTATTCGTGAGGATATGATGGTTAAGAGATGGGTTGGATGGGAGCACATTAAAGTCATAACTTCATCTATATCTTTTGGATTTTTTTTTAGTAGGTTTTGGCTGTTAAGGTTGTTAGTTGTGTTAATCGCAATATGCAGATACATTTATATGGCAATATATATATATATATTTATATATAATATATACGTATAGCTATAGATACAAAGAAAACACCGATTTGGAATTTGTAGTTTATCTGTTCACTTTTTAAATGCACTTCGTTTAAACAACATGCAAGACACGACTTTAGTTGTTTTTGTTTTTTGTTTTTTGCTAACTTTTGTTTTGGTTGCGTTTTAAAAGTAGCTTTTTGCTTTTTACTCAGATATTAATAATCAGAGAACGCTTTATGACATGTACCCAGCAAAAATATATGGTAAATTTACGTATATCGAACATAATCCGTAAAGAATACATGTACACCATCTCTCACTGTAACACACAATCTCTCTCACACACACACAAACGCAAAACGATGGCAACTTAAATGCAAGTAAAACATAATTGAATATCGGGCGGTGGTTGGGGTGTGGCTAAAAGTAATAGTCTTGTAAATCATTTTGTCAATCGATTAATGCACTTAATGGACCAGACTAATTTGGGTCGAAGGTTGGACTTCTCTGAGGGTAGTCAGGATAGCTTTGTAATTTGAAATAAACATGTATCAAATCTACCTAAGCTGTAACTATTTATTTCAACTTAAAATTTAGTTGATTTCAAATTGACTTTACATCGATTAAACTATGAATGTGTTTTTAGATTCCTTTGGCGCTGGACTGTGATTACCCATTCCCTAGAGAAAGGCACTTTAATGAGGGGATTATGGAGGGTTAGCAGCAGCAACTGTGACCATCGGACATGGAATCGCGAATATAATTTCCCGACTAAGCACATTTATTCACACGGCATGCCGCATGTTTCCGGGGGAATAATTATATATAAATATATTGGAAAATGTTTTCATTTCACGTTTGCACCACCATTGGGGATAAAACCAAACGGATAAAAAAATTACAAAATAATTATAACAAAAATCGAAAATGTATAAATATGTATGACCATGTAAATCACACGAAACCAAAAACAGCAAAACAAAATCCAAATAAAAACGCCTAATCACCTGGCTGGCTGATCAGGAAAAGCAAAAAATATTTTAATTAAAGGCAATCAATTGAAAATATTGTTATGTAGCTTAAAGTTGTCGTTCTACTACTTCTTTTTTTCAACTAAAAAGACCATTAGCTAGATTCAAAAGTTGTTAGGCTAAAAAAAGGAGCGATTTTTGTTGCCATGAAATTGAAAATTGACGGGCAATCATAAATCTGCCTCTGGATATGGATAGCTCGGTGGCAGGAGGTGGAGCTATTAATTTTTGTTGAAAAGGGTTTTTCCTGCTCTGTCTGCAGCTCGCTCTGGTTTTGCGTTTATATGGTTCCGGGCCAAGAATGACCCAAACGATTGCAATTGGAGTTTTCAGGTGAGGCTAACAACAAAAAAAATGGCTGTCGTTTTACAAATATAAATTTTATTTATGGCCTTTCGGGTCCTTTGTTTTGATTTATTTGTTTATGTTTATGGTATGCCCGGCAATTTCTGCCAATTTAGCAATGCCATTTTGGGCATCCCTTGTCCAGTGGATGGCCATTACCCCTCCATCACGTCCATTCCAAGTGAAATTTGTGTAAATCAAAAGTTTCAGATGCGGGGCGATAAGATTAGCCCGAAAAAAGGTTCCCTACTCAAAGGAGTCTGAGGAAAATCCACCACTGTTTCATTTTTCAGTGAAAATGAAACCAGAAAGCTCTTCTAAATCATAATCAAAGCATTCTCCGTTATTTATTAACATTAATACTTAATAATTGGTTTTAATTTGTGCTGTATTTGCATGTGGTTTATGCTTTTAACGTTCTGTTAAATTGAAATGTGTTCAAAAGGCAACCAGCAGACGTCGTTTGCTTGCAAAATAAACTGACAAAAAGAACAAATAAAAAAAAAAAAAAAACCAATTCAGGCATTCACACATACTCACTCACTGACACTCATACACACAGGGTGAGACATATTGAGACAACACATATGCATACGCAAATATGTATTTATTTATTGATAAAGAAGCCCCCGTGGGGCAATAATTATTCAATGCCAAAAACAAATTCAGAGAAAATGAAACGAAAAAAATTTGTGGTTTTGGTGGTGGAACAAAGTAATACATATAAAAATTATATATATATTTGTCGCTTTTTGCCTGGTAAAACGGAAACCTCAAAAGAAAGAAATGACATCACAATAAAAAATAATCACAATCGTTCAAAATTATAATAAAAAAATAGTTGTGATGGAAGACACAAAAACGACGGGTACATGTCACTTACCAAATTTAACCACGCATTTGTGGTCAGAATCTGATTCTTTTCATCCTATAAGAGACGCAATCAATAATTGTTAATTCTTAGCCTGTTCACGTAACAAATAGCAGTCTTATGTCTTTGATTTCGATAGCGAATGGAGCCAAACTCCATACGAACTCTTCTCATATTTTCTCAGTTTTTTTTTTTTCTGAATTTTTCTTTATGATTTGATGCTTTTGAAAATGTTAGCTGGGCCAAAAGAAGGTCAGAATCCCCAGCGACCACTTACCACGTCGATGATCTGCTGCAGCGTCAGTCCAAACTTCACCTCCAGAGGTTCCGATTCATTGGCCACCGGTCGCTCCAGTGTATTATAGGTGGACAGCAGGTGATTTAGCAGGCGTTTTTCATGTGGTCCTTGACAGCTTTCTGCAAAAATACCAAAAACCACAAAATCAATGAGAGTGAAGAGTAGCGTGTAGAGAGCAGAAAACGTGTTGCAATTAAGTTGGGGATCATATTTGCCGCTGATTTATGGCACTTTCTGCCAAATTAAACTAATAACAGGGCTCACTTATTGGCAGTTGGGCCGAACGGCTGGCTCATTACGGGAAAAGCCATTAGAAAAATGCCATGTACTCTGGCAGCATGATGAGTTTTTGGCCGCCAGTTAATTGGTCAAAATCATTTCGGGACTCTAAATGAAACGTATTTTTCGCTCTTGCTCTGGGTATTTGTTAGAATTGTAGATGGACTAAAATGGATTGAATGTGCCAAATGAAAGCTAACAAATTGGAGTAGTTAAAGTAGTTAATACTCTCATTTTCAACCTGACTTTGGCATTATAATTAAGAAGCTCATTTTATAAAAGTTTACTACATTTATGAATTGCCTCCCAATAAAACCTATATCCTGTAACTTAACTATGGTTGCTGGTAAATAATATAAAGCCCAACCATTTAAGATACTTTGTCCTAAGACCTTGTATTATATTTCCATTTGAGTGCTCTTACATAGTTGCTTCACTGGCCTCCGGAAAATGACTTTGGCTCCCACACAATTTGGCCAGCCACCTCCGCAATTCTCTGGTTTTCGTCTGGCCTAGGTGGCAGCCATAAAATGTCATTAAGTGCCACTGTGTAGGAGCTCTCCTCCACAGTGAATGTAAGGTGGGTAGGGAGTGGTTGGTGGAGGCAGTGTCTCTGCTACATGGTACATTGTGTTAAAACACACCGTAAAATGGGCAATGGCAAATATTTGAGATGAGCGCAAAAAGTTTTTCGGAATTTACGAGGGGAATACGCTTTGACCAGCAGCAGCAGCAGTCGAGTTTCGTTTCCCCAGGAGCGATGATAAATTGACAACTCAATTGTGAAAACTATTTGCACGCCATTAGGCGAAAAGGCAGCAACAAGAGGTGTTACCAGAGTTGAACCAGGGGACAAATATTGACAGGGCAGCCGCAAAATTTGAGCCCAACAGTGTGTCAACTCATTCATGAATGCATTGGGTCTCCAGTCCAGTCTCCAGCCTCAGTGGTTTTGGCATGATTCCAAGCTGTTCGCATTCATGGTGGCAATCGAATCCATGTCGGAATTGCGTTTAAATTATGCAATCGGGACAGGAGCAGAATCCGTAGCAGAATCGAAACAGAATCAAAGGCAGAAGCAAGCCATCGCAGGCCATGAATTTGGCATGGCTGAGCCAACCACTTGGAACTGACCGCCGACCACTGACGAACTGACCGAACCCACAGGCTGTCAAGGTGAACGATTGTGTTTATTACACGAGCATTAATATGCAACGCAGAAGCAGAGGCAGATTAACAGATGACCAGGTTGCAAGTGTGTGGCACTGAAGTATTCGGTGCAAAATGGCCTTTGTTCTGGCGACAAGTGACATTGATAAGCAACTAACCTACATACTAACCAAGTGATTTTCTTATTAAAAGTAAACTGATAGTGAATAGATCATGGTTTGAGAGACCATTTTCCGATTGGTTTGATAGAAAGATGTTCAATTACATACTTCGACTGCTCTTGCTCAGAAGTTGAAAAAGAGAGGGAAACAGCAAGCACGCCAAAATTCGTGAGACCAGACCATCTCAATAAGAAATATCTTACATGCTAATACCATGCTAATATACCAAATTTTAATTAGTTATGTGGTCCATCAACAGTAAACATTTTAAGCTCCTTCTGACAGATTTTTATCAATTTTCCATCACTTAAATCATTTTGAAGTTCAATTTAAAGTTTAAAAAAAATGGAAATTGAATTCAAAGTTAATTGCTAAACTTATCTTTGTACACAAGATAAATGATTTTTTAAAAATAGAAATTTGATTAAAAAAAATGTTGAATTTTCTAATACGCACTGCTAAACTAAATTCAATTTGCTTAGCTTATATTTCATTAACAAAAATAACTAAGTCAGTCAGATATTATGATTTATGATGAATTAATGTTAATTGACGTCACGCAAAATTTATAATATTTTCGAGATATGTAATCAGTGTACTTGATTCCTTCCCTAACCCAGCTGCCCCATGAATGGCTATCACCAAAAACTAAGCTTTGAATTTTTGAATAGCAAAAGCTAACCCTTATCAGTTGCCTATTTAATACGTGAAGTCTGTGGCGGAGGCATTAGTTTTTTGACAACAATGGAGGGAATAGTGCGAAACTGCTGCCTGTTAATATTAATCGGCATTGCGGCTGGCTCCAGATTGCATAAATCCGATAGAAATCGTTCAGATATGGAGATCGCGAATTTCATGATAAGCAACATGAATTACAGTGGTAATCCCTGTGAGGACTTTCACAATTTTGCCGGTGGACGGTTCGCAGATCCACACAGTGAGAATAATCAATATCACCTACAAGACGTTATCAGACAAAAATACAACGATAAGCTGCAGTTCCTGTTCAATCTGCTGAAGGATCGAGTTTTCATCGACGAGGACTCTGTGGAGGAGAAGGTGTGGATCTACTACAACACCTGTCTCACGGCCCCAAAAAGCACTCGATCGCTGAGGCACTATTTGGAGCTGGTTCCGCCGGGTGAGAATCTAACATGGCCCCAATTCACACCTTACGGAAGTCAGTGGCCAAAAGGAAAAGTTTCAGTGGGTGGAGACCTTGGCAATCTTGCGCCGTTATGGAATGAAAAATCTGTTAATGTATTTGAATGCAGATTACGATAATTGGACAAGGGATAAATTCACTCTATTTATTTACAATCCCGACTTCACTAACGATAAAAATGTGTCTGAAATCCAGAATCTTCTGATCAGCACTGGAGTAAGCCCAGCTCGGGCCACTCCTCTTGCCCAGAGCATAATCGACTTAATCTCTGATCTTGAGGAAATAACAGATGAAAAGGATTTGCCACAGCAATTATACACCATAGAAGAGATCCGGAATCGAACTGGTATACAGCTGGGCAAGTACCTGGAGATTGCAGTTGGCCATCTTTTCGAGCCTAGTTACGAACTGAGCACAGGTGACATTAACTATCTTGAAGGCTTAATTGGAGTTCTTGAAAAGTACGACAGTGAAGTGGTGGCCAGTTATTTCATGGTTCAGTTCTCACTTTTTGTGAAAGATTTGGATGGCAGTGAGTCAGCAGGAGATGACTTTACCTGTGCCGAAGCTGTTGCAGTTCAAATGGAGTTGGCCACTGAGCTGCTGTACAGGAACTATTACATGGGTCAAGGAAAGCTGGAGAAGTACGACAAAGAGGTCCAGCGGATTTTTAGTGCTCTGCAGGAAACTTTAATAGCCAAAATTGAGGAGAATCACTTGAACTTCAGCAACGTGGAAGTCACTCATCTTCAGCAAAAAGTGCTTCCCATGAGGGTGCAAATTGGAACAATCCCTAGAAGTGGAAGCCCTCGCCGCTTTGTCACCAAATTCTACTACGATTTAAATTTTGATGCAGATTTGGATTACGCTAAGCAACAACTTAATGTGCTGGAACATCTAACGAAGAAGGAATTTGAGCAATTAAGTAAACCTGCTCCAAGGGGCAGTTCTTTCTATATTGTAGACTTCCATTCAAAAACGAAGGCTTGGCCCCAAAGGCTAAGTTTGGATACCATCGTTGTACCCTATGATGCTCTCCAGAAGCCGTTCTTTGGGCTAGCAGCTCACGACTCTTTCAAAATGAGTGAGATGGGATTCGTTTTAGCTCGCGAAATGATACAAATTTTCTGGCCAACCCTTATTAACTATGACAGCAATGGGATCTTCACAGAAACGTTAACGTCTTTCGAGGAAAACGAAGGCTATATCGACAGTTTGGCCTGTCTTAATAGAAGTTCTGAGTCGAAAGATCTCCAACAACGCTTAGATGACGTTGCGAGTTTGCAGCTGGTCTACGAAGCTTATTTCGGCGACAATTCAAATTTTAAAAAGAGTCACGAAGCGTTTAAAAATGTGTCCCTTCCAATGACCTTCCTGATTAGTTTCGCTGAGGTTTATTTGGGTGATGAAAAGTATATGAGCTTTACCACCACGGACTCCGACAAAACAACTGTTAACGAGGCGGTTAGCAATTTACCGGCTTTTGCTGAAGTTTTTAGGTGCCCAAAGTCCACACCACTTAACTTGGAGGAAACATGTAGATTTTTGTAGACCAAAAATGCAACTATTAAATACTTTAAACACTTTAAAAAATTCAATTTAATACTCAAATCTTTTGTCACAATAAAGCTAAAAAAAAATTCATTTTTGTTCTTGTGAATTCATGGAGGTCAAAAGTTTTTTCCCCTATCAAAAGGTCGCCACATGCTTGGCCTTACTGAAGAGCATGTGTGGATTAGTTGATTCGGAGCAATCAGATTTTTTAATCGTTGCCAAGCAACGAAATCAAATTAAACAAAACAAACAAATATAAACATATTATTTTTCGTAATTTCAAAAAAAAGGTTGTCTGGAAAACCCTTCGTTTATGATTCGTTGAAAAAATTTGTCGAAGGCAGCATTGCTTTGAGTCTATCAGGAGATTAATAGCTGAGACGATTAAGACACGAGAAATGCCGCCAATCAGTCGTATATTCAGCCAATCGGACATATTTAAAACCAAAAATTTCATTTAAATTAATGCAGTATGAGCCAGAGCCAATCCTTGAAGGACGCTAGAATTAAGCAGCATACTTCTAGGCGCATAGGGACCTCTTGCAAGTTGCTGTTTGCTTGTGTTTGGCTGTGTAAGTGAGTTACTATTAACTTATTTGAGCGATGTGTGTGTTGACCCAGTTTCAGTAGCTAGCTGGCTCTCGGGCCTGATCAATTTGGCCTTGAGCGTCGGTTACAACTTCTCCAGCTGCAGTTGTCCTTGCATTAAGTTGACATTTGATTTCTCCGGCCACCATTGTTGCCTTTTCCTACCCACTTTTGCCTCTGGGGTCGTCGTTTGCATGATTTA